TTCAAAATTAGATGCGTATGAATGTGTCTAACGAAAGAGAATGCAAAGACCGAAGCGTCGTTGTGTACGAGGACCACAGACGGCGGGTCCCAGCCGCTCAACGGAGGGCCGGGCGGCGCGCGCAGAGCCCGGGGTGCAGTGGGCTCGCCCGCCCATCGGAGCTGAAATAATGCTCTAAAAGGGCACGTCAGCTGCAAAACTCTGCGGAAGGCTTGTAAATTTAAAAAGAAAAAAAGTCCTTCTATCAGGAATAAATAAGTGAAACGGCAAGGAAGCATTTTAAAAGCAAAAGTCAGGACGACAGAGGTGGGGTCAGATGTGATCACTGAGGCCAAGTCCCTTCACCAGCCCCTCCCCCCCAATAGGAGGGGTCTGGGGGGGCCTGGGGGGCCTCCCCTCCCCATCCTGGGTCAAGGAAGAAACTAGGAAGGTCCCAAGGACAAGTGAAGCTGCCACACGCCAGGGGAGGGGGCGGGGTGGGGGAGGCGCCGTGTCCTGGGGCGCCAACACGCCAGGATGGAACAGCTAAAAGAAAGTTGCTCTCTGCCCCTCCTTCCTGGCAGGGACAGAGCCCACCCTCCTGCGTGTTGGGGGCCCCCAAGGCTCCGCCCCCTGACGCTGACCTGCTGACTGAGGGTCACTGCCGCCTGGCCGTGCCTCCCGGAAGCCACCACCCCGCAGGCACTGACTGCAGGTCCCTCATCTCCTGCCGGATGGAGCCGCCAGGACACCTCTCCCCTCCCCCGAGGGCCTGTGGTGGTTCCGCAAACCGGGGTCAGCTGTCTGGACACCAGCCCCTCCCCAGGGCCCCTGTGACACCAGGCGCCCGCCCGCGTCCCCGCCTGCACACACACACACACACAGCGTCCCCCCTGGCTTTTGGGGGACAGAGGCGAGATGAAAACGCTGATTAGGGAGCCCGGCAGAGCGGAGCCCGGCGACAGACGGTGCGGCCGGGCCGCTGCAGTCCCCTCGCCCGCCCCTCCGTTCAGCCTCTGTGCTCCCCCCGCAGCCTTTCCACGGCAGGGGCGTCTGTCCGTCGAGGGGGCAGGACGGGGTGGGCGGCAGGCCCGGGAGGAGGGCCTGGCCCTCCTGACCCCCCGCCTGCTCCCCCGGCCCCCGAACAGGAGCCGTGGCCGGGGCTGCCCTCCCTGACGGCCTGGCAAACGGAAGCCCCTTCGGACCCACCCCTGCCTTCCCCCAGACGCCCCGAGGGGCCCCCGCTGGGCTGGCGGCTGGAGCTGCGCTGGGGGCAGCAGGCGCCCTTACAGGCGGGGGCCTGGGGTGGGTCCGCGCAGGACAGGAGCCCCAGAGGCTGGGCGTCTGCTTGGCTGGATGGACAGAGGCCTGGGTGCGAAGTCCACCTTTCTAGGACCTTCCTTCTGAAGGGAAGCTACGTGGCGGGCGGCCCAGCGACTCACGGGCCCTCCAGGGCCCCAGGGCCCCAGGCCGGCGGCTCTGCTGGGGTCTCTGCAAAGCCGCCGTCTTTGGTCGCCTAGCACCCGGCACCGGCACCGGCACCTGAGCCCTCTGCTGGGTCCCGACAGCTGCCTGGCCTCGGCCCACCCGTCTGCCTGGACGCTGGAGTTCAGGCAAGCCCATAGGACCCAAGGGGACCCAAGGGGACCCAAGGGGACCGTGGGGTGGGGCGGGGACTGTCCGCTCGGCCTGCCAGCTGCCCCCTAAGGAGAGGGAGCCAGCGTTCCCGACTGAGCCCCGCGGGGCGGAGAGGGACCCGCCCGCCGCTGGCCGGGCACGACGTGGGTGACGCCGGGCGCAGGTGCCCCAGGAGCCCCCGCGTCCGACGGAATCGGGCGCTCTGAGCGGGGGCCTCGGAGGGACCTGCGCTCCCCCGCCCCCGCTGCCTGGTCAGGGGTGACCGGGCCTGGCCCCACGAGGCTGAGGTCTCTGAAATGGGCCAGCGCCCGGGTCGCCCCTTCTCGGGGCCCCTCCCTCCCGGCGCCGCCCCCCGCCCCGCCCGGACGGCCAGCGCCCGCAGGGCACGGCCCGCACTGACCACGCCACCGGGAGCCCCTGGCCTGCCCACGGCTCTGCCCCGCCCTCCGGCCGCCGTCCCTGCGGCCCTGGGCCATCGCGTGCTGTGTCCCTGCCTGTCTGTCCGTCCTCGGAGCGGCCTCAGGCCTGCAGCCTGTGGGAAGCCCTCCCCTCCCCCCGCACGGCCCCCAAGGGCCTGAACGTGTTCTGGGCACAGAACGTGTCACGCTGGGCGGACGACGGAACAGCCAACCAGAACTGGGGCTTTTGGGCCAACACAGCCAGGCCGAGGCTGGGTCGCCTGGCGCGCGCCTGCCCACGCAATCCCTGGGTCCCCTCAGCCCCTGGGCCACGTGCCGCTTCCTGGCCTCGGGGAACCTGTCTCAAACTACACCCTTGAGGGCCGAGCCGCTACAGACCCGGGCAGCGTGGCCGGGCCCCTGCTCCAGGCCGCTGTGAGCGGCCGGCCTCACCCCCGCGCGGCCCCCGTGGGGACTCAGCCTCATTGCTTCCTTTGCTCAGGGCCAAGCCTTGGCCGACTGAAATCCGGGGTCACCTCCGGCCCGCAGGTGGCACGGGCCTCTACGGCCTCCAGCGCATCCGCTCGGGGAGAAGTCGGCCACAGCTGCCGTGTCCCTTTATGGCTGGGCCCCGGAGAGCCGCCCCCGACAGCCCACGCGCCCTGGCCTTGGGGCAGAGCTGGGGGGAGGGGCATGTCTTCCACGTCGGGAGAGCTTGCGCCCTGGGCGGACGCTGCCTCCGGCCGGCCCGCTCACCCCCCGGCCGCGGGGGCGACAGCCACCGCTTAAGCCTCAGTGTCACCCCAGGGGTCCGGAGACCGGAGTGTCCGGGCCGGTCCTGCCATCGCCGGGTGGGGCCCTGGGAGCCACCTGTCCCTCCCTCCGAGGGCCATAGCTGCCTGCCTGCCCTTCAAGAAGCAGCTGGGGTGTGACCGGCCAGAGCAGTCGGTGAACTGGCCCCTGGGTCCCCTGCTCGCCACCCATGGCCATGCCAGAGGCGCAGAGACAGCATGGACGGAGGGCACGTGCCTCATCCCCGGCCCGGGGTGCCCTGGGCCCAGAGGGCCCAAGGCCCCGTAGGACCGGCCCTGCGCATGGGGGGCCTGCTGCACCCTGTCTGGCTGTCTGTCTGTCTGCCTGGCTCAGGGTCCGCACCAGGCAGTCACCTCTGTCCGGCACACGGTCAGGGCAGCGGAGGAGGTGCCAGGTGGTGCGCCCTCAGCAGAGGACTGGCTGCTGCCAGCCACCAGGCCGGGGACGGCCTCAGGGGGCCGGGACTCAACTCCTGTCCCCAGGGCGGCTCCGGCAGGCACCCCGACGCCCTCCTCCTGCCGAGAGTCTCTGAGGTGTGCGTGGGCGGGCATGTGCTGAGCTGTCTCAGGCTTCTGCCCCAACTGTGCCCTGCTGCTGACGCGTCTGTGTCTGTCGGTCTCTCCCTGTCTCAGTCTCCGTGCCGTGTGTTCTGCCCCCGCACCTCCGGTCCCGTTTCCTTGGGGCCCTCAGCCTGCGTGCCAGCCCCCTCCACGTGCTGTCCCCTGGCTCTCGGGCGCCAAGCCGCTCCCTGGCCCCGCTGCCGCCCCCGCCGGGCTCCCGGGAACCTTGCTGTCTCGCTGTCTCCGTCTGTCTCCCTCCACCCGTCTCGCATGTCCGGAGGCATTTCCGCTTCTTTTTCTGGGTCTGTTTCTGGGCTGTGTGCTCTCTGACTCCATCCCCTTTCCCGCGTCTCTGGGTTCACCGCCCAGGGCGTCTCCCAGGCCCTTCCGGCAGGCCCTCTGCGGCGGGGCTCCAGTCTGCCTCTCTCGGGATACGTGTCTGTCTGTCTGTCCCTCCGTCTGTCTCCCTGTCCCCACACTGACCCTGACGGCCTGGCAAGAGGAAACGCAGGCGGAAAGCAGGCCTCGCCTGGAGGTGCGGCAAATGCGGGGGTCGCCACGGAGCCCGGGGCGCCCCCTCGCGGCACCCCCGTCCCTGAACCGCGGGAGAAACTTCAGGATGACACCAAACAAAGGGAGCGCAGGCTGGCAACCACCCGGCCGGCTGCAGCCGTGCAGTCGGCCAAATCAGACCTGTCAGTGTCCCCACCACCCCGCCTCTGGGCCCGAATGAGCCACGAGTTAATTGCCAACACAGGCTGGGCTGGCTGGGCGGCACGGGGCTCCCCCTGGCCCCCCCCCCCCAAGTGCCTGGATGCTGCCTGTCCTCGAATCACGTCCGGTGATGTAATCATTATAATTAGACTCAACCTGCAGCCCAGCCTTGACCACGAAATCTCTGGACGCGGCCCCGCAGGAAAATGCCTGTTCACGTGCCTTCTCCAGCCATGGCTGCTGCTGGGGTGCAGGGCACGGCCCCCGTTCCTGGCCCCAGTGCCCACCTCTGGCCGAGGCTCCCGGTCCCCCTGACACAGCGGCAGCTCCAAGACGGCGGCGGTGGCACAGCACCTGACACACGCCCGGCTGGGGACGGCGCCAGGCCAGGTGTGGCCGAGGGGACGTCCATGGAGGACGGTGGCCACGGCCGCGAGGCGTGGGCCGCAGGCTGGGGGGCAGGGGTGGCCCCATGGCCGGGGCTGAGCTGAGCGCCCTGCCCCGAAGCCGCCCTGCCAGCGTGGACCTCGGGCCACTGCCCCCCTGCCTCCTGGGCCAGGGTCTCCAGCCCCGAGGTGGCCTTGAGCCAAGCCGGCATGGGACTCAGCAGGGCTGGGAGCGGGTCCTCTCCCTGAAAACATGAGAGGCCACGCTGCCTCCTGCAGGGGGGCCCGGGCGTCTCTGGTCCTGGTGCTCAGCCTGCTGCCCTGCCCCCGTCCAGCTCTGTCCCCTGCCCCAGTGGCTTGGCTCACCCATGGGGCCACCGACCCTGCCGGCAGGACTGTCCCTCGCTGCCCCCGAAGCCCACCCTGAGGCGCCCCCGCCAGGCTGCGTCCTGAGGCTCAGCCCTGGCCCCCGAGTGTGCGGTCACAGCCTGCGCCCCCCACCCTGTCCCTACCTCCCAGGGCCTGCTTCATCACGAACTCCATGACAACGGCTTTGACTCCTCAGTGGTTCCTCGGAGGGTCCGAGCTCTCAGGCAAGTGTGGCGGTGTCCGGTGCCTAGAAGAGAGGAGAGGGTCACAGGCTGCCAGGTGACCCACCCTCAGGCTCCCTGCCCCCCCGCCCCGCCCCCCCCCCACTGCAGGTCTGGGGTCTGAGAGCAAACACCGTTCCCAGGACTCTGGTCCCAGGAGGGTCCCTGAAGAGGGGGCTTCTACGCCCACCCTGTCCATGGCGGGCAGACCCCAGAGCCCCCACAGGCCTGCAAGGCGGTCTCACCCCACCCTGGGGGCGTCTGCAGCAGGGCCCCCGGGGGGGTGCTCACCGCGGGCCGGCGCGGCGGAGGGAGGCCAGCCTGCGGCAGCGGGGCAGGGCCAGGGGCGTTTGAAGGTGACTGGCTCTGCGGCTGCCCTGGGGGGCTCTGGGACACAGGGCCAGGTCCCACTCACAGACAGGGTGCAGGTGGGTGGGGCCTGAACGGGTGCACCTTCAGGGGGTCCTGGAGGCTGCTGGGGGAGTGTTGGGAGACCAGGCTCCTTCCCGGGGAGATTCAGTGCCCACTGCCACCAGCCCACTGCAAAGACTGGGATGGAGGAGCCCCCAGGGGCCAAGCCGTGGGGACACCCCCCCGCCAGCATCTGCAAAGGTGGGGCGCTGCGGGACCCAGGCCAGGTGGAGGTGGGGAGGTGTTTCCAGTAAAGCCTGCATTTGCATTCCCCCGGCCCTGGCGGGGCTCTCCTGGCAGGCAACCCAGGCCCCTGCAGAGCCCCTGTGTCTGTGGGGTGTCTCCTCCCTCTGAAGGGGACCTGCGTGTAAGCTGGACGGGCGGGAGGTGGCAGGCGGGCCCCCCTCCCCGCCAAACGCCTGTGCTGCAAAGCAGATTCTCTTCCAAACTTCTCCCCCGGCTTCTGGCTGAGAGGGAACTGCGGGGCCCAGCCGCAGAGGAGTCGGGGTGAGGACGCTGGAGCCCCCCGAGGGGCGCGGGCCAGGCTCCCGCCACCGCACCCTCGGCGCTTTGCGGCGGGCGAGTTGCCCGGCTCTGCGGAGCGGTCCCCAGGCGGGAGCGCGCCAGGAGAGAAAACGCAGGAGACAGGGGACGAGGGAGGAGGGCGCAGGCAGATGCGAGAGGCAGGCGACGCGGAGAAGGAGCTCGAAGGAGGGGGCGCGGGCCGGGGCCGCGGGGCCGCTTCAGCACCGCGCCGGCGGACAGCGCCCGCCGGGCGCAGCGCGCTCGCGGCGGACCGGGGCCGGAGCCAGGCGGCCGGGCCGCTAGGGGCTCCGCGCGGGGCGCCGGTTACCTTTCCGGGGCCGGGGCGCAGGCGGCGTACGGGCGGTCAACGGCGGGGCGCGCTCCGGGCGGCCGGGTCCATGTGGCGCCCCAGGAACTGCGGCGGCGGCTGAAGGGCACGGCGAGGAGGGCGCGTCACACGGAGGAGCCCCCGCCCCGCGCCGGTGACGAGGAGGGCGGGGCCGCGGGCGCCGGCGGGGGCGGGGCGGGGGCGGGAGCCGCGCCCCCAGCTGCCTCCAGACCCGCCCCGCCGGTCGCGTTCGGGGGTCCCGCGACTCGAGGCCTCAGAGCCAGCGCGCGCGACCCCGGCCCGCGCCGCAGCCAGAGTCTGGATGCGGCGCCCCATGCGTGTCCGGGTGCGGGGCCGCCTTCCCGCGCGCTGGGGGCGCTTCGCGAACGCGTGCGGGGCCGACACGAGTGCACCCCCTGCGGGAAAAGCCCTTCCTCGCGCCGAGAGGGAGGAACGGGGGTCGCGCCCCCTTCCGTTCACCCGGGCGCGCGCGGGAGTGCGGACCCCGGCGCGGTGGTGACAGTGGTCCCGCCCCGGCGAGCGACCCACACCCAACCGCCCCCAGACTCGTGAACTGCCCCCGCCTCGGCGGGGAGAGACCCACAGACCGGCCGGGACCTATTTTTCAGGGGAACAGAGTCGCAGGGACGCCCCCGTCCTCCGGCGGCCGGGCCCGCGGCGGGGAAGGAGCGTGAAGGTCGCCGCGGACGGGCCGCCCCGCCCCCGCCTGGGCCTCGGGGCCGCCGCTGCGGCGGGCGCTGCACTGCGGAGACCGCGGGGGCGCTGCAAGGTCGCGCTCGGTCCCCCTCCCGCCCTGCCTGAGGGTCGCCAGACCCCGCCCTGCGTCCCCGCGCGGGCCTTGTGCGGGGGCTGCGGGGAGGACCAGCTGCAGGGCCCTGTCGCCAGCAGCACCCAGGGCTCCCCTGGTGGCCGCTTCATCAACATGTCACCGAACCCACGGCTGAGTCATAAGGAGTCGCTGGGGCGGGTGGGGGGTGGGGGTGGAAGCGGTGGATCCTGGAGCCGCCCTGGCCCCTGACGCCCCCCGGGGGGCGCCCTTCCTCCTGCCGCCCCTGGTCGCGCAGCCGAGCTCAGGGAGCCGTCCAGGCTGCTGGGCGCCCTGCTCCAGCTCCCGCTCCCGCCGACACCTGCAGGCCCCACGTGGCCGCCGCGCCAGGCCGGCCCTCAGCCCCGGAGGTGTCCCGGCGGGAGGCCCCGGGGCAGCTTCCTCTCAGCCCCGACTTCAGCCAGGCCTTCCGTTCTCCCACTCACAGGCCTGACGCCTGGGTCCGGGCCAGGAGACGTGGGAGGTGGGGGGCTGCCCAAAAGAGTGGGCCTGGGGACAGGGTGCAGGGAGCCCCGCATGCTGCCTGCCCTGCCGCCCCCCGAGGATGTGAGAAGCGCGTTTGTTTCATTTCTTCATGGGAGGTGGGTCGAAGCCTCAGGCCTTGGGTAGGTCTGGGGACAGCTGCTCGGTGGAGCGGTCACATTTCCAAGTGTTTGAGGGTCCCCAGCTCAGGGTCTGCTCAGCCTGGCCCTTCCGGACTCCTTCCCACAGGGCCTGCAGGACGACCCAGGGTGGACACCCTGCCAGCAACACCAGGCGGGCCCCACACCCCCGGCCCGGACGCCCTCACGAGCCACCTGCAGGCAGACGCCCCGCGGACCTCAGAGCAGCTGGGCCCGGCAGGGTCGGCCTGCACAGGCCCCGGCAGGCGCAGGCCCCTTGGGACACAGAGGGCGGGGGTCCCCGACCCGGCGCTGGAGGCCACGGCCCCACGAGGCCACACGCCCGGGCCGGGGGCCACGTCATGGGGGACGGGCTCTGCGGGCACGTGGATGCCGCCTCCCTTCTCTCTGGGTCTCGTTCTGCTCCCGCCCCCGGGGGGCGCCATCCCGTTGGGTCTCGGCCGCCGCGCCCCGTCCCTGTGGTCACCTGCGTCACCCTCGCCGGGCTCCGGGGCCCCCCGCTCGCGCTTGCCCAGGCCTGGAGTGGGGGCAGGTGGCCCGCCAGGACTCAGGCCCCAGGGGGAAAGAGCAGGTTGGGGACGGCCCGGTGGGAGGGGCCGGTGCCCCGGGCGGGGGGGGGCCCCGCTGGGCAGCACACTTGGCAGGAGGGGAGGACAGGGCCCGCCCCGCAGGGTCCAGGCCCTGTGAGTGGCCGGCACAGGACCCGGTGCAGGTGAAGAGCCAGCAGACCTGCAGGAAGCCGGGAGGCCCCGGAGGCTCAGTGGGAGGCTCCTAAAGCCGAGGAAGGCTGCTGGGCGGCGGCTCGCAGAGCCCCTGGATGTGGCCTCTGCCCCGGGGACGTGCGGGGCCCGCAGCAGCGGGAGGCAGGGAGGGGGCCGGGAGCTGGACAGGGGATGCCCCGGCCGGGAGGTCGGCGTGGTCCCCCCGGCAGCAGCCAGGGCCCCCCGCCCCCGAGCGGGGCTGGGCCGAGGGAGGCGTGGCGCTGCGTGCGCGGCCCCCCTGTCCGCAGGCCCCTGTCCCCCACGGCCACTCCAGACGGCAGAGGTGGTGTCCTGCCCCAGCCCCAACTCCGCCCCTCCAGGGCCCTGCTGGGCAGCCCTCTGCCCCCTCCAGGAGCCTGTGCCCAGGGCAGCCCCTCAGGCAACGCTGGCCCTGGAGCCGGGCTTCCCTCCTGGCTGGGGGGCTGCAGGCCCCGAGGGAGGGCCTGAGGGGGCTCCCGGCGCAGAAGCTAAAGAGGAAACTTAACAATTTGAGAAGCTGAGCAATTCAGTCCCCAGCACGGGCTCCACTGCGGTGCTGTCTCGCCGCCGGGCTGCTTTCTCCCTCAAAGGGCAGCAACGGGGCGCGGCGCAAGGCAACTCTGAGGCGCCCCGTGGGCTGTGGCTCCCTGGCCCCCAGCAGCAGCCCCTCCGGGCCCCGAGGGGAACGGCGGGGGCCGATGGGCGTCCACCCCGGAGCCCGGCACAGCGGACCTCGGCGCTGGTGCCTTTCCCACCAGGGTCCCCCCATGGCCGCCAGGAAGACGGACCCCGAATGAGAGGACTGTCCAGGCGGAGCAAATGCCCTGGGGCGTCTATGGCTTGGGAGACGCCAGCGCATCTGCGGGAGTTTGGTGGTGACCCAAACCCGCGTCCCTGATGGGCTCTGGGTGTGGTCGCCCCGTCGCGTGACCCCCACAAGGGGAGGGGCCCCGTACGTGCTCCTGCCCTCTCTCCTCCTTGTCCATAAGGTCTGCGCCCCCTGCGCCCCCCACGGCCCCGCCGCCTCCCGCTGGCCAGCGCGGCGGCGGCCTCGGGAACCGCTCGGTGAGGGGAGCCAGGACGCAAGCAGTGGCAACGGGAGGAGCCCGCCCCTCGGGGAGCAGGCGCCCCCCCAGAGAGGAACCGGTGATGACTGGCTGGAGCTGCCGCCTCGAGCCCCAGGGTCCTTCTGGGTGGGGGTCGGTGGGGGGACCGCACGGAGCGGGGAGCCGCACCTCCTGTGGGCCCGTGTGGGAGGCTGCAAGGGGGAGGCCTTGATCTGGGTCCCGCCGTGGACGGTCAGCGCCTGGCCCCAGCCAACAGCTTGGCCTGGCAGCTTTGGGGCCGGCCCCGGGCCTGGGCCCCTCCTCTGCAGCCTGTCTAGGGCCAGGCCGAGACTCTGGAACTCCCTCCTTGTCTCCCCCCGCACCAGGGGTCCAGCCTCCCCGCTCCCGCCTGTCCTGGGGCCCAGCAGATGCAACCCCAGGCCAGGCGTCCCCGTGGGGCCCGGCGGGGGCCTGCTCCCAGCCCCCAACCCTGCCCACTGCACTCCGCGCAGCCACCCCACGCTCGCTGCTGTCCCGAAGGCAGGGCTCTCCTCGCAGCCCGAGCGGGCGCCTTGCCCTTCTGCGCCCCCCGGCCCGCGTGCGCTCCAGAGTGGCCCCGGGGCTCTCCTCGGCCTCAGCCCCGCGCGCGGGCAGAGCGGGCCAGGGGCCGCAGAGGCGGACGGGGCAGCCGGGGCTCGTCCTGTGGGCGCGCCCTGGGGGCAGGGCTGGGGGTGTGCTCGGGCCAGAGGAGGGCCCACGGCAGCCCCCGGGCCTGTACAACCCCAGGGCGGGGGCCGGGCCCGGCTCCTGACGGGTGTCCAGCGGGGGTGGGGGCGGACGGTCCTCCGGCTCTGAAGGGGGCCCCCCAGGGCAGCGAGTGCTCGCGTCAGGCTGCTCGCTCCCGGGAGGGATGCCAGGCGCCGGGGCTCTTGGGGGGCCCCTGCCCCAGACAAACCCTGGTGCCTGCCCCCAGCGTCGGTGCCAACGAGGAGTAAGAGGAACCAAACACGCTTGTTGGGTCACCAGTTGAGAACTAGTCACACCAACGACAGGCCCGGCATCTCGGGCGTCTGCACGGCTGGCAACACCTCCGGGGGTCCTGCTGCCCTGGCCCAGTGGGTCCTGCCCCCACTCTCGGCTAGGAAGGGCCCGGACGGGCCGGAGGGGCACCCCCTGCTCTGGGCCTCCCCGCCCTGAGGTGTGCGGCAGGCAGGGCGGCAGGACCTTCCTGAGACGCTGAGTCCAGGCCTTACCCGCTGCCCAGGAGGGGCTCTGGGCCTGGCGTGGGGACCACAGGACAAGGGGCGCATGCAGGGCCCGCTGGACACCAGGGCGACAGAGCAAACACCAGATCTGTGGGCGTGTCCTGGCTCTGCTCTCCTGGCGGCCAAACTGCCCCCGCCAAGGCTGCCACGTGTCGGGGACAGGCTCCGTCCTGGCGCCGTGGCTCAGCCGGCCGTCACCGAGACGGGCAGGCCCAGCTGGCCCGCGGGGTGGCTCCTGGCGAAGTCCCAACCCCGTGGTGCTGGGCTGGGGCGCGGGGGCCTCTCCCAAGGTGTCCGCAGGCCTGGGGCCAGACCCATGCCCGAGGGCCACTCCAGAGACTGCAGGATGGGACGGGGTCCTGGCAGGCCTCTGGAGGGGCAGGCCAGCCCAGGCCACCCGGGGTCCTGCGTGGGCTCAGCCCACGGCTGTCCCTGGCCCGGGTCCGGGTCCGGGCAGGACACCGCAGGGCGGGCTGGGCTCGGCTCCCGCAGGCCCCGGGCCCCGCAACCTCCCTGTGAAATTCCTGAGCCTATTTAGGTTGCTCGTTATTTTTTAAAAGAACTAAAAGCTAAAAATAGTGGCGACGCGGCACCAACACGGTCCTTACCCCTCCGCTGCCGCCCAGAGGCTGCGCCGCTCAGCTGCGCCCCATTCAGAGGCTGGCGCTCGGGATGCGCCCCCCCCCCCCACACCCGGCGGCGGCCGCACGGCCTCAGCCGTCCCCACGATGCGCCCGGAGCCTCAGGACACCAGCACCCACTTCCCACAGATACAGCGTCAGCGACGCCGCCCGCGTCCCGGAGGCTGTGGGGCTCCCTTGAGGTGTCCCAGAACCTCCCCACCCCACAGGGCGTCTTGTTGGCTCAGCAACTCCCACGAGGGCTGGCGGGGTTGTGCGGGGGGTTAGGGGCTCTGCCGGCCGTCGCCAGTCAGGGAGGGGAGGCCGCGTCTCCGGGCCCGAGCAGCACAGCGCCCGGCAGCTGGACTCAGATGAACCCTGGGCCCCAGGGACCCACACATCCACTGGGGGCTCGGGCAGCCCCTCAGCCACGGCTGTCGCCGTCCCGACGCGGGTTGTCCCCGAGCCTCTGTGGCCCCGTCGCCACCCACACACCTGGCCGCGGGCGCTTCTCCCACAGGCCTTTGTGCAGAGAAAGCCGTCTTGTTTTGGATCCCTGAGCGCCCCGCCCCCCTTGGAGGGGGGACCCCGAGGACACAGGGTGTCCAGTCGCACGGGGGCCTGTGTCCGGGCGCCAGTGCCCCAGCCGAGCCCAGGGACCACGGCGGGGGCCCAAAGCCGCGGAGCCTGCCCAGCCCTCACGCTGCCCGCCTTCCCCGCAGGGAACCCCCGGCCAGGGCGGCGCCGGCCAGCGTGAGCCGCAGCCCCGCCCGCAGCGCCGGGTCCTGCGCTGCGTCCTCGGGGCAGAGCCACCTCAGCCGGTGCCCGCAGAAGAGCCGGACACGCGTCATCAGAAAATAGTTTAATTATGTACAGGCGGCCCCAGGCCGATCACACCCGGGGCCACGGGAGGCGCACGAGGGGCCGGGGCGACGGGGAGCAGCGCGCTCCGCCCCGAGGGGGGACGGCCACCGAACACGACGAATCACAAACCGTGACGACTGGGAGAGGCGTGAACAGACACTTTCCTTTGGGAAAAAGAGGAAACCAGAGGCCCCGGGACGCTTTCTTCCCGCCGGGGTGCAGGCCGGGGACCCGCAGGGGCAGCCGGTGGCCCCGGTGCGGCCACGCTGGCCTGGCCCACGCGCCTCAGCCCGGGCAGGTCCCGTCCGACCTCTGCTGGTTCCACGCGCAGCCGTGACCGTGAGGGCTCAGAAGAGGGGCCGCGCGCCTTGGCTCTCGAACTCGGACCAGGCGTCGCTCAGCTCCATGAAGACCATCCTGGCCTGCTGCTCGTACGGCTGCCCTGCGGCCTGCGGGCGGCGGCGAGGCGGGCTCAGGCCTGCTCCCGCCCCGCGTGGGCCTGCCGCCCCGCCCCGCCCCGCCCCGCCCCAGGCGCGCACCTTGTCGGGGTGGACCACCAGCACAGCCCGGCGGTACTGCCTCTTCACCTGCTCGGGCGTCACCAGGTCGGCCATGCCCACGGGTGTCCAGCGAGTCTCGCCGTCCCACAGCACGGTGTGCAGCGTGGACAGCAGGGCGCGGATGTTCCTCTCCTTGCCCTCGGTCCAGTCCAGGAGCTGCGGGGACGTGGGGGACACAGGGGCTGCAGGGCAGGCCTCGGGCCCCGGCCCCACCCACCGCGCGGCCGCCCTCCCGCTTTCGGCGCGGACCCCACGCAGGCACAGTCCGCTCTGCTCCCCGGGTCGGCGGGTCACCACCCAGACCCAACAGCACACGGAACCTGTGACCCTCGTCAGCCGGCGTCTGCCGACGACCTGCCCGCATGGTCTCGCCTGGCGCGTCCCTGGACAGCAGGCCAGTCTCCAGGGCAACCCGCCAGACGACCCCAAGGCCACGGGGCCGCTGCCGCCTGCCGATGGCCTTGTGGCCAAGGCCCTGAGCGCGCAGTGACGCGGGCCCACAGCCAGCCCTGGGCAGCAGAGGCCGGCGCGGGGACGTCCCCTCACCCCCAGGCCCTGCGGCGGCCTCCAGGGCACTGCGCCCAACCAGGGGCGCGTGCGGCCCGACCTCCGGGGGCGGGACGCTGAAGTGAGAGGACACCAAGGCCGCCCTCAGGCCCGATGGCACCGGGGCCTTCGCGGAGACGCCGCCGTGTCCGGACGGTGTGCGTCCGCTGCAAAAACCCTCAGGCAGGAGGCGGGCCTCTGCGGGGGTGGCGCACGAGCCCCCCCGAGTGTGAGGGCTGGCGAGAGGCACCGACGGCACCAGGAGACCCTCAGTGAACCCCACGGCCCCCGGGGCGCCCCGTCTGCCGCGCACCTTCAGCTTGAGCGGGTCTGCGTCCCTCGCCTGGTCCTGCCGCCTCATCTCGGCCATGGTCCTCGGCCCCTTCTTGTCGGTTTTGGAGGAGAAGCCTTGATTGGACAGCAGGTCTTCAAAATCGTTCTCGGACACCCGCGGCTTTTGACCTGGAGAAAGACAGGGTCTGCTGAGGCACGCGGGCCCCGCGCGGACCTCCCTGACGCTGTGCTTGCAACGCGGCGGCCGCCGCGGCCTGAAGCGCAGCAGAGGGAAGAGGACGCGCCCGCCAGGGCGGCCGCCGCCTGGGCTGTGCTGGCCCAGGGACCCCCCGAACCCCACCAGCCCCCAGGTGTGGCTCGTCCAGGGTTAGGGGCCTCGCCAGGCAGCTTCCCAGGAGGAAACCACACACAGAAGGGGGCGGCTCACCAAAGCTGGGGGCGCGGACGCCCCGCTCCTCGCGGTCGCCGATCACGCTGAAGTTCGCGGCGTAGTTGGGCCTTGGCTGTGGACAGGTTTTGGGGGATGCCTTGGTCTGGGGGGCCCACGGGGTGCCCTGGGCCGGGGGCCGACTTGACTGCCAAGAGTTGCCACCCTTGGGAGGCGGTGCTGCTTTGGAACCGAAGCCCCCGGGAGCAAACCCGCCGGGCGAGCCTGGGGAGACAGAGAGGGAGCCTAAGACGCAGAGGCCGGGAAACGCGCACCTGCCAGGCGAGCGTCGGCGGTCCGACACCAGGAGGGAGCAGCATCACTGTGGCCCCCCGGCTGGGCAACGGGGGGACAACCGAGGGGCAGGGGCACAGCGGGGACGGTCCTGGGGTGGTCTGCCTCCCCAGCGCTCTCAGAGGCAGGGCTGATTCTTTAACCGCTCATTCGGAAACAGGCTCACAGGAAGCTGCAGAGCCAGAGCCCCCGCCCAGAGCCCCAGGCTCAGCCCACACGCAGCAGACAGACCGACCGGCAGCCTGGGCGCACACGGGCTCGGCTGGCGGACGTGTGTGTGCTGTGTACACACTCCCATGAGCTTGCGTGTGTCTGCAGAAACCTTACTAGATCCCGGGAGGGAACTGAGCGCCGTCTGCAGGTCTGGGGCGCCCTGGCCACGCCCCCTCAGGGCCTGCCTCCAGTTCCTTCCGTCGCGTCTGGCTGTGCACGGTCACCACACGCCCCGGTCCCCGTCCCTGACGTGCCGCCTCTCTCGGTGACTGTGAATGGCGCTGTTTTTGACCCGGGTCCGTGGGTGCGCCGCCAGTCCCCAGGCACGGCCGAGGTCTGCCCGCAGCTCGTGGAGCTGCCGCAGGAGGAGGGGCTCACCGCGTGCGTCGGACAATTTTCAGGAATCCCGGGAGGCGCGCCGCGGAGACAAGCAGGTCAGCTGGGACGGACAGCGCCCCTCCTCCCTCCTGCCTGTGCCGGCAGCCCCCGGGGAGGCGCGGGGGCAGGGCGCTCTGGCCTGCCCCCTCGGGTGCGCTTTTGTAGATGCTCCCCCTCAGGCTGATGAACGCCCCCCCGCCGTCACAAGTTGAGTGTGTCTGTCACTAACGGGCGCCGAACTCTGTCAGGGCCTCTTCTGCGCTGTCGACGGCTGCCCTGCGGGCCCTGCCGCCGCTTCCCGCGTGCGGCCCCCCTGGGACGAGGAGCCCCCGCCGGTGTTGGCAGGACCCCACCCCGGGCGCCCGCCTGCCCAGGGTCTCGGCCCCGACCCCAGCGCGGTTCTGGCCGCGAACGTGCTGGCAGCCGGCCCGGCCGCCCCCGTCGCGGGGAGAGCACGTGGGACCAGCGAGAGCCCTTCAAGCGTCTCCCGCGAAAGCACCTGGGACCGCGGCTCCCGTTTTGGGAAGTTCTAAGTAGAAGCTCGTTCTCCTCGTAGTTAGAGAAGTGCTCAAACGACCTACGACACACGCGCTTGTCTGTCCGCTCCGCAGGCCTTATCGCGCTTCCCAGCCGTGTCCGCCTCCTCGGGGCCTCGGTCTGCCGCCGGTGTCATCTTTGTTTGTAGAGTTTCTCTTAGTAGAGCTTTGTCAATCTCATCGGCCTTATCAAACACCCGCTTCCTGTTGAACCCGTTCGAGTTCACTCTGCTGCTCCTCTCGGGCGCCTCCCGGTGAGGCCCAGGCCTCGGCATGTCCCCTCCCCTGCGTTCTGAGATGGCCTGTGTGTCACTCACAAGTGCCGTTTCCAAGCGTGCGAGGACCTGCCCGTGGCCTTGCGGCCCAGGTGCCGGGCTCGATTCCACGCGGCTGTGTCACGCCCAGGCCACGGCCTCTCCGGGGCAGGTGCCCCAGGGGCGCGAGGACACGTGCCAGCCCTCCTCTCACCCGCTCGCCGTCCGGGCAGCGCCCCACGGTTGGAGACCCCGGACGCGGGGCTCTCCAGCAGAGGGAGTCTGAGTTTGTCTGCTTCTCCTTTCGGTTCCGCCATCTTGGTTTGAAACCGTGCTTCGGGCGGTGGGGGGAGGGGCGGAGGGCCTGGGGCTGCCGGGCAGAGCTGAGGGTGGGCTCCCTCCCACGGGTAGCGCTGCAGACCCTGACAAGCCCTCCCCCCACGGGACGTGGAGCCCGCAGGCCAGGCAGCCCCCCCACATGCCGAGGGCCCAAGACACAGCTGTGCAGTGGGGGGAAGCGGGGGCCAAGCCCAGCCGCTGGGAACGCCCCTGAGGGACTGCAACCCCAGCACCAGGGACCTGCTAGAAAAACGGGCCCAAGAAAGAATGGAGCTCTCCTAGGACCCGACCAGAGGGCGGCAGCAGGAGCCCTCGACACACAGCGGAGGGAGCGGCGCGGCCCACAGGCCCACAGACCCACCCGCGGCCGCCGAGAGGGGGCGAGGGCGGGGGGGGGGCGGGGCACAGCAGGGGGCCTCCTGGTGCCCGGGACTGGGCTCCCATGCCTTTAACGGACGGCGCGGGGCCACCAGCACGGGGCTGCAGGGGCGGCCCCCACGCTCCAGCGGGAGGCGCTGGGCCGCCCAGAACTGAGAGGTGCTGCTTCCAGCCTCCAGCGGCACCCGCGGCCCGGCTGCCGCAGGACGGCAGGCCTCTCAGACACTCGCGGCCTCTGAACAGTCTGTGCCCACACACTTCTGAGGGGCCACACGGCGGGGCCACGTGCCCCAGGCCGGCCCCAGGACGCCTGACATCAACAGAGCAAGGCAGATGCAGGGTGCCCGCGGGGGCCCCTCTCCCCCACGGCCCCACGGCGCCACCTGCGAGGGCCAGGCCCGGACGGCCCTCCCCCGCTCGAGGCACTTGGTCAGCAAGGCTGGCCACGGGGGCAGCTGGGCTGCTCCTGGTGTCAGTGGCCCGGGTCCCAGTGGACGAAGGAGAAGGTCCCTTCCAGGGAACCTGAGCCTGGCACAGGGGGCTGCTCGCGAGCAGACCCGGCCCCGCACGCCCGCCCGGGCCCGCCCTGCGCATCACCTTGGAGGCTGGAGCCAAGGTCGCCGAGGTCTGCGAATGGGTCCAGGCTCTGGGACTTGGTCTGGCTGGCCGGAGGGCCTGGAGGGGCCGGCTGGCCTCCCGGACAGAGGAAGGGGCCTGGAAAAGGACAGATGTCACACCGGGTGCGGGGGAAAGGGTGCCCAGCCCACTCTCCGGCCTGACGCCGCGGGAGGCCTCGCTCGGCTCCACGGCATGGAGCGCCCGCCCAGACACGCCGCGCCCAGCACTGCCCCCGCCCGCCCGCCCGCCGCCCCTGGGGCCTCCCACAAGTGTGAGTGCGCCCCGCAGTGTCCCTGCGACAGGGTCGGTTTGAGGACGCCCTGCAAGTCAACGCCCGCGGGGACGCCGGAGCCGCCACAGGCGGCGGCTCCTTGAGGCCGGGGCTCCCGAAGGCAACGAGCCAGGGACAGCTTTCCCGTGGGAAAAACAGGCCAAGAGCATGAAACAGCTCTAAAAAGATACAAATAACCAAAAACGTGGAGCAAACAGGAGATCGAGGGACCCGTGCCACACGCCTGTCAGCCCGACAGCCTCTGACCGCCGCCCACAGGTGACACTGCCCAGCAGGACAGAGCCGCCGGCGCCCGGAGAGAACGGACGTCGCACGCACAGGCCACGAGGGCTGTCACGTGTGCCCCCCAGGACACGAGGGGGGACAGGGTGGTGGGTGCCGGGCTGCCCCCCCAGGCGCCAACCGGTGTGCGGGCCCCGCGCCCCGCCCGTTCCCCCGCTTTTCTGGGAGGAGCTGCGGCTCCGTGGGGAAACACGGAGCAGGCACCCTGCGGGGACCCCAGCTCCCGGGGACAGGGCCGCACCTTCTGCGGCTGGCGTGGGGGCTGGCGCCTCAGCCCAGGCGTCCCACCCTCCCAGGAGGTCCGGCGGGCTGGCCGAGGCCCTTGTCCTGCTGGGCTCTGCCGGCACGTCCCCTGGAAAAGAGCGCGCGCACCACGGTGTGTCCCCGCGGGGGGCCCCGTCAGGTTCCAGGGGCCCGAGAGGCCGGGGGTGGCGGCCGCGCTGACGGAAGCCACAGGGGCGGCCGGCGGAGCGACCCGCGGGCATCGCCGCCCCGCCCCCCAGGCAGCGCCCACGCGCACGGCCGGCTGCACACAGTGCCCCCGCGCTGCCTGCACCCACCCTGGAGCCGGGGCAGGAGGGGCGGACCTGCGCGGCCGGGCCCCCACTCACCCAGCTGCAGGAAGTCGGTGCTGCAGGCGGGGGGTGGGGCACTGTGGGTGCGGGGGAAGGACGGGGACGGCGCGGCCGGGGTGTCTGCGGCAAGGAACGCGCCGAAGAGGTCGGGCTGGGAGCCGGGCCGGGCGTCGGGGTCGGAGGTCAGCAGCAGAGGGTCGAACGGGTCGGCTGCAGAGATGCCCAGAGAGCAGGCGGGTGAGGCTGCGCAGGCCCGGACCTGGGGCCCCAGCGCCGCAGGCGCTAGGAGGCCCCACAGACGCCGGGCCCCCGGGCCGATGCCCTGGCCTCAGGCTGGCTGGGAAGGGGCAGCCTAAGCTCGCGGGATGCGAGCCCAGGACGGGCAGTGGAGGCCGACCGCCCTGGGCCACCCGCCTGCCCGCCCGGCTCACGGGGCCGGGGCCGTACGTACCGGCAGCGGCGGGCCCGCTCGCCGGCGGGGCGGGGTGCGTGAAGAGCAGGGGCGTCTCCCCACCGAGGAGGTCGCCTGGGGGACCGTCGGGGGCGGCTTCAGGGGCCCCCAGGAGGGAGCCGAGCAGGTCGGCGTTGCTGGGGGGTGCCCCGGGGGCCTGGGCGGGGGGGGCCGGCTCCGGCTCAGAGTGCAGCCCCAGGAGGTCAACGCTGTCCTCTGGCTGCCGGGGCTCCTGGGGAGCGGCCGGCGAGTCCGCCTCGAGGACCCACTGCTGCCCCTGCGTCCTTGGCGCCGCGCCCGGCCCGTCCTCCTCGGCTGCGTCCCTGCTCTCGGCGGAGAGGGTCGCTGTGTCCTCGTCCGACGGCTCGCTCTCCCCTGCGTCCTCAGCCGGAGCACATGGCGTCTCCTGGGCAAAGCTGTGCTCTGGGCCCGTCTCTGCGTGTCTCTCCTCTGCAGAGAGAGCGGCTCACAGATGAGCAGAGGTCGCACGGGCAGGACCGCGGGGGCTGGGCTGAGCACAGCGCAGGCCCGCAGGCCAGTGTGGGGCGGGCGCCCCCAGGGCCTACCGTGCCAGTCCAGCGAGTGCAGAAAGTGGCCGGAGTCGGGGCCGCTGCTCTGCGGGGACTCGGGCTCCGCGGGCTCCGCGTCTGGGGAGCCTGTCTCGGCGTCATACTGGGCGGTGGAGCCTGGCTGCCGGGGGAGCTCCGGCTTCCCTGCCGGGAGAGAGCAGGTGGGCCTCAGGCCGCCGGCGTCCAGTGCGGGCAGCCCCCGAGGGGCCGGGAGGCCTGTGGACGGGCCCCTGAGCTGCCCGGCCCCTCACGCACACGCGCACACGCAGGCCCACACACACGGGCACTCCCCAGGGTGCTTAGCCGCCTTCACGCAAGAACGTGTGAAAAGCGCAAACCAAGACCAGAAGGAGGACTGTGACGTGGCCGCCCTCGGCCGCACGAGTCCTGCCGGCCAGCGTGCCTTTTATGCTACTTTTTTTGTAACTGCTCTGAAATAAGAAGAGGAGACGGCTGAGCTGAGCCGGGGGCTGGGGTCCCCGTGCCCAGCTGGTCCAGAACGAGGCCTCAACGCCTCCGAGTCACACGGGAAGTGCCTGAGCGTCCAGAAACGCGCCCTCTCCGAGCCGCCCAGAGACCCAAGCCTGGCCCCTGTGGGTCCAGCCTGCGGCCATGCCCGGGGCGGGGGGCGCTGCCTGGCTCCAGGCGCTGCGGACAGACCCCTGCCAGCGGGGCCTGAGCCTCCCTCCCGGTCCCCCGGCGCCGTGTCGGGATGGGGCCCTCACCGAACTTGGAGAGGATGTCTTGCTGCTCCTCCCGGCTGGAGAAGAGGATCTTGGGGTTCAGGCCCCTCATGCTCGTGCTCTCCCAGGGAGGGGCCTCCCGGCTGGGCCTGTCCCGGGGCTCCACCTCCACGTCCAGGCTCACCTGGAACAGGTCCGGGTACTTCTCCTGGATGTCGCAGGCGTCCAGGTCGTACCTGCAGGAGACCAGCCCAGTGTCAGGAGGCGCTGGACTTGCTCACAGGCCACCCCGATGTCCAGCAGGAACAAGCCCAGTGTGGAGCGGGGTGCTCTCCGGCACAGGCGTGGGCCACAGGGACAGGCGGGCGCTGGCTCTCAGCCGCACGAGCCACCGGGGCTGTGCCCTCCAAGCAGCTCCGGGCCTGCCCTCCCCCTCGGGCCCTGGGTTCAGGTCCGGCTGAGACACGAGAGCTGTTTGCAAGGCAACGAAGCCGCCTTCCCTGGCAAGACTCCCTGCTGGTTGGCAGGTGCCCGAGTCACCTGCCAAGATGGGGAGGGACAGGCAAGACGCCCAAGACTTCGCCTCCCGGCACCACATGGCACAGGCGGGCGGCAGCCGTGTCTGGGGTCACCGGGCAGGGGGCACTTGGGCCGCCGGTCCCAGCTCTGTGGGAACGCAGGGCGTCACACGCCCCGACACCACACCCGGCGACATCTCACACCCGTGTGGACAGGCCGGGCCCTCAGTCAGGCCCAGGCTGCCCTGTCAGGCAGGCCCTTCACGCCGCCCGCATGCCTGTCCCACAAGTCACAGCAGCGAGACAACAAAACAGGGGCAGCAGGGCCCCCAGACCCAGGGGCTTGGGGGGGCCCCTGAGTCCGCTGCAGCCCGAGCAGCGCCCGCCGGGAACAGACCCCGTCCCAGGCCCGTGCAGCAGGGTCCCGGGACGCCCGACCGGCGGCCAGTGTGCGGGAAGCACCGGTGGATCCTCCATGAGACAAAAGCAGGGAGCTCGCACCGCCCAGCGGCAACGCCCAGCCTCGCCCCCCGCCCCCCGCAGACGCAGGCCGCGGAGGGCAGCCCGGGCCTCCCGCTCCTTGGGCGGCGGCCCCTCCGTCCACTCACTCCGGGGCCCGTGGCCGCCACAGCCCCGTCCCGTCCTGGGGCAGGGATCCCGGCAGGAAGGCCTGCACCAGGCAGAGGAAGCGAAAGCAGAACAGGCACGCGGTGAGCCAGGGACTGGGGTGCCGGCAGCCGGGGAGCGCAGCCGCCGGCGAGGGCCAGGGCACGGGCGCACGGCGGGCCCCGGTGAGGAGCGCAGCACCTGTGCGGGCCCCACCCCGCCCCCCGCCCCCCGCCGGCCCCAGAGCCCGCCCGGCCGCCGCCCGGCAGGCCGGTGAGGGCACAATGAGGGTCTGTGGGCGGGGGCTCCAGGGCCCAGGCTGGCAGAGGGCCCAGCCCCCAGGCCCCGCTGGCCTCCTGAGCCCCCGGCCACGAGACAACGGGCAACCCGCGTCTCGGGCCGCCGCCCTTCCCCGCCCACCCCCAGAGGACTGCCCCTCAGTCCCAGGACGCCTCACTGGGGACGGGCTCGCTCAGGCCGGTCTGACCGCATCCCAGGCCGTCGTTCCAAGCTCCTCTCGAGCGGCGCTGCTGCCGCTGCACCTGCCCGAGTCCGGCCCCCGGGACACACTCCTCCGCATCCGGGAGACGCCGCACGGCTGCCTCCCTGGCAGGTCCACAGCCGGGGCGCAACACCCCGCGGCTCACAGACCAGCGTCCACACCGATGCGGCCAAACTTATGTCACCAGCGCACCCAGAAAGTCCCTTCCAGCCGCGAGGCCCGGTGCCCCTCCCGGCAGGCCCTCCCCGGCCATTCCGACCCCCCGCCCCGCCGCCCGCACCAGGCCAGGCGAGCGGGTCCCGCGTCCTCGCCCGCCACTCCCGGGCGCTCAGAGGCGCACAGGCTGCCACGGGGGACGCCGTCCGCGTCCCGTGCTGCCCCGGGCGCGCGCTCAGGGACACGCGCGGGCGCGGGGCGTGAGCACGAGCAGAGGGCCCCCGCGGCCCCAGATGGGCGGCCTCCCCCCGCGGCCTCCCCGCCCGCGGGGACCCTCCCCCGCATTCCCCAGCGCTTCAAGGCGCGGCACGTGTCTTCCGTCTGAACGCCTACAGCCAACCCCTGCTTTGTCTGAGAACACCTTTCCCTTGTCTTTGAAGAGTAAGCTCGCTGGACGCAGAGCGCGTTCTCCTGGGCCTCTGGGGAGCCCGTCCCCCGCGAGGCCGTCCGGCTGCCGCCCCCCCCCCCCCCCCGTCAGGTGCTGGTTTCCAGCCCTTCCGATGCGACGTTCAGGGAGCAGGTTCTCTCCTGAGTCCTCTTCATGGAAAGAGCTTTTGAGCCCACGGTTTCAGGTCTTTCACGAGTTTAAAAAGCTCCTAACCAGCCACTTTTCAAGGGTCACTTCTGTTCTCGCCCTCGCCTGGTCTCCCAGGGCCCCTCACGACGCGGTTCCCGGGCTCCGCGCCCTCTCCCGGGGCCGGAGGCGCGTTCTTCCTGCTCCCGACGCCCAGGTCCTGCCGGGTCCACGCCCACTGAGCAGTCTCGGCTGGGACGCGTCCGGCTCCAGGACTCAGGCCCGCGCCCTGCGCACAGCCCGGGCCGGCAGGGACCCCCTCCTGTGTCCTGAGCATGTTATTCGGCTGTTCAGACGCCTCCGGCTCTCCCGTGGCTGACCTGCCCGCGCACATTCCCCCACTTACTCATCATCCCCCACGTCTGTCTTTGAAAACAAATATTTCTAAAGTACGCTTGCCTTGCGGCTGAAAACTATCGAAGTTCTGGGAGTTTATATTCCTCTGAAAGAAGAAAAACCCCAAAAATGTTACAGTAGAGACATTGTTTAGAGTGCCAACGTGGAAAAGACTGCAAAGGCAAGGAAGTAGAAGCACGTGAGAACTCGCACGCGGAACACAAGGCGCACCCTTGTCTCCCGAGGCCGGGGCCGCTTTCCCTGGGTCTCTGCCCTGGGCGGCGCCGCGCGGGGCCCTTCAGCGTGTGGGTGCACCGAGTGCCAGGACCCGGCTTGGGTCCCAACGACCCCGTTGCTGGACATGGCAGTGTGGCAAGCGCAGGCCCCGGGGGCGGCAGCAGCGGCCCTGGGGCTCCACGTGGCTCCCTCTCGCACGGGCCACGCGTGAGCCTGGGCCTCCCGCAGCCTGCGCAGGCGTGTGGTGGAGCGGAGTGCACGCCGGCGGGTCCGGGTCCTGCCCGTGGACCCTGTCCTGCCCCGCGCTGGCTCAGTCGGTCCTGCCGCTCTGGGCCCAGCGCCTGCCTCGGAGAGGTCGGCCGCACGAGGCCCTGCCAGAGGCGTGCGCCCCAGGCCTCTGGGACCCGTTGCTGAGTAAGTCAGGAGCCTGCGGCCGACGGGGCGGGGGAGGCGGGGGCTCCCCCCTCCGCTGCAGCGACTCCCGGTTTTGTCTCTCGATCGGCCTGTGAGCCTCTCTTCCTCACCTCCCCTGTTGCTGTCCAGCGGAGCGCGGTGCACGCAGCAGGCGCTCGACAGAAGGGGGCGCGCGGGGAACACCTTTCACCCAGCTCAGCCACGCCCAGCGTGTAAGCAGCTAAATCGGCCATGACATCGGGGTGCACCACGGCGGCCACCACATTCCTTCGAGGGGGGCACCTTCAAAACCGAACCCCCTGAGATCTGGGGACACGCCCGGGCCTCAAGTCCAGCCTGGCCCACGGGCCACGCGAGAACCGCCTCCTGTGGCCTGCACCCCGTCCCTCAGCCCGTGGTGCGTGGCTGGCGGGTGCGCGCACTCCACTCGTGTCCCTCCCACGGCGACGCCGTTGGGTGTCCACCCCGTGACGCGGGTCAGCGAGGAGCTGGGACAGCTCCTCGAGTAGAACAGGGACACTGAGACAACGGCTGAGCAGTCAGTAGTCAGCCGCCACGTCACAAGACGCCGTCCTCCAGGACCGAGGACACTCAGCGTCCCCGCCGGAGGGCCGGTCGCCCGCGGCCTGCGTCAGGGGACGAGCGCGGAGACCCGGCTGCTGCCGGACGAGGCCAGGAGAGTCACCGACCAACACCCACGAGAGCCAGGTAGAGGCCCCGGCCGAGGGGGCGCTAACCAGAGCGCGGCCCGGCCCCCCTCCGCCCGCTGTGACGCCCCAGCGCAGCGGAGGACACGGCAGGAGAGCCGACGGACCGCCCCGAGGCCCCCCGCACGAGACGGACGCAGGCCCTCAGGACACGGGACCCCGCCTGCGGGCCCCCCGGGGGCGCCTGCTCGGTTTCCCCCGAGCCCCAGGGGCTTGGTGTGACGCGTGGCCAGAGGGGTGGGGGCCGCGGGCGGCTGGGTCCGGCCCCTGGGACCGTCCTGCGCCAGAGCAGCCTCACCTCGGCTCATCCGGCCGCCGTGACTTCGCGGCCGCTGCCCTCAGCCCTCTGCCTCCCTGCCCCCACCTGTGACACGGCCGCTCTCACCCGCACGTGCGCTCGGACCCCCTTCCTGCGCGGAGTGAGGAGCCCGCGGGTCCCACGCCATGCCAGGCAGGCCTCCTCAGCCCAGCCCCTCTGGGGACCCCGGCGCTCCGCCCGTCCCGCCCACGGCGACGCCAACGTACTTGGCAAACTTCACGGTGGTGGCGTTCCGAGGCACGAACCCCGTGTGGAACTGGACCTGGAACATCTTCATGGACGCCATCTGCAAAGAGAGCGCCCGGGACGCCGCCCGGGCGGGAGCGTGACGCACGCCGGGCCCGGGGGGTCTCCGCAGCCGAGGCCTCACGCACGGCTCTGGGGCGAAGGCGGGGGGCCGGCGGGGCCCCAGACCCCCCCCCCCCGGAGGGCAGCGCGCCCGGCCCCCCCGCGCGCACCTTGGCCTGCAGCCGCCCGCCCAGGGTGGCCCGCGCGTGGTAGATGACGACGAGCACGTCCCCCTGGACGGTGGTGCCCAGCGGGATGACCGCCTTGCCGTCCTCGGTCCGGAAGTCCCTGCGGCGGCACGAGGGGCGGGGCCGTGAGCCGGACGCGCGTGACCCCGCGCCCCGCGCCCGCTGGGCTCCCCGCCCCCAGAGCAGCCCCGGCGCCCGGCGCCCGCACCCACCGCATCCTGTCGTACTCCTGGGACGTGGTGGCCACGCGCTCGTCCCCCACGTAGACCTCGCAGAAGGGCCGGCAGCCGTTCCTCTGCTTGTTGAACAGCGGCACGGGCGCCATGGTGACGGCCCGCACCAGGACCGGCTTGCTGTGCGGCGTGATGGGCTCCTCGGCCACCATGTCACACATGTACTCGATGTACCTGCAGGGGCCCAGCCGGGGGCCGAGCGCGTCACCGGGCGTGTGCACGGCCACGCGCCCCACCACACGCGTGCTGTGCAGCGCACGTGCCCTGTCCTTTCCCGGTCAGACGGACGCGCTCAACTCCACCGGCAGCCCCTGAATCAAGGCTGCCGTTCCGTCTCTCAACCGTGGTGTCCGAATTTTCACTCCATTCGAAACCCTCCTGGGTCGCCCTCCTCCCTCCCTCGGAGTCACAGGTCACCTGCAGGCGGGTGGGCCCCTTCTGAAACGCTGTGGGTCTTCCCGGCTACCTTCCTGGTCCTGATGTCTACTTCAACTCTCTCAGGGCCCAAGAACGTAAACGCCCTGGACGGTTTCCACTTCTCAGCGTCGCCGCAGGTCCACGGCCCAGAGCACAGCCCTTCCTACGGGACGCTCCGCGCGCCCTGGCGGCGGGTCCTGCTGCTGCTCTGGGGTGCCCTGCGGGCGTCGGTGCCTCCCGGGCGGTGGCGCCGTGTTCTGTCCACGCACCTGCCCGCCCTCCCTGGAGGGGCGCTGAGCTCTGGGCTCCCGAGGGCTGTGTCCCCCCTTCCAGCCCCGCCGTCCTGCCCTGTGACCTTGGCGAGCCTCCGCCTGGCACTCCCCGGGGGGAGACTCCACGGCCCGCCCCTGGCTCCCTCCCAGGCGCTCGCCCTGGTCCGGGTTCCGGCCACGGGGAAACCCCCCTGGATGGGCAGCAGCGGTGACCTGCTTCGACCGATGGAAGGGGCGGGAGGCCGCTGCCGAGCACTGTCACGCCCTGTCCTGCCAGCAAACTCGCTCTTGGGCTCCCCCCAACCTCAGCAGGAGGCCGGACCAGGACCTCGGCCGCAGGCGAGACCCGAGTGAGCAGGGCGGCACTGGCTCGGCCCGGCTGCTTCCCGGTGACGGTCTCCCCCGCTGACCGCGGCCTCCGCCGACTCTGCCTCTCCGGCTGGCCACACCCCTGCCCCTCGATGGCTGCCACAGCCAGGCCAACCACCCTCTGGGCGTGTTTTCCCCTTGTTCAGCTGCTCCTGGCCCCGCCCTGGCCGCCAAGAGTCACCGGGCGGTTGCCGCGCTCTCCTGCGGCCCAGGAGCTTCTGGCGGGAATGTCTCCATCCCTCCACCTGAGCGCGGCTCTGGCCGTGAGAACAGGGCCTGCGCAGCTGGGCTTCCCGCGTTCTGACCCTGCCCAGGGTCCTCGGAGCTTCCGAGTCGGGCACCATCGCCCGCTCGCGGGATTCCCAGTGCGCGCTTCTTCAGTGTTCCCTGGCACCGCCTAAGCGAGGGTGACGGGACGGCCGCCCACGCCTGCACGGGTGTCCCCGTCCTCGTCCTGCGGAGGCGCCCGGGGCAGCCTCCCCCCACCTGCACGGTCACGGAGCCCTGTCTCTGCCGCAGGCCACCCCCCGCCTGCCGTGACCTCCCGCCGGGTGCCTCTGGGTCTCCCGCTGCCTGCGCCCTGGGGGCCACATTCTGGCTCTGACCGGCCCTGGCCGACTTGTTCCGCGGGCGCCCTCTGCGGCCTCGCCGACCACTCGCTGGCCCTTCTTTCCGGCGCCCGGACCCCGCCCTCGGCTTGGGCCCTGGCGGGCTGACTGTTCTAACGGTCAGCTTCTGTTCCCCAGGCTGCCACGCACCTGCCCGCCCTCAGCAGCTGGGGACGCTGGTGTTTTAGGTAATTACGGTGGGAACAGCACCCCGCAGGCCCCCGCCCCCACCCAGGGAGCAGCCCAGAGTCCGGCGGGGCACACTCCGGCTCCGCCCGACTGGGGCAGCTGCTCAGCGGGACCCCGTGGTGGTGGGCACTGCTCAGGAACCCTGGGTGCATTTGGGATTCGGGGGCTCAAGCGGCTTCCGGGCCGCATGTTGAAAGGGCCAGCGGCCCTTCCCCTGGCTGGGCGGCCAAGCCCGCCTGCGCTTCCCGCACGAGCGGCCCGGAGGCCGCGGCCCCTGCTGGCTCCCCGAGTGGCTGCAGACGAGATGCCACAGACGTGGCACTGCGTCCGCGCTGCCAGGCTCACCCCCAGGCACCGAGGCGGCCCCACTCCAGCCCCTGTCCAGAGGCTGTGCGCCCACCCCGGGCGGAAGGAGCGCCAGAACGCCCCGACCGGCCTGCACACCCCCCTTCCTCCCACACGGCCACCCAGAGCCCACCCGCGCCAGGCGGAGACCAGAGGCGCTGCCCCCACTGCCTGCGCGAGCAGGCAGCGCCCAGCACAGGCCTCGCGGCCACGTCTGCCCCAGGAGCTGGTGCCCAGGAGCCGGACGGAGGCACGGCCCGCCTGGACCCTCTGGCCGGCCCCCGTCTGCAGAGCAGGGCCGTGGAGGTCGGCACAGGGCGGGGCTGCTGTTCCAGGCCCAATCCCCGCCCCTTCCCGGAACCCTTCCCGCCGACCACGGCCCCGGGACACCGCACACATCCAACGTCTCAACAGAGGGGGGGACACCCAGTACCTTTTGTGGGATGGCCAGATGCCCGGCGGGCAGCGCTTCATGCTGAACATGTACACAGCGGCCTCGGCGGTGCTGAAGAGCCGGCAGAAGCACAGGAAAGAGCAGACGGCCACAGCCGACGCAGCTCTGCCGTCCTAGGGCAGAGGGCGCAGCTCAGGCAGGCCCCAGCCCGCCTCCCGAGGGGACGGACGGGGCGCCGTCGGCTGGGCTGGGCGCGCGTGCCCACTGAGAGAAACGCACCCGAGAAGGTGAGAGCCCAGCCCCGAGAGAGAAACGGCTCCTTCATAAACGGCACAGGACCCGGGCCACCACCCCCGGCCTCACGCTACTGCCCCCCCCCCATGCTCTTCGCTGTCACTCCTGGTGCGACGTTACACCAACAGCAGCACGGCTGTGCTCGCCCAGAGGGAGCACCCAGTGGGTGCCCCGCCAGGTGACACCGCAGCCTCTCCGGCAGCCGGGGCCCGACTGGCCCTCAGCTACGGTGCAGAGGGGCAGAGACGGTGCCGCCAGGCAGCAGCCGCAGTGCCAGGCTGTCGTGGGAGCCACCTCACGGGGCAACAACGCAACACCAGGGGGCGCCACCAGCTCCATTCAAAGAAGGGGGGGCAGCTGTGGGCAGTCTCCCCGAGACACGAGGCGCGACAGCTGCCTGGGGGCCCGGGGCGGGCCCTTGTGGGCCCCCGAGGGTGGGGCGCGGCCGGGGCACCTCGGCCTGCGCCGCTGCTCCTCTCGGGCCTGCCAGGGGTCCAGGTGGCAGCCCAGGCCCCCATCCTGGGTCCTGGGGAGGCGGTGGCTGGGGGCTGGCGCTCAGCAAGGAGCCCCACACTCCGGCCCACGTCACCGCCCAGGGCGCCCGGGCGCCTGGCCCTCCTCCCAGCACGGCCACCGTCCAGCACCCTGGGTTCACCTCTGCCCTGTCCCCGGGGTCCCGGCCCGGTGCTCACCATGCAGTGCAGCGCGCACACGTTCCTGTGGTCCTGCCGCAGCCACCAGTGCATGTCCCTGCACACGCTGTACAGGCTGCGAAGGCTTGGGGCCCGCCGGGCGGCCCAGCCGTACGTGGACACCTGCGGGGACAGGGCCGGCTCACCCCGTGCCCGCCTGCGGCGCGGCCCGGCTGGAGGAAGCGCCCGGCCCCTGCCGGCGCGAGCGGGAGGCCCGGCTTCTGCCGTCACCAGGGTGGCCCGTGCCACGCCTGCACCCCCCGCAGGTCCGGCCCCTCACCCGGCCGTGGAACTTGGAGGGCCGGTAGGTCCTGGGGGACAGGTTGTACACCGCGTAGCGCCCCGGGTGCTTGGCGTCCAAGAACAGCCGCACGTCTTCAATGTTGTTTTTGATGGCCGACTCCACCCCTTCTGCCGGGAAGGACATCACTGGAAGAGAGCAGCCCATCAGCCCCCAGCAACGGCCGGGGGCCGCCACGCAGCCCCTGCCCCTCACCCCCCGCCCCCCTCACAGAGGACCCCCAGGGGGCTGCAGGGGGCGTGCCCGGGAGGCAGGCTCTGCCAAGGCCCGGGAGCACCGCAGGGTCTCCCGGGGTCTGGGTCGTGCCTGGTTTTTGCCCGGAGACCCAAGATTTAAATGCACACGGCCTTGCACCCTTTCTTCCAGGACCTCAGAGCTCCGGAAAGTTCCAGACCGGGGGAGACGCTGGGTTGACATGGGCAACGTCCGCTGTGGGCCTGGAGGCCCCTGGACACGGGGACAGATGCCCTCCCCAACAACCACGCCCTTCGCGCCCTCAGCTGCATGGGGGATACACAAGCGACCCGCCTCCCACACCCCATCTCCCTGCAGGAGAGCCAGAAAGGCACCCGTGGGTGAGCCGGCAGCACACCTGCGATTCTGGACGTGACGTAAGATATGTCCAGGTCTCCCTTGGCGTAACTGGAATGGAAGAGGGCACTCGGTTAGCACAGGGTGTTCCCACGGCTACCTCACAGGAGCCTGAGGCAGGGCGAGGCTGGGGGAGCTGGGGGGCGTCTCCTGTTCAGGCTGCTGCTCACGGGTGTGAGTACGTGGTTCACCACGTGTTGGAGCACACGCGTGTGCGCGGGGATCACGGGCTGGGGGGTGCACAGGCGCAACCAGCCTGGGGCCTGAGCTCGGTGCTGCTCCACGGGGACAGGCCCTGTCGCATCCGGCAACCAGGAGAAAACCCCAAGGTGCCCCCAAAGGCCACACGCAGAGGCAGACGCGGCAGGGACGCCGAAGCGAAGGGTCCAGGGGTTTGAAACGGCTGCCACCAGTGAGCTAATGGATTAAGTGGACGCGCCTAAGAACAGACAGGCCGTGTGGGCAGAAACAGAAATCCTGAGAAAGAATCAAAAACTGAAAAAGGCCAGAGACAGAGACAGCACAGCCGGAGCGACGACGCCTTTGACGGGCATGTCAGGCTGGACGTGGCCGAGGCAGGAAGCGGAGCCACAGGGCAGGCCATCTGCGAAAACCGAGAAGCACAGAGAACAGAGGCTGCAAAGCCCAGGGCAGGACACGTGGGGGCTGCAGGCAACCCCAGCAGGGGCGCCACGTGAGGGGAGAAGGGCAGGGGCAGGACTGAGACAGCAACAGCTGAGAGGCTCCCCAGGGCCCTGCTGGGCGCCCCGGGAGCCGGGCAGGGAGACCCGGGGAGAGCCACGCCCGGGCCGCGCACACAACGGCAGGAAATCAAAGGAGAAGGGCATCCCTGAGGGGAGCGGGGGAGGGGGCGGGGCCGGACAGGACGCACGGACAGGACGCACGTGACCTACGAGGGCACAGGACAAGAATTAGACCCGCTTCTCTGAAACCACACGAGTACGGCGGGCAGGCCATCTGAAGTGTTCAAAGGAAAAAACCCAACTCAGAATTCTGGGCCCTGTGAAATGATCCTCCAAAAGTGGGGGGCGGGGGAGATTTTTTTTCAAACGACTTTTCTCAAAGAAAAACCGAAAGAACTTGCTGCTGATAGTCCTGTTTTATAAGAAACGTTGTTAGAACTTTTTCAGAAAAAAAAATAGCACAGGCCAGAAACTCTGATTCACATTAAAGAACAGAAGAGCGTCCAAGAAGGAAGGGAAGGCCGAGGGGAAGGCCCTCCGCAGCGGTAGTTCCCGGGCGCGCGGCCGTCTGTTCCCAACAGGGACGGCTCACGGGTCGTGAGGGGCGCGCGGCCGGGCCGGGCCGGGCCGGGCCCCAGGCCCCGAGGCGCCTGTCACAAAGCCCTGCCCACAGCCCCGGGGACACTGCACGCCCCGGGGCAGCCGCTAAGGGGGGAACACACAAGCCAAGACGGGCGAAAACGCAATCGCGCAGGATACTCGATTCAAACCGCGTGGAGAAGCAGAAAAAGAGCGGAAGAGCGCGGGGAACACAGACCAGGGCAGCGAACAGAAAACGGCAACAGGCACGGTGGACGCTGACCCGGGCCGGTGAGCACGCCAACCGCCGCGTCCACAGGCACCGACCAGCCGGCCGAGCCATCCGCCCCAGGCCTGCGGCCGTGGCCGCGCCCGGCGCCGGCTCCCCCCGCCGGCGGCCCTCGCGCGCTGTCCCCTCCCTCCCCGTGCCCACAGGCCCTGTGCGCAGTCGACGCGGTTCCTGTGTGAGCCACACCGTTTGAACGTGTTCACTCCCCGTCCGTCCGTGCCGTATCTTTCTGCCATTTTAAAGACTTTATTTACTTATTTCTAGAGAAAAGGGGAGGGAGGAAACCTCCGAGCGTGGCTGCCTCTCGCGTGCCCCCGGCTGGGGATCCAGCTGCAGCCCGGGCCTGGGCCCCACTGGGAACCGAGGCCGCGACCTCCCCGTTCCCAGGTCCTAGGCCAGCGCTCAGGCTGCCGAGCCGCCCGGCGGGGGCCAGGATGCGCGCGCGTAACTGACCGGCGTTGACGAGCGACGCGCCCATTAGCCGGGGACTGGGGTCCCGCCCCCTGGGGACCCTCGGTCTCCCTCCTGCCCCACAGGGTTTCACCCTGTCCCCCCAGGCCCACGAGTGCGGGCCGTGCACCCGCTGACCGCTCCACACACACGAGCGGTGCTTGAAAACACGGACGTGTGTGTGGTAGGGTTCATCCCCTACCGTTCTAACTTCTTGAAGTGCTGCTGGCTGTCTTGGGTTATGTGAATTTTAAGATCAAAGTCTGTGAAGACAGAATTTTTGTTTGTACGGCGATAAAGATCCCGATGCACCAAAGGGTGTTCTCCCAAACGGAAGTCTCTCCGCCTGTTGAGGTTTACCTGCAGGGCTCTCACGGACTCAGCCAGGCGGCGCCCAGCAGGGCAGGAAAGGAGCCCACAGTCTGGCCGCGCTTCCCGCCGGAGCCCCGAGTCAGCACCACGGGGCAAGTTCACTCTAGAATTCGTCCAGAAAAACGGCCAAGCGAGGCCTGTTCTCGGGAGGGGGGGGGAAGGAGGGGCACCTATGCGCCAGGCAGCAGCGTGCTGAGGGCTGCAGGGCCGGGGTCAGGCCAGATGGGCCGGGGAGCAGCTCAGGCTGAACGGTGGGCTGGGCAACAGGCTGGGGCGGCACCCAGCTTGTCATCAGCCGAGGGGCCCCTCCTGTCAGGGAGAGCAGCCGGGAACCAGTGAAAACGCCCACGAGCCCCGGCTGGTGTGGCTCAGTGGGCTGAGCACCATCTTGAGAACCGAAAGGAGCCAATACGGTTAATCAGGGCGCAAGCCTGGGCTGGGGGCCAGGTCCCCTGCAGGGGGCGTCAGGGGCAGCCAATCTACGTACCTCACGCCCTCCCTGCCCTCCCCACTGTAAAAGGAAGGAAACGAAACCTTAAAAAAATACCTGAACCCCCCAAGTAAGGTCCACGTGGATTAAAGACCTGAGTATACAAGCAAACTGTTAAAAACACCTCGAGACGTTCTGAAACACGAGCTTTGACACACGTCTCACCTACGTGGGCAGTGGGGGGCCTTCCCACGCCGGAGAGCAGATGAGTTTGTGGGGCAGACTCGCACTTTTAACTAAACCCAGACAAGGACAGACAAATACCAGACAAAGAGAAACTGCTGTCCAAGTGCACTAGTGTATGGAACACGCAACGTAAAAATCCAACACACACAGAAGCCCAGTGCGCAGAGAGCACAGGCCGCACCCAGAAGAGAGGTGCACGGAGCCCAGGCTGCAAGGCTCCTCCCACCCCTGTGCCTGGCGCCAGGAGGGCGGCTCAGGCCGGCCCCTCGAACCCAGAGCCGCCCACGGAGGTGTGCCGGGGACAGACGCCGCGTGTTCAAGCCCTTGCAGAGCCGGGACTCGGGGGCCGGGCGGGGGCTACGCGGACCCGCGGCGCTGGCCCCGGGCAGGTGCGGGCGGTGGGAGTCCAAGCCTGTGCTCCAGGCGGACGGGGAGCGCGAAGCTGGACACAGACGTGAGGCCTCGGGGACACAGGCCACTGCAGGTCTGGTGAGCGGGCACGCACCGCGCTCCAAGGCCCCCCGAGGCCAGGCCCCCGAGACTCCCAGGTCCACGCCCCTTCAACGAGGAGGTGGCAGAGAAGACGGCCCAGTGGCCCAGAGGGTCTCCGTCAGCAGTGACGGGAGCCATGCCCCCAAAGCCTGAGCTGGGTCCAGGTCCTTCTGTGGCTCAGTGCCCGGTGGCCAGAGGCCCCTGCTCAGCACCTGGGACAGCACCTGGAGGGTCCGTCGGTCAGTGGGGAGGTGGCCCTGCCTCTCACTCCACAGCTGCCGGGCACACGCGATCCGGCACGTGAAGGCCCAGCTGCGGCTCACACCGGGCCCCGCAGGAAGGAGGACTGGCACCGACGGCTTTGCGTCCTCCCTCGACGCTCTGCGTTTGTCCACGCGTTTGGAAAACAAAGCGCCAGCGTTGGTTTGGGGCCATTTCACAGCAAACGCCTGCGCCCACCACCCTCCCGCCCTCGACGGTGTATCCAGGCGCTGAGCCTGGGGCTGGGAACGAGGTCAGGCTGCTGCCCTCCCTCCGGCGCCGGCCCCACACTCCGTGCAGGCTCACCGTGGTACCACGCGTTCGCCCCCGGCCCTCCGGTCACCGTCCCAAAGCTGGCAGCTAAGGCCCAGGGCGCGGCGTTGTGGCCGAAAGCCGCGAGGCGCTGGCCCACAGGGAAAGGTGCCTCAACCTCGCCTTTCCCGCGTTTCCCTTTACGAGTGAGGTGCAGTCACTCGCTCCGCGTCCAGGAAAAGCCTGTTCCAGGGGGCGGCAGGGCACAGGCCTCCGGGGCCCACGCCCCACTCTGGACAGGTGAGCGCCCGGCAGTGCTCCTCACCCGGAACCTGTGCCTCCCCCCGACCCCTCCGGTCTGCACGGCCAGGACTCCAAAGGGCCCGCACTGGGAGCAGCCGACCCTCCCGGTCAAGGTGCGGCCTGGGGCCCGACGGGGGGCCTCGGTGCGAGCGGCTGCCAGCGCGGCAGGGCCTGCGCCTCGGGGGGCTGCCTCTCTGCCCACCACACAAGGTCGTCAGAGACCAAGGGCAGGGTGAGCGAGCCCCTGGACAGCACGATACACGTGCACACAAGTGCTCACACACACGCAGCCCCACACGTGTGCGCGCACACCCATCCACACGTGCACGTCCACACAAGCACAGAACTGTATATATGCACGAACAAACGCACACCTGCTCCCACACAGGGCGCACCTGCATGCAAAGCCCGCACCAGCTCACATGTGAACACACATGTGCCTGCTCGTGTGGGAGCATCCACGTGCCACATGAACACATGCCTGGCCATGCAAGCACACCTGTGCATACCCACAAGCCTACATGCAAACATGCTTGTACACACCTGCTCACACGCATGCCCACGTACCACACATAAAAATACCCAATCATGCACACACGTGTTCACACGTGCACACCCACTCACACCCACAACATACAAGCACACCCATGTGTATCACCCCCCCGTGCACACCAGCACACAACACACGTGCTCACATACATGAGCACGAGTGCCTCCATCTATGTTGCCCACATAGTTCCGGACCAAAATTACACTCGAACGGCTACACAGAAGAGGAGACGGGGCCAGGCCTGCGCCCCGGCCAGCAGAGCTGCTGGTCGCAGTCGGAGGAACAAGTGTGTGTCCCGGCCGGGGCTCCCGGCCCCTCAGGCCATTGCGGCTCTGCTCCTGGAGCCGACGCAACACAGAGCCCCCTGGTGAGGCTGCTGCCCCCGTGCCAGCCACACGGGGGGCCTGGGCGGGTCGCAGGGCACACAGCCCAGCCAGGGGGCCGTCCGCTGGTGCCCAGAGCCGATGGGCTGCGCCTTGCGGACAGGTGCTCCCCAAACAAGCCTCCCGCAGGTGGCGCCCCTTTTGCCTATGGGCCCTGGACCCCCGGCCTGAGCCCGAGTTCTCGTGCAACGTTAAACGAGGGGCCAGAAAGGAAGCGGCCTGCGCACCATCGCGGCGGGAGAGGCGCCGTCCCTGCGCGGTCGGCGCAGCGGAGCCGACGCTCGGCTTCCTGCCAAGCCCCTCACGGCGCAGGCGGGAGAGGGGCCGCGGGGTCACCCCACCCTGCGGGGCAGAGCCCGCCCCGGGGCCGCATGCCTCACGGCCGTGAGTGCAACTCTGCCGGGGCTGGAGGCAGGCGGCTCCCAGAGGGTGGGGACCCTCTGGGCCACGGAGCAGCCGTGTGCTGCCGCCCGGGGCCTGCCCCCCCCCACCCTCAACTCACCTGGCGACGGACTGGATGACCTTGGAGGAGGTGTCCTTGATGTTGGTGAGCAGACGCCCGGTGCCCCCCCGCAGGATGTCCAGGAGGCCGCCGTAGGGCTGGTCGTACTCGGCGAGGGCCAGACCTGCGAGGAGAGACAAGTCTAGGCCATGGCTGGGCTGGGGCCCAGTCCCAGAGATGGGGTGTCCAGAGCCCCCGGGGCCTGAGTGGAGCCGCACTTCCTGTCCCCACCAGCCGTCCGCGCACGCGCACGGGCAGAGAAAGCAAACCAGGGGCCTGCGCCTCAGCCCTGCCTGGCGCCTGCCTGGCTGCTCTCACAGGGCCGGGCCGGGCCCTGTCCGCACGGGCCAAGCCTTCAGGTGCCCACGGGCCTCCAGCGCCGTCTCTGGGGTATCCGGCTGCTTCTGTTCCAGCCTCCCGGACACCGGGGACGCCGCTGCTGCGCACAGGCCGACCGAGGGCCCGGCAAGGGCAGGAGCCTCCCTCCCGGCGGTGAGAGATCAGGCGCACGCGGAGAAGGCAAGAGTGGGGTCACACCGGTGGCCGCGACCGTACAGAAAGGCCACGTGGCTGGACGGCAGGCGCACTTCTGTTTGTCCGCAGGTGGGGGAGCCCCCCTCCAGCGGCCGACTCGCCGTTCCCGTCACGACCGCATCTCTCCGACGCGCCCCTTCTTGCGCCAGCCGTCAAGGTCACAGTCTGTGGCCCGCGGCCCTGAGAGACGTGCCGCGTGCGTGGCCCCCCATCGGCACCCCCGCGGGCCCCCCGGAGCCTGGGGGCTGAGCCCAGGCGGCCCCCTCGACAGCCCACCAGGCGCCGCAGAGCCCTGCGCCATCCCGGCGGCACTCACACTGTCCTCGCCCTGCCCCGAGGGGGCGCCGCGCTCTGGGAGCGCGAGCCCACCACGGTCCGTCTCGAGGACGGCCCTGGGGACCGGGGACCAGCAGCCTCTCCTGCTGCCGGGCCACACGCCCCGGGGGGGGCCTGGGGGGTGGCAGGCAGGGGCGGCAGAGGGTGGCTCCGGGATGGAGGGGGCTGCAGGGCAGGGGCACTCACCTCCGCCGTGGCCGCTGTTCGCGGGGCCCCCGGGCGGGGGCGGCCCCCGGGGCGGGGCGGCGTGCCCATAGCCTCCGTTCTGCTCCAGGAGCTGTGGGGTTCAAAGGCAGGGACTCACCCGCGGAGGTCAGCGCTCGCACAGCACCGTTCCGCCCGCCCTCGGGGGCAGCCCCGGCCCCTGTCCCCGCCCGACTTAGCGTCCTGCCCCTCCCACCACAGTGGGTCGCGCGGGCCCGCCGCCCGCGGTCGCACAGCCTCTGCCTGCGAAGGGCCGGCCCCGTGTGCCGCCGCCGAGGCGCCCGGGGGCCCCGGCCGACGGCAGGGCACAGGCCCCGTCCCCGCGCTGTGCGGCCGCCGCCCTCTCACAGGCTGTGCTTCAGCGCGGGGCGGGGGGGCCCCCGGAAAGGCCCTCATCCCGAGCAGAAGTTCCACTGCACTGCGCTCGGGACGCAAGACGACAGGAGGCTGCGTCTCCGTGACCTGGCGGGTGGCCAAGGCCCCCAGGCCCACACTGTCACCGGGGGCAGCCTGTGGCCGTCCCACGGACGGGGTCCCCTCCTCACATGCCCCCCACGTCTCATCCGCCAGGTACTGGCGGGAACGAGACGCCTCCGCCGTGACCAGCCCCCGCGGCGTCGCCTGTCTCCGGGGCCAGGCCGCCACAGCCGCGCAGAAGGCCTGGTTCTTGCCACCCTCAACAGCACGGCCCTGGTCGCCCCGGCTCTGTCCTGGGCTGCAGGTAGGACCCGTGGCCCTGTCAGCGCCCCACGGGGACAGCTGCCTCACTGCCTGGGGCAGAAGAGCCCTAGGTGGGGGCTGGCTGCCTGCGCCACGGCCCCGGAGCCCGGGAACACTGAGACCAGGAGGTGCGCGGGCCCTGCTAACCCGGGCTGGTGCCCGCCCATCGGTGCCGCCGGCGCCCCCCGGGGACCCCAGGCAGCGCACGCGCGCGCGGCCTCCCGGAGCAGACGCCTCCCCGCGCCCCCCTCGGGTCGGCCCGCCCCACGCCCGCCCCCACCCCGCTCCCAGCACCGGCTGCCAGTGGGCACATCAGGCCTTTCCTTCTGCCTCCCGCCCCCGAGCCCAGAGCCCTGGGCGTGAGGAGGCCCTGGCTGTGCTGATGACCTCCTGGTAGGAGACCGGCCCTGGGTCACTGGGATGTGGGGGCGCCGCCCCGCAAAGGGGGCCCCTCTTCACAGCAGCCTAGGCCTCCTAGGACCCCGCCCCTACAAGCAGTGCCAGGAAGGCCCCACCTCTGTGATGGGCGACTTGGGGTTCACGTCCCTGGCAGCTGCGATCTCCTGCAGCTGGTTCACCAGCTCGGTGATGGACAGCCGCTCCTCGGGGTTTACCTTCAGCGTGGCGCCTGTGGGGGGCAGTGTGTGCTCAGGGGCCCCGCGTCCCCCCCACCGCAGTGCGGCCCCTCCTCCCACTGACATCAGACTTCCCCAGCGAGCGAGCAAAGCCCGCCCCTCGAGCACCGCGAGTCACAGAGGCTGACGGACAGGCGCTCCGTGGAAAAGCCCACACCAGGGAGGCTGCCCGCAGCCACGGGGGACGTGGCCGGGGGCATTTCCCATGGTCCCCACGGTCCCCACGCCAGGACTTACGGATGAGGCCATGGAACACGGAGTAGCGGGTGTCGTCTGCAGGGATGGAGTACTTCCCGTTCACTATGCGAAGCTTGGCTCCGTCCTCGAAGGGGTGCTGCCCGAAGCACAGCAGGTACAAGATGCAGCCCAGAGCCTGCCGGGTGGGCAGGGCGCGGTGAGGGGCGGGGCAGAGGGCAGGGACAGCCCGGTCAGGCCCGGCAACCCAAGGGGGGGGGCAGTCTGGCCCCGCCCGGCGTGACGCGCATGCGCAGAGCGGGGCAGCGCCTCCCGCGCAGCCAGCCAGCCCCGTGTCCCCGCTCGGGGACAGAGAACCTTCGGGGCAGGGCAGCGGCCCAGCTCCAGCCCTCTCACTTCCGGCAAGGACTCTTCCACCCAACAGCCCCGACGTGCGAGCCTTGGCCCTGCCGGTCGGGAGAGCGGGGTGGCCGGCTGGGGAGGGAGGCGCTTGGGCCCCTGGCACACGCAGGCGCACACGCCCTGAGGCGGAGCGGGCAGGGCCGCAGAGCCAGCCGGGCCCCCGCCGGCCTCCCTGCCCCGGGCCGACGGCGCCCACGGGGGTCGCGGCAGGACACGGGGCACACAGACACCGGACCCTCCGGCGTGCGGTCCCACGCCCGCCCTTCCGGCTCCGCACGTGCACGCGCGTCCTCGGGCGCGCGTGGCCGGGGTGGCCGCCTGGGGTCCCCCGCAGCCCAGGAGGGGAAGACGCAGCGTGGGTGCAGCGGCAGCGCACCGCCTGCCCCGAGAACAGCTCCAGCCGGCTGGCCCCGCGGTCACGCCTCCCAACCGCCCCTGCCTCCACCGACGCCGCGCGCCGCCCGTCCACAGCTTGCCTGCCCAGGCCCAGGCCCGACAGGCCCGGACCGAGCGCCTCGAGGCACAAGGGCCCCGGGGAGGCCAGGACAGTGCAGGACGCCCGCCCCCACGGAACGGCGACCTCACAGGTGGGGCGGTGCGTGTGCCCAGACCCTGCCGGAGCCGTGCTGGGCGGGAGGCCCTGGCTGAGCCTGCAGACAGCAGACCGCTGACCCCACCCACGCCGACCCCAACTTCTCCTCAGTCTGTCTCCTCGAACAGCAGTGGAAGGAAAAGGAAAGGATAAAGAAGAAACAGGGGAGGCCCAAGGCAGGAGCACGGCCCCCGGAGCCCCACACAGGCCGGGGCCCACGCCCCAGACACGCGTGGCGGCCTCACCCAGATGTCCTGCTTCTCGCCGATCGGGAAGTTCGAGTACAGGTCCACGATTTCCGGTGTCCTGTACATGGGCGTCGTGTTCCTGGTGACCTGAAGGGAAGGCAGGCCTGTCCAAGGGAAGTGGGCGCAAGCGGCAGCGACCTCCCGTCAGTGCCCCAGGGCCCTCCCGTGGGCGGTGCGCCCCGCGGCGCCTCTCTGCGGAGCGGCCACAGTGCCTGCCGAAGCGCACGCCGGGGATGGCAGCGCGTGCCCTGGAGACAGACGGCCCAGCCGATGGGCGACCTCGCCCGGGGGCAGCCCGGAGCCGGCGCTGCCGGGCGGGCCGCCTGCGTGCGGGAAAGGAAGGGCTGTTCGCAAAGCAGCTTCCTGATGTGTTCTTGGGGACAAAGGACCGTCCTGAGCGGAGCAAACTGAACCCAACGTACAGGTGAATCAGGTTTTCATGTGAAAGACCTCAGACCCCGGCCTACAGGGCGGGCTCTGTGACGGGGGGCGGGGGGCACAGCCTGAGGGGCAGCACGGCCCCCCATGGCAAACACACGCGCCCACCGGGGGCCAGAGGCGCCGCACAGGCTCGGCGCGGTGGCCTCGGCAGCACACGCGCAGGCGCCCCGTGGCTCCCCACAGCGAGATGCGCCTCAGGGAGAGGCCGGGCCAGGCGAGTGGACAGGGGACAACGCAGGGCCACATCCAGACACAAAAGTGACGCCCGGCACCTTGCCCAGGCCCCTCGCAGGACCGCCCTCGGAGCCGCACTTGGGTGACTGGACCAGGCGTGGGGGGGGGCGGGCGGGCGGGGCCGCTGCACGGATCCAGCCGCGGGCTCGCGCCCCCGAGTGTGCCCACGGGGGGCGGACTCGCTGCGCTGAACCGGCGCCAACCCTCGGCCCGGCGCAGAGCCCCCCGGAACCGCCCCGGGGCCCGCGCCGGCCGCCCCGCGCCTCACCTCCTCCTCCACCAGGGCCCGCCGCTGGGCGCTCCAGCTGTAGTCGGGCACGTGCGAGACGGTCGTGGCACTGCCGAAGTCACACAGCTTGATGGTCCCCTGGTTGCTCAGCAACAAGTTTTCAACCTGAAAAATTCCAGGAGACGGTCCTCATGAGCCTGGGGTGTGCACAGCCAGCTGGCCCCGAGGAAAACGCAGCACCTTAGCTTCCCTCTGATCCAAGTCCGTAGGTGTGCCTTTACGGACGGGTCATCGGAAAAGTTAAAGTCGACCGTACATCGAAGGTAACTGCAATTAATAACATCAGACGCACCACGAAAGCCTCTAAAACAGCCAGGAGACGAGCAAAGTTAACACACCGTTAAAAAGTCCTCAAACACATCAAGAAGCTGAGAAGAAATCCAGCCAGGAAACCGTCCAGCAAGATGAACCTTTAAAATCCAACATACAGTGGACGCAGGTTCCTAACAGTGAAGGCGCAAACCTACCCCAGGGACGCGAGGCCGCTGTCCAGGGCCGGGCCAGCCCTGGGTGTGTCCGCGAGGCCCACAGCAACTGCAGGACGGCCGCACAGAGACAGAGCCGCCAGGGCCGTGCGGTCACGGGGGACACGAGCCTGCGGTGGCTCCGCCGGGCGAGGGGCACCGGCCCCACGGGGAGGGGGCGGCAGCCCTGCCAACCGTGCGCTCGGGCGGCGGCTCGCGCCATGGGGCCCGGCAACGCCCGCTGCAGGAAACACCCTGGCCAGGCCCAGCCGCCCCCCTGGGGCTTCTGCGACGAGGCAGAAATGGCAGCTCGACGGAAACACGGGCAGCACTGCCACGGCGCCCCCCAAAGAGGACGCCCAAACGCCAGCGACCACAGCCAGCCTCACTCACAGAAGAAAGACGCCGCTGAAACCACAGGCCGCCGCCAACGCCAAGGCCGCAGGACACGGCACAGGGACTCCGCGCTGCTGGCGGGAACGTCCACGCACAGACGCAGGCGGCCTCCAACCCCCTAGGGACGTGGACGTCCGGAGCTCAGGGAGCGCCGGCCACCACTGGCACGGGCGGCAGGGACCCCATGGCACCCCCTCTGCTAACTGGGCACATGAGACGGACAGACCCTGAAACCACAGCGCTGAGCAAGAAGCCGACAGGAAGGACGCGGCCCAGAGCGCCGGGCAGCAGACAGGAGCCCCGCGTGCAGCCCCGGGGAAAGCCGTGGGGGCGCCGGCGCACACGGGGCTCCGAGAAGGCGAGGGGCCCGCAGACGCGGACGCTCTGACCGCGCTGTCCCCGTTCTTCCCTGCCCTGGCTGGCGGGCGCATCCAGACAGCAGGAAAGGCCCCCAGACAGTTCTGCGCTGCCCTGGCGACCTCCTGACGCCAGGGCTCGGCCACATGCTGCCCGCCAACCTGTCCCCTGACACCGGCCTCTCGGGCTCAGGGACAAAGAGGCCAGGCCAAGGCCTCTTGGGACCTGAAGGCAGACCAAGGCCCACAAACCGGGTGTCCATGCCGACCCCCAGCCAGCGCCCACGGGGAGGGCCCCCCGCTCCGCCCCGACCTGAGGAAAGCTGGGTAGCTGACCAGAGGCAGGACGTGAGGCGGTGCTGACACAGCGACTTCCAACTTTTCCATCTCACGGCCTGTAAACTGACTACTAAAATCCTGCAGCGCAGCAGAGAGAAACTGGAACGGTTTTGAGTCACTCCCACCGGACAGCTGCCGTTGCGCTCTCGTCTGGCGCGCTGAGGGGACAGAGGTCAGCGCCCCCGGCCGGGCGGCTGGGGGCCGTGCGCTCCCCAAACGCCGGCGGCAGGCCGGGCGGGAACCACAGGCCGGAGGGGCGCCCGGGGTGCGAGTCCCGCTGGGGCAGCGACGCTGCTCCCCGACGTCCGCCCAGCGGCTCGGGTACGGCGTCTGGGAACCGGGCGGCCCGACACCTGGGGTCCGCCTTAAAACCCTTCCGCAAAAACCACCTGCAGCCGCTGGCACGGGGGCCCCTGGCGCCGCGACGTGACCAGAGCCGGCACCTGAGCCTCGTGGGGGCCGGGCTACTCCCACAGGCGTGGGCCTTCCAAAGGCACAAGAGGAGGAATAAAAACCAGGCCACGAGGCAGGGGAAGGTACTGCAGCACCTGTAACTCCAAAACGCTACAGTAAGGACACATAAGGAGCTCCAGTTAACCAAAAACAATACAACAGACCAAAACCAGGAAAAACAGCAGGAAACAAAACATTAATTGGAAATGATGCTAACGACTACACAGAGCAAAAAATACTTAACTCCACTGACAACCAGAAAAAGCGAAACCACTGTGTGCAGGAGGCCACTCCCCTGCTGTCCTCCAGGCCAGGAAAACGGGGACAGCGGCTTCACGCAGACGCCCCGTGGGCGGGGGGCGCGGGGCCCGCAGCCCAGCCCAGCACCCGCACCCACGCGTGGTGCCGCCACCGCCAGGGCAGGAGGGCGGGAGGGCGGGTGCCGGGGGAAGGGCCGGCCCGGGGCAGCCCCGGCGCAGGCTGCGCTGGGCCCTGAGGAGGGTGCACCCCCGGCAGGACAGGCGCTGTGCCCCAGGACTGGGGGAGAAGAGGGGGCCAGGCCCCACACCTGCCGGTGAGACGCTCGGGGAGCCTGGAGGAAGCCCCAGGCCCAGCCGCAGGGGAACCCTGGGCGTGAGGGTCCCCGTGTGCGTCCGTAAAGTCGGATGACAGGCAGGGAGGGCTGTCCTGCTGCTTCAGAGGAGAAGCTTCCGGAAAACCCACGGGCCGCTAAGACGCCCCCACACAGGTCTGGGAGGCTTCTCGGCGGAGCCTGACTGGCGGGAGCCGTAGTGTCCTAACTAGCGGGCGGGGCGTGCAGGGCACCTTGAGGTCCCTGTGGATGATGGGCGGCTTCTGCCGGTGCATGTGCTGCACGGCTCTGCACGTCTGGTAGAAGATCTTCAGGACGGCGTCGCAAGACAGGGGCCCTCGGGCCTCGCTTTTCTTCAGAAACTCCACCAGCTGCCCTGGAAGAGACGGGGGTTCTTGTCACCACACGCCTCCCGTGCTGACCTGCCCGCAGGCCGGGGGGCCGCCGCAGCCCTGTCCGGGGGCCTGTTGGGAGCGGCCGCCGCAGCCAGGGCGCGGGCCACACAGACCCCGCACCAGGGGAGCCGGCGCAGACGCGCCGACTTCTCAACCGCCTCCCGCGACAGGCGTGCTCCGCTTCCTTGGTGACAACGCCATCTTCCCGTCGGCGTGGTACCACGGTGAACGCTCTCCCCACCCGGAGTGCGGCTGCCTCACACGCCCGTGCTCACTCCTTCTTCCGCCCGTCGCTGCCGCTGCGGGGCAGGTGCAGGATGGGCCGACTCCGCCCCCAGCCTTTGCCCCCCAAGGCTCTGCAGGGGCGCGGGCCTCCCCTCTCCCGCCAGTGCCCAGGGAGCCTTTCCCCCAAGAACACGCCCGCACACTGAGGGGGCCGCACGCCTCGCTCCTTCCCAGGAGAGGCCGCCGGGGCGGCCCCGCGGAACGTTACCTTTGCAGAGCTCCGTGAGCAGCAGGAACTCGGCCTGCCCCGTGTCCGACTCCTCTTTTCCTATCGATGCCGCGGAGCAGAACTGGACAATATTGGGGTGGCCAGAGAGTTTTTTCTGCAGGTGTCTTGTTAAAGGAGAATACGTATAAGCCTGCACACTTAAAAACAAATATATAGCGGGGGGGGGGGGCGACAAAAGTAGGTTTGCACCCAACAGGGCTCATCTTTGTGTTATTTAGTTGTGTTATTTTCCATATGAACAACTGCAAACCTATTTTTGCCCCGCCCCTGTACACAGGACATTTAGACCCTAAAGTCACAGCGGTGAATGAAACGACCTTAGGATCTCCGTGCGGCAGAGAAGGACAGGGGCGAGAGGAGGCGGGGATGTGGGGGACGGAGAGCGAAATCTGGGGGGGCCGCCACCGCACGGGCCACACGCCTGGCCCAGGCCAGGCAGGGCAGCGGCAGCGGGCACAAGGCTGCGAGCCGGGAAGGCGTCCACCTGAACCTCTGTGGGGCAAGAGCCCGCGGCTCCATGGCCAGCAGGCTCGCTGTGGGCAGAGCTTAGCGAAAGGAAAGAGAGCAGGTTCTGGCCGCAAAAGGCAAGACCCCGCCCCAGCGGCAGCCCCGGCGGGGTGGGGAGCAGGCAAGGAGGGCCCACCGTCCCGTCCTGCCCGAGGCCACGGCCCAGGTGGCACCCCGGGGCTGCCTGCCCGGACACGGAGTCCTCTGGGCAGGACCGCACCTCCGCTCCCAGGACCCGGAGCCCCCTGGTACTGCCCTGGGAGTGTGGACAGGGGGCACCCCTCCCCGAGAGGCCGTCGACAGGCAGGTCCAGGAGGAAGGCAGGCCCCGGCTCATCAGGAGGCACGTGGCAGGGCAGCGGCAAAAGGATACCATGAAGCACACCTCCTGGATGATGGCCCTGCTCCTGTCCTCCTCGCTGGACAGCAGCCTCTGCGGGGGAAGCGCGCAGACAGGGTTAGCGCGGGCAGCCCCCAGTCAGCGCCCGGCAGGACCATCGGGGCTCTTAACCCCGACCTAGGTGCGAACTGACGGAGGTCAACGACCCCCGAAAATGGTCCTCTGCCTTCCCAGGGCTCCAGAACTACTACACCTTGGAGCCTGTCCGTCAAACAGGCGGGAGTAAACTAAGGCAACGCGAGGAAAGAAGACGCTGCAGAGACAAGGGTCCTCCCCTGGCCCAGGGTGCAAGCAGGCCCCGGCCGCACGCCCAGAACGGCCGCTCCCTTCTGCGGCCTGCGCTGGGCGCCCGCGCCTCCTGACAGGACCAGGCGGCCTGCCCTCGACCCTGTGCACACACAGCCGCTCGGTGGCTGTGACGCGCCTGCTTGCTGGGGCCTCCCCGCGGACCCCCGGCACCGCAGGGCACGCTCACCGCCCCCGGCCCCGGGGCTGGAAACTGGCCAAGGCCGCGAAGGCCCGAGGGCTCCGGGCCCTCAGAGGGACCAGGCGAAGACGAAACAAGAGGGAAAACTCCCTCAAAACACTGTCGCTTTGAGATTTCCTTTAAAATAAACGAAAACCCACACACAATGGGCCGTCCTCTCTCACCTTCAGTGCATACTCTCTGCCACTTCCCAGATCTTGAGCTTCATACACAAATGCAAACCCTCCTGAAAATGAGAAAAATTAGCATATCAGTGCAGTGCTGTGATCTTCCTGAACAGTAACGTGTCTTTACTAAGTAAAACACACACTGGACTCGTGGATGGCAATTTGTTTTCTGCAGAAACAATAGCTCCAATTCGAGTAACACTGTTGTTTCTTTTTTTCTTTTTTAAAAAAATTATCCAGCTACACAGGCAGAAAGGAAGTAAACACAGGAACAGAGATCAATGAGGGGAAAATGGAGAGAATCAACCAAGCCAGAGGCAGGTCTCTGAAAACAAATGAACTCAATTAACTCCACCAGCCAATGCAAGCGAGCGCTGGGGAGAGGCCGCCAGGGCTGACGGCCGCACCCACAGCTGCACGGGGGCCGGAGAGAGAAAGGCGCCGCAAGGCGGGCACTGCACTGCACACAGACCGAAGAACCCTAAACGAACCCCTAGTTCTCAGGGAACTAACACGGCAGCGCACCGAACCCAACGACATCTGAGAAATGACGAGCCCTGGCTCGGGCGGCTCTGTGGGTTGGACACCGGCCCGCAAACGAGGGTCGCTGGTTCGATTCCCTGTCAGGGCACCTGCCGGGGTTGCGGGCCAGGTCCCCAGCAGGGGGCGCGCGAGAGGCAGCTGCTCGATGTTTCTCCCGCACGTCGATGCTCCTCTCTCTCCCGCCCCCCTTTCTCCCTCATTTCCGCCTCTCTAAAAATAAAATCTAAAAAAAAATCCACCACCACAGATACAATGCAAACAGAGCAGGGGAAGGGGGTCGTCTCGACACAGAGAAAGCATCCGTTCACATGCAAAACCCAGTCATGGTTCTTCAGAACAGAGCAACAGAACTCAGACAACCGGGAACCAAAGGCAGCATCTTCAACCTGAGAGCCAGGAACTGCTGAGCACCATTGGCCAACGCGGGACCGTCTCCCTAAGGGCGAGTCCGGGGCCTGCTCTCAGCGCCACGGCGGGGCCGGAGGCCAGGAGGCAGGAGCCACGGCGGCGTGCGCCTGCGGACTCCACCAGAAACGCTGGGACCTCGGGGTGAGCTGGCTGACGGAGGCACAAGGCGCTCACCCTGTGGCGGGGCCCCCCCACGGCCACGGCCACGCCGACGCCACCCTCCTCAGATGCAGCAGCCACCCCGTCCAGGGTCTCTCTACCCCCCGAGACCCGAACGGTGGCACCCACACTGGGGTGCAGCCTGACTCCCGCCGGCCCCCAGTGTCTCGGGCTCCGCTCTGCAGCCCGCTGGGGGCCCGCACGGACTCACCACGCCCCCGGTTTTGTTCCCTCGTCCCGACACGTCTGACGCCTGCCACTGTGTCCCACTCCTGTGGAAGCCGGTGCCCCGCTGCCCACACTGGCCTGGGAGCTCGGCAAGGCAGACCTTCTCTGCTCCCTTGGGGGGACGGGGCCTGGATCTCTGCGGCTTTTCTTACAACTGCACGCAAGCCTACAACTACCTCAAAATTAAAAAATGGAAACAAAACCAGCAACACTCCCACCTAAGACACCTCAGAGAGCGACGGGCTGGCACTGCTAAGTCTCCGCCGTGTGTGGCTGCCTGGCACACGTCCCCTGGAACCAGGCACAGCGTGGCGCCTCCGCGGCTGCCCGGGCCGTGCCCATGCTCCCTCCCCACCTCGCATGCGTGAGGGCGACACGAAAGGGGGCCTGCGTTCAGTAGGAGGAAACGCCACGGCTCCTGTCAGTAAGAAATGGAAACAAGAGCTGGACATTTCACACACAGGAAACATACATCAACCCCCTCCACAGAGTCTCATCAGGGAAGTGCAAATCCAACCACAAGCGGACACCACTGCACACCCACAAGCACAGTAACACAGCAACAACAGCTGGTGACGTGTGTGGGGAACGGAAGGGGAAGCGGGAACCGTGCTGGTGGGACAGGAGCTCGGCAGGCGCAGTGCAAGGGCCTGGCTGCTCCACGTGCAGAGACCCCCGGCCAGCAACCCCGCTCCGGGGTATTCTCTCAAAACGCGTGTGCAGAAGTGCTGTTAGCAGCTTCACTCAGAGCAGGTGACGGCCCCGTGGGAAAACCCCTCCGTCCGCGGCAGCCGAGCGGGCCCGCGAAGCGCAGCACCAAAGGACGCGGACTTGGCAGCCCGGTGCCGCGGGCGGGGGCTGACTCGGGGCAGGAGAGCTTGTCTGGGCAACTCAGCAGCTCTCTATCGCAACAGGCGTTAGGCCACACAGGGGCGTGCAACCATCAAAGCACTTACGTTCTATGTGTTTTACTGTGTCAGTATCTTAATTTCAATCACCTTTAAATAAAAAACAAGCACAGGCCGTAAGTGTGGAAAACCCGCAGGGAGGCGCGCATGGCAGGTGAGCCTGGAGGACGCCCGTCCACAGGCAGACGCCACCATCGCCCGCGGGAGCAGGGTGTGCGGGGCGGCGGGGCCTCCACACAGGGCCTCCCACGCTGGGGGTGAGGACCAGGGGCACGTGAGCACTGGGGACCTTAACGCGTGAGGTCCCTCAGCACTGTCTCTAGAAAACAGGCGCTCCCCTGGAGCGGGCTCTGGAACCCACGCCCCACGCACGCGGTCACTGCCTGTGTGACAGGGACACGCGCCCCTGTCGGCAGCAGGAGGCCGCAGAGAGCAGCAGCCAAGCCCGGGGGGGGGGGGCAGAGAGCAACCCCCCCCCCGCGACCTCCCTGATCCTCACAGTGACCCCCCACAGCGACTCCCCGCCACGGTGTCCCGCTCCCAGCACCCAATGTGCCAACAGACAGAAGAACCTGGAGGGGTGGCCGGTGCTGGTTCTGATGCAAGGTCGAGTGAGGCGCAGAGTGAAAAGGAGCGGTGGCCTGCGTACAGCGCCCCGACGGCCCCAGCGGCACCGGCTGCGAGCTCCCTCCGGGACAGGCTCCGGGCGCTGCTCCCTCCAGCAACGCCAGGCAGATGGCCTGCCCTCGCAGAGCAACGCACTCAGCCAGACGCCAAGGAGCCCGGGCAAGGCAGCCCCCGTGGGCTCCTGGCCCTGAGTCCACACCGGCCAGGGGGGAGCCTCGGCGAGCCCAGGCCTCGGCCACCATCAGGAACACAGTTCTCGTCAAGCAGCGGAGATTGTGTCCGCCAAGTAACCACAGCCCGGACGTGGCGGGGTCGTGCCGCGCTCCTGACTCACGTGGGTGTCAGCCAGGGTCTGTCCCACCTGAGGACGCCCCTACACTGTGCTGTCCTCGGTCACCAGGGCGTCTCTCATTCGAAGGCAAAAGCCTCCCACTGTCCACCCTGAGTTTCTTAAAGAACCGAGATCGCAGCCTGGCACTGTCAGGATGAGCACAGGGGTCGGGGGGCCTGCCGCCACGCCGACAGACGTGAGGGGGTGCCGCACTCCGGGCGCTGGCACAGGCACCGGGCCCACGCCTGCGAGCAGGACGGCCTGAGAGGTCTCCTTGGTAAATCACGGCCGAGTCCACTTGCTTCTGGCCAAGACACACTTGAGGAATGAGGACATCGGCCAGGTCAGGTCAGCCGGCTTCCCGCCTCTGGCTAGCGGCAGGGGTGCCCACGGCAGCGGCCAGCGGGAGGGCTCCCCCAGGCAGGTTTGGTGTTTACCACTGGGCCCCTGCCTCCACCGAGCCAACGTGGGGAAATACACACAGTCTCAGTGCCGGCCCCAAAGCTGACTGTGTTCGGCCGGCGGGCAGAAACACCAGTGAGACCGGACAGAGTGTAAGGAGAACCCAGAGCGGAGAATGCGCGCACCCGCGTGGCGGTGACTTTCGCGTAAGGCAGGGATGGGACAGTCCGGAAGCTGGGACCAGCCCGCAGGGACAGGGCCCACCAGGACTGACCCCTCAGAGGGCGTTCGGGAGGATCCCACGCCCCAGGGGGCCAGGGCTGCCGCCGCTCTCAAGCGGCTGCCCGACCGCCCGCGCGCCCCGCAGCCCGAGACGGGACAGGGAGGGCCGGGCAGGGCTTAGCCCACCCGGCGCGCGGCCCCCCGTCGGACCCTCGCCCGCCCACGCCCCCGCAGCTTGGCCTCACCGAGCGCTCACGGCCTCGCCCCGGCCTGCCCCCGCCCCACCAGGAAGTGCCGAGCCGAGACCGCTCTCCCCACGCCCGCGCCAGAGGCCGCGACTGACCGGCCCCCGGCCGCCCGCGAGGACCCTCGGCGCCCGCCCGCGCCTCACCCTCGGCCAGGACCCGCCGCACCCGCAGCCGCAGGTCGCCCAGCTCCACCGTCTGCCCCACGAAGTCGGTGTGGTCGCGGCCCGCAGCGCCGCCCAGGGAGCCAGGGCCCGCCAGGAAGTCGAGCGCGGACTGCAGCAGCGACATAGCAGCGGCCCGCGGCGGGCGCCCCCGGGGACGCGGGTCCTGGGCGCGGGGGTCCGCTCTGCAACCGCCGGCCCCGAACCGCACCGGCTTCCGCCCCGACGCCGTGACGCAGACCCGGAGAAACGCCGGCGCGTCGCTTCCGCCCCGCCGGGAAGCTGCGCGTGCGCGCAGCTCGCGCCGCGGCTCGCGCTTGCGCGGTGCCTCTGTTCGGCGGAGACCTTCCGGCCGTCGAGCGTCCAGTCCCCGCTCCCGGCTCCCCGCGGACCGACGCGCGGGACGGTGCCCCCGGCCGCTCCCGCCCAGGTAGTGTGCGTCCCGGCCCTGCTCCTCCGGCTCCCCCGGGGTCGCTGCTGCGCCGTGGCCCGGGAGGAGCCGGCCCCTGTGCGCGGCGCGTGGCAGGCGGTGGCCCTTGCGGGCGAGGGCGGGGCCGCGGGCGGGGTGCCACCCTGGAGCGACTGGGAGCCCGTCCGATATTTAGGAGGACTGGTGGCACCGCGCACAGCTCTGGCCTGTGGCTTTGGGGGCGGGGCACACCAGCGGTTGTTCTTTTTTCAAAAAATTGGTCGTTACTAAGGACTGGAAAATTTAACCCTAAAAACCCAGCTTCCCAGCTTCTGTAGGAAAATGAGACCAGAACCCCGGGCGGCACCGGTCACCGAGAGCTGCCCCCGCAGGATTGACAGCCGTTCCCTGGACCCGCTTGGCTCCCTGTGCTCCCGGGGGTTCACGTGGGCACCTGCGGCCACAACCCCTTCTATGGAATGTCCGTCTCAAACGGAAAAACGGACCTGGGAGCCCCGATGGGCATCTCAGTCCTTCCCGAATGCCATGCCATTGAAACCCCTTCCCAGACAGGCTACTTCGTTACCACCTTTACACAGTGGAAACAGTAGCCTAGTTTACACAGCGCTCAGCTGCTCGCTCATCTTCCTCTGGGCACCTCGTTGTAACGCTCCAGGGCGTCTTGGAGAAGTCTGGTTAATCCCCCCCCCCTTTTTTTTGGATGAGAGAACAGGCGCAACAATGCCATTAGGTGGCCAAGGTCAACAAGGGATACAGCTAGAATTGCACAGTCACGTGTGCTTGCAGCCCATGTGTTTGCTTGGTAAACGGGATACAGGGGTTGGGGGCTCAGGAAAGAGTGCAGAGGGCCATGGGGACGTGTGTCTTCAGCATGCAGGTGGTAGTGGACAATCAAAGCCGAGGACAGCCTGTCGGAGGGAAAGGGTCTAGAGCTCCAGGGCAGGGACCAGTGGCTGCCAGGGCAGGAGACCAGGCAGCCTGTGTCTTGGAGCCAAGGGAAGAGTGTGTCCGGAGCGGTGAGCAGGGAGCTGCGGGGAACGGGGAACAGTGACATCGGGGGGGGGGGGGTCAGGGGGGAGGGCGTATTCTCTCTGGACGCTGGAAAGACACTTTGTTGTCGAAGGAGGGGAAGGAGGTTGGGGAAGGAGGTTGGGTCGCAGTGGGAGGTGACCTTGTGTATCAACTGGAATGAAAGTGAAAGAACTCTCTGAAGGCTCCTGTTTCCACTGGAAGGAAAAGAAAGCCTCTATTGAAAAGGAGCTGGAGGGGAAAAAGCTCAGAGTTGAGCCGTGTGGAAAAGACCACAAATGGCTTCCTGGGAAACCCGGTGATCAACTCAACCAGAAAGCAGGTAGAGGCACCGGGCTCACTTGAGCTTGGAGGCCGTGTCATTTTCCTCGTATGACCTAGGCCCAGGGGGAGATTTCTAAGCAGGGTGGCTGCCTCCTAGCTCATGAATATTTGCAGAGACTGTCACATGCTGGCTGGGCCTGGGGGTGCTGCAGTAATGTAGCCCTAACTCAGAACAGAGTCTCCGCCCCGCGCCCCCTCCTGAGTCCCAGACGTTTGTTCTTCGGTGTCTCACCTCGCCTGCACACGCCCGAAACTGAATTTGTGGTCTTCATCCCCAAACCTGTGCCTCTGTAATTGCTTGAACGAGGACATCTGGTATGACATATTACCTAACTTCAAGACTTACAAAGCCACGATAATCAAAGCAGTGTGGTGTTGATAGAAAAACAGACGAGTAGATCAATGGAATAGAATAAAGAGTTCAGATATTGGCCTGCAAGTATACACATGGTCAACTTATTTTTTACGAAAGGATAAAGATAATAGAAGAAAGAAGAGTACTTTCAACAAATGATGCTGGAAAAATTGGGTATCCATGTTAAAAAGAATCCATATCTTTCATCATGTGTGCAAAAATTAACTTAAGACACATCATAAATCTACATGAAGCCTAAAACTGTAGAACAGAATCTGAGGTTTTTTTGATATAACCCCAAAGCCCAATCTGTAAAAGAAATAAACTAGACTTCACCAAAATTAAGAACTTCAAAATGCATTGTTGAAGACGTCCTTTTGTAGGTGAATGGATAAACTGTGGTACATGTTTAAAATGGAATATTATTCAGTGATAAGAGAAATGAGCTCGCAAGCCACACGAGGACGTGGAGGAACATTAACTGCACGTTGCTAAGCGAAGTCAGTCAGTCTCAGGAGGCCGCGTGTTGTGCTCCCCGGTCCACGGCGGAAAAGGCAAAGCTGGGCAGTGAAAGCATCGGTGGAGGCTCGGGGTTTGGGGGGAGGGCAGGGTTTTCAGGGCTGCGCAGCCTCTGGGACCTGTGACCAGCCATGCGCTCGTCAGAACCCGTGGTGCTGCCACGCAGCGTGAGCCCCGGTGGGAGCCGCGGGCCGGAGGCCACGGTGCGTCGCGCTGCTTGCCGGCCGGGCCCCTGGTGCACGGCGTACGGGGGCTGGACAGGAGCGGTTGGCGACGCGTGGGACCCTGTTTCTGCTCGTTCTTCTGCAGCCATAACACTCACAAACAGTCTTGTTAACGGAATATGTACATACCCACTGTTGAAAGAATGAAAAGACAGCCCAAACCGGGAGAAAATGTGTGCAAGTCACGTAGGCGATAATGGACTTTTATCTGGACGACATAAATACATAAAAACTGTACGCACAACTCTGCCCAATCTTAATAATTTCCGAAGCCCTGGCCTGGCACGTGGTGCCCTGGAGTCAGCCTGGCATCCAGTGTTGGTCCCCCGGAGCCCGCGCCCCAGCCACCGGCTCCTCGCAGCCTCGCCTGGGGCTGGAGGAGATGCCGCCTGGGGACCTGCCCCTTCCGGGGCTGAGCGCTCCGCACGACCCTGGGGACAGCCACTCGCTGGTCCTGGTGACTCTGCTTCGGCCTCCTGCCGGGGGCGCGTCCCAGGCTGAGTCCTCGCAGGAGACCTGCTCCTGCCGCGCCCCGGTGTGCCGCCCGTGTGGGTCACGGTCCTGCTCAGTCTGCCTCTGGTGCCTGGCACCACGCACAGTGCCCGCTGTGCTCACAAGTCTGCAGTGTTTCCTCTGTTACAGGAATTTGCGGCTTCTCTGCCTTATCTCCACCATGATTTAAAATCCTTCAGGCTCTTCCATCTTTTAAAAAGCTGTTTCTTAGCTGCATGCTCCTCCGTGCCGGCTCTGTGGTCCTTCTCCACCCCCACGGCTGTTGAAAGGCCGTGTGATGCAGGCGACGTGCAGCGAGGGTCCTGCGCGCTGGGCCCCAGGGCCTCGGTCACCCTGAACGCCCAGCAAAGCCGGGCCGCGGGAGCCACGGTTGAGCGTGCAGCTCGGGGACATCAGGCACCTTCACGGGGCGGGGCTCCCGTCCTCAGCACCCACAGTCCCTCCTTCTCGCGAGACTGGCGCTGCCACTGTGAGCAGCAGCTCCGAGCCCAGCGCCCACCAGCCCGCAGGGCCCACGTCTCCCGTCACGCTCGGGTTCTGGCCGCGCCGGGACCCCGGCACAGTGGGCACGGGCCCGCGCCGCGCCGCGCCCCGCAGGCTCACCCACATAGTGACAGGAGTCGGGACCTGCCCCTTCTGGGGCCGAACGGTGCTCCGCTGCGTGGACGGACACGTGTGCTTGTCCGTCCATCCGTGGACGGGCACCTGGGCTGCTCCCACCTCGAGCTCCCGTGGACAGTGCTGCTGAGAGCTTGGGTGCGTGGACACTCAGGGAGGCTTCACTCCCATCCGTCCGCGGGGACTGCCTGCCCCTCACAGCTGAAGAAGGAGGGGCACCCGGGTCCGTCCACGCGGTGGGATCAGCCACACAGGAGGCCACCTGCGCCACCGTGCCCGGTGCGAGAAGCCGGCCCCGCGAGGCTCTGTGGGGCAGCCTGGAGACGGCGAGGTGGCGGCAACAGCGCTGCTGGCGGCAGGGCCTGCGGCCGAGGACGGCTCGGCCGCTTGGGGACACAACCCGGTGCCCCTGTCAAGAGCCTGGAGCCGCAGGCCGGAGGGGTGGCTTCTGCTGTCTGCACACTGTAAAGAGTGGGCGAAGTGAGGAATAAATGGAGACACAACGTGGCCGAGAGCTGGAGCCCTGTCCCGCCCACCGGCCGGGCCGCCCAGTGGGCAGGCGCTGTCCTGCGCGTCCGCGCTCTTGGTGCGCGAGGGCCCGGCGGACGGGGGCTGCTGCGTGTGCCCGGTCGCGTAAGCGGTCTGCCGGTCGTGTCTTCGGCAACTTGACTGACTCTCTGTTGTGTTTCTGAGTTTTACGCACATGGATCTGCTTCACGCGGGTTCACGTCTCTGGCTTGAGCCACTGGGGCAACGGCACAGACAGGAACTGACTTCTCGTCCTGGGGGCTGCACGTCCGCGCTCCGGGCAGCGGCCCGGTCAGTGCCGGGGGGCGGGGGGCGCATCCGCCTGCCGCCTCTCACCGTCCTCCCGCGGCGGAGCGGGGGCGCGCGGCACGCCCCTCTCGCCGGGGCCCGAGTGCCCTCGGGGCCCCCACTATGGCCTCGTCCAACCCGTGCAGCGCCCCGCTCACCCCGTTGGCCCAGGGCTTCACCACGTGGCTCTTCGGGGACACACGGTCAGTGTGACAGCGTGAGAGTTCGTGGCGCTGCCACCCCCCGCGCGCCCGGCGCGCCCCAGAAGCCGCCCCGCCTTGCAGCACGGGCGCACCGCCGGGCCGCGGCGAAGCCGCAGGGACAGCCCGGGGCGCCCCAGCAGGCTCAGACCTGTGCTGCTCCGCAGGCCCCGCCATGTCCGGGCCCCAGGCCCCGGAGCCAGCCCCCGACGTGCAGGGAGACGGAGACGCCCCCACGGGCCCGCGGGGCGAAGATGCGGCGGCCGGGACCCAGCACTCGCAGCGCATGCTCAGCTTCAGCGATGCCCTGCTGTCCATCATCGCCACGGTCATGGTCTGTGTGGGGCCCACCCAGCTCAGAGCCCCCCAGAGCCACGCACCCCCCAGGCAGCCTCGTGACGGAGCTGGGCCATCCCAGCAGCACTGGGGCTCCCCCGGCCCTGCACGCAGCTGGAGGGGGTGGGGAGCAACCCAGCACTGGCCCGAGCCCCCAGCCCTGTGGCTCCCGAGGAGCAGCCAGTGCTCAGCCCAAGAAATGTCCCTCGGTTCCTTTTGTGTCTTTGTTGGTAGATCCTGCCTGTGACCCACACGGAGCTCTCCCCGCAGCAGGTACTGGGGTGCAGCCGGCAGCACCTGGTGGGAGGGGAGGACCCCGGCGCCTGGGAGGGACACGAGTCAGCCCCCACCCTGGCCTGCGAGCAGTGGCGGTGGAGTCCTTGTGGGGGAGGCATGGGCCTTCGCGGCGGGAGCTTGGGGAGCAGGGGCCCAGGGGGACGCGGGAGGCACCCGCGGCAGAGGCTGCGGGCAGGGCTCTCCCAGAGCAGCCTTCCCGGGAGGGGCCGGAGTGTCCAGCTCCATGAGCACAGCAGCAACGCAGCCGGGGCTGTGCAGGGTTTCGGGAGACGTCGGAAGGTCCCTGGGCGTAGCTCCTTGCGTGTGGCCGGGGCAGCCTCGTGGTGGGGGGCGAGGGCGTGCCTGCGCACGGTGGTGGTCCGCCCCGCCTGGCGCCCTTGGCCGCTGCGCCCTCGGGGGCCGCGGGGGCTGCTGGGTCAGGCTCTCCCACCTGTGGGAAGGCGGTGACAGTGCCTCCTGGGGGGGCTTTGCTGAGGGTTAACTGGAACCGCGGGGGTCCTCGTGGGCAGCGGCACCTGGCACCCAGACGGGGCCGGTGCCGCAAAGGGACCCCGCCCCTGAGGCCAGCCACGCCCAGAAAAGCCCTGTCCCCGGGGCTGTGGGCACCAGGGAGCTCAGCCGCCTGACAGGGACGCTCTTCTGTCCCAGCAGTTTGACAAAAGCATACAGAAACTTCTAGCAACCAGGATCGCTGTCTACCTGATGACGTTTCTCATCGTGACCGTGGCCTGGGCAGCACATACAAGGTGTGGGGTCGGCCTGGGGGTTGCCGCCTGGGCGGGGTCAGCACGGCCGTCACCGGCCCTGGCAGTGCCTGCCAGCGCCGTCCTTGGGGTCATCGACCTGCCCCTCGCTTGCTGGGCTGAGCCCGGGGGCGTGGTTCAGTGGGCCGCCCCGCCCCCCCTCTGCACCTGGCGGTGCCAGCCGGCGCGGGCAGTGACAGTGGGCTAGGCACTGCTGTCCCTGCCAGAGCCGCCTGCCGACCGCACGGACGGCCGTGCCCCGGGACCTGCCGTCCTCTCCAGGAGGGAGAGGCTCCTGGGGATCCAAGGGGAAAGGGCCCCAGGGCTTCAGGGGGCCCCTGAGCCCCAACCAGGACACCCATGGACAGAGCTGGGGTTGGGGCAGGGGTGCTGGGCGCGGGGCCTTTAGGCACCTGCTGTTCCCGGTAGGGACAGGCTAGGGGACAGCCCTTCTGCCTCCTCGTTCACAGAGACAGGAGGTGGGAGCGGGCGGGCCACTGCGCCCTCCGGCCTGCCCCGTCCGGTGGGGATGAGCAGGCTCCTTTCTTCAAGGGGCCACCTGAGGCCATGCCCTGCTGCCCTGGCCCAAGGCCCTCCAGGCCATGCCCCTCGCCCAGGGTGTCCCTGAGCGTGGAACCCTGAGGCCACGTGGGCGGGGACCGTGGCCCGCCGAGCCGAGTCCAGGGAAAGGCCCATCTTCCGAGGGGCTGGAGCCCTGGGGAGACCCCCTAGAGGGCGGGACGTGGACGGCGGCGCAGGGCCAACGCGAGCTCTGCTGCGGCCGGTCGGCGTCTGTTCTGCACGGTCCGCAGGGCGTGGGACCGGACGTCCTGGGAGGGTTCCCTTCCTCAGAGGCGGACGGGGGCCTGAGGAGCAGGCCCGTGGGGGTGGAGCTCGTCCTCGCAGGACCCGGCCGCCCCCGGCGCATCCTCTCGGGGCGCACGCAGGCCTCCCCCTGGGGCTGTGGGGAGCGACCAGGCCCGCGGGGTCAGCCGGCCCTGCTCTGAGGATGGCGACCCCCAGGGCTTCTGCGTCCGTTCCTCCACACACCGACCGCGCGGGCAGCGCCTGTGAGTCAGCGACGGACGGGACACGGGACAACGCTGACTCGCGGCCGCCGGGGCCCTGGCGTTTCCTGGCGTTTTCTGGCGTTTTCTGCCGCCGCCGTCAGTCTCCTGGCCTTCGTGCCCTGGGTGGCATCTCATAGGGGTTAGAAGTGACGTTGCAGCGACTGAACCAGAAATAGGGGAGACTTGGTGCCGCTAGAACCCCGCTGTTGATGGCGTCTCTTCCTGTGTTTCTCAAACTGCTCAGATTGTTCCAGGTTGTTGGGAAAATAGACGACACCCTTGCCTTGCTGAACCTGGTGAGTGTCCTTTCGTGCTCGGGCGGTGGGTCCCGGCGCAGACCCGCCCTCCGGGAGCAGCGGAGGCAGGCGCTGGCTTCTCTGCTGCCCTGGCCCCGGGGGCCCCGCCGGGAGAGCGGCCCCAACCCCCTGTGGGGGGCAAGTGGCGGGGGCGGGGCACGGCAGCCTGGAGTGACCTGCCTGCCGCACCCCTCCCCCCCAGGCCTGCATGATGACCATCACCTTCCTGCCCTTCACAGTGAGTGCTGGCCAGCTCCCAGGCCTCGCCGGCCCCGGCGCGCAGGGAGGGGACCAGGCCCAGCGGGCGTGCAGGGCAGGGAGGGGGAGGCACGGGGGAGCCAGAGTCGTGCCCGCCTGGGAGGGCGTCCCTGGGTTGGCAGGCTGGGGGGCGGAGGGGAGCCTCCCACAGATGGATGGGGGCGCCCCCAGCTGCCGCCTGCCCCCCGCCCATAGCCTCCGGGCCACCCAGACCCACCCCCGGCCCGGGGCCTGGCACACCTCCTTGGGTGACGGCCCCCCGCTCTGAGCTGTGACAGGGAACGGCTGGCCGGTGCAGGGCTCTGCATCCCAGAGGCCTGGGGAGTTTCTCACCCTCAGGATGAGGACTCGGCGCCGAAGGCAGAAGGCCATCCGTGGACTGGCCCTCATAGCAGACGCCCCCGGCCCCCACCACCGGTCCCAACCCACCGGCCCTGCCGCAGGGGCGCCGCGGCAGCCCCGGCCCCGCAGAACCGGGCTCTCTGTCCTCTTGGCCGCAGTTTTCCTTGATGGTGACCTTCCCTGAGGCGCCCCTGGGCATCTTCCTGTTCTGCACGTGCGTGATCGCCATCGGGGCCGTGCAGGTGGGCCCCCCCCCACACGTGGTCCCCGCAAGCGGGGCGGGCTGTGGCCGCGCGGGCTCCAGTGCCGGCGCGGGAGAGCCCGCCCGAGGGGGCCGCGCAAGTCCTGGGGTGGTGGCACGGCAGCAGAGGGGCTCCTGCCCCTGTGCCCTGGGACCTCGGGACGACCCCACCCTGCAGCTGCTCCCCGCCCCGCAGGCGCTGATCGTGGCCTACGCGTTCCGCTTCCCCCACCTCCTGAACCCCCAGATAGGGCGCTCCGCCCACCGGCGCCTCTACCGGCGGCACATCCTGCGCCTTGTGCTCCGGGGCCCAGTGCTGTGCTTCCTGGCCGCCGGCTTCTCCCTGTTCTTCTACCCAGCGGTGAGTGGGGGCGGGGGGCGGGCGCACCCCCCGTGGGAGCAGCGCCCTGACCCAGAGCCTGGCCCCCCGCTCAGCACGAGGACCCCGGGCCCGCCTGCGGCGGCGGGCTCCCCTCCGCTCCCCAGCACGGCCCTGGCGGGTGGCCCCTGTGTCCCGCCCGCGGTCCGTGGGCTCTCGAGCGCCCCGGGCGTCGGCGTGGACGCCTCCTCGAGCGCCTGTTTCGTGGCTGGGTCTGTGCGACCTCCGCGTGAGTTTTCAAGGCAGCTCCATCGCGCCTGCACAGCGGCGGCACCTCTTCGCACCCCTGCGGTCGGCGCAGGGTCCCGGCGGCCGCTCCCGCCAGCACTGTGTTCTGGTCTTTGAGGGTGGCTGTCCCGGTGGGAGCGAGGAGACGGCCGGCCGTGGCCTCGCGGCCTCCCCTGACGGGGAGTGGGTGTCGGTGTCGAGCGCCCTGGGGCTCGTGGGCGTGGGCCTCCGCCCTCACCGAGGTCAGCGGGTGCCAGTCTCCGCCCCGCGGCCCCTCTGGGCGGCGCGCTCTGGCGCGCCGCTGCTCCCCTGACGGCGCAGGCTCCCCTGGGCCGCACCTGCGGGGAGCGCCCTCCCTGCGGGGGGCTGACCCACTCCGTGCCTCCCGCAGTCGTACCTGCTCTTGGCGACGGTCATCGTCCTCCCGTACGTCAGCAAGGCCGCCAGCTGGTGCCGAGACAGGCTCGCGGGTGGGTGCCGGGTGCTGCTCCCAGGGCCCTGCCGCGCAGCCGCGCGTCCCTGTGGGTCTCCCCCCTGGCCTGCCTGCCCCCGGCCCCTGGGGGAGGGGGCCGGGACATCCTGGCGGGTCCTGGCCTCTGAGGCCCCAGGGCTTGGCCAGCGCCTCCCCTGCCGCCTCCACAGGCCCCCAGGAGCCCCCGGTGCACAGCGTGGAGCTCCTCACCTTCACCCTGCAGGAGCCACTCAGCAAGGAGCGGGTGGAGGCCTTCAGCGATGGGGTCTACGCCATCGTGGCCACGCTCCTCATCCTGGACATCTGGTGAGAGCCTGCGCTCGGCCGCCCCGGCTGGGGGACGGGCCCACGGCCACCTGCCCTGAGGTGCCCCTCGCCCTCCAGCCCCGCAGGGGCACTGGGGTCCCCCAAGAAGGGGCCCCGCCCAAGCAGGGCTGCCAGCCGGCGGGGTCCCCGCGCCGGCCCCGCCCATCCCGACCCCAAAGGCCTGTCTGCCTCCTGCCAGCCCCCGCCTCCCTGCAGCCTCCAGGTCCCGGGCGGCGTCTCCGCGCCTCCTCCTCCGCCAGGCTGGCGGCTCTGACCTCGTGTTCTTGTCTGGCAGTCTAGTCTTCGTTCTAATTCTTGGTAACTCTGCTACTGTAATCCATGAGTTTTTTTAATAGGGAGCAGGTGTCTCCTGGCACTGATCCCTGAGGCCTAGACCTGAGCTTCCAGAACGACCTGCCACTAGCTTGCACCACCTCTGTGGGCGGCATGCGGGCGGCTGTGGTTGGGGCCGGGGAAGGGGTGTGCTGCTCTCTGTCTCTACCCAGAGCCCCGGCCCCCTCCCTGCTGGCCCGGAGGCTTCGCAGGGTCCCCAGGCAGCCCCCTCCCTCCCCCGCAGCAGACCAGCTCTTGCTCCCTTCTTCAAACCCTCAGGGTCTGCCCCCTGCCCACCTGTGGGGACAGAGTGTCTCAGGCGCCTTGTGCCCCTGGTGGGTCAGAGAGCTGTCCCCACGGGTCCTCTGGCTGTGCAGCTGAGGGCACAGCCCCGTGGCCTCCAGGAGGGAAGAAGGCCAGGGCTCGACATGCCTCAGAGTCACTGCATTCCGTGACGGCTGCGGGTCCACCCGCAAGCGGACAGGCCTCACAGCACCCAGCCCTGGAGGCCAGAGGGGCTTGGGCCGGTGCTGCTCGCCAGCCTCCGGGGTCCAGCAGCAGGGCTGGGCTGGGCTGCCAAGTAGCAAAGCAAACAGGACACAGTTAAGCTTGAACTTCAGGCAAATGACGTGCGATTGTCTGCTGTACTGAGTGTGTAGATACAGGATAATGTGACTTAGTGTCCCCAAAGTCCCTGTCGTCCGGGGGGTGGGGCGCAGACCGGCACTGCGCCGAGGCTGCTACAGGTGCTGCCTGTTCACGTCCGCAGCTCGGACAACGTCCCAGACCCCAAGGACGTGGCAGGGCGGTTCCACGGCAGCCTGGTGGCCGCGCTGAGTGAGTCCGGGCCGCAGTTCCTGGCGTACTTCGGCTCCTTCGCCACGGTAGGCCTGCTCTGGTTCGCGCACCACTCGCTGTTCCTGCACGTGCGCAAGGCCACGCAGTCCATGGGGCTGCTGAACACGCTCTCGCTGGCCTTCGTGGGCGGCCTGCCACTGGCCTACCAGCAGACCTCGGCCTTCGCCCGCCGGCCGCACGACGAGCTGGAGCGCGTGCGCGTCAGCTGCGCCATCATCTTCTTCGCTGGCATCTTCCAGTTCGCCATGTGGACCACGGCCCTGCTGCACGAGGCGGAGACGCTGCAGCCCTCGGCGCGGTTCGGGGGCCGGGAGCACGCCTTCATGTTCGCCAAGCTCGCGCTGTACCCTTGCGCCAGCCTGCTGGCCTTCGCCTCCACCTGCTTCCTCAGCCGCTTCAGCACGGCCATCTTCCACCTGATGCAGATCGCGGTGCCCTTCGCCTTCCTGCTGCTGCGGCTGCTGGTGCGCCTGGCCCTGGCCCTCCTGCGGGCCCTGCGCGGCCTGCGCCCGCCCGCCCAGCACCCTGAGGAGGGCCCGCGGGCCCCGCTGCTCCCTGCGCCCTGCTAGCCCGGCCTCACCGGGGCTTGGCCTGGCCATGCCGCACGTGCCCAGCCCGTACCAGGACCCCACGCTCGGGCGGCCACGTCACCGGCGCTGGTCCTCGACACCAGGCGACCCCTCTGGGGCCCCGCCCGCCCGCCACCCCACACACCCGGAGCTCCCCGTGGCTGCTGAGCAGCAGACCGCCCTCCCCTCACGCCGGTCGGCACGCACAGACGGGAGCGAGACGGTGGCAAGGCAGCGCCCGGACTGTATTGTGTCGGACGTGAGTTACAGTGCACGTACTGTGGGCTGCACAGCGGGCGCTTCTGGCGCAGACACTGAGCTACAGGACAGGCGGCCCCTGCAGACGTGGCGCCGCAGGGACGGGGGGCGGAAGGGAGCAGCCCAAGAGGCACAAGAGACGACACGGCAAGCTGCTCAGTGCAACGTGGGTGCGACTTTGGCAGAAGCTGGGGGGTACGTCTGAAGTGGAGGCAAAGCCACCTGGGGAAGCCAGGGCTGGCCCTGCCAGAGGTGCCAGCAGCAGAGGGACCCCGCCCGGGGTCGACAGCGGAAACTGTGGGGCCACGGGAGGCTGCCCCAGCCGACTGAAGGTCCGGTCAGGCTCCTCCCGGGGTCCGAGGTGTGGCTGTGTGGGTCCTCCAGGCTCGGGCTGCAGGCGGCCTGCCCCGCAGTCCCGTCCAGCCGCACTGCAACCACAGAAGCCCGGTCTGCTCAGCAGACACGGGACAGCCACGCGATTGTTTGCAAACAAGTCACAAAGTGCCACGCGTCCCTGGTGATTAAAGCCGGCTCCCCCACTTCCTGCTGTCACTGCTTTCTCTGGCCTGGGGGCTCGGTCACTCGGTCTGGTCCCTTCCAGGCACTTCTGCCAGCCCCTCCGGGCACCACACCCCCTCCTCGGGGGCTGGGCTCAGCCCGCCTGGCCGCCTCAGGCCCTGCTGTGCCGCGTGGTCGCTCCCAGGCCACAGCCAGGCTCACGGTGCTCAGGGCAGGAGACTGGAGTGGCTAGTGGCGGAGAGGCCCCTGTGCCTGTGCTGGGGACACCCAGGGTCCCGATGAGGCCCAGGGCCGCCCGCTGCAAGGGCCGCCAGCTGCAAGGGCTCGGTGGTGGTGGGGACACGGCGGGGGGCCCATCTGCCCCGCCCCCGCGGCGATGGCCTGGGCCCTGGGGGTGGAGGCTGGGCCAGTGAAGCCCTCGTCCAGCCCCATCACGAGTCGGGAGGCAGGGTCACAGGGAGGAAGGCCCGAGGCTGCGGCTGCTACTTGGGGTCCCCCTCGGGGAGAGGCACTCCGTCTGCTCGGGCCTCCTTCGGGGTCCCGGCCTTCTTGGGCTTCTGCTTGGCCTTCCTGAGCATGTGCACCTGTCCCAGGGCAGGTGAGGTCAGAGGGCAGCACACTGCAGGCCCCCGACTCAGGGCTCCGGGGCCCCTGCCACTGTGTCAGCACATTGGACGGAAGGGCAGGGGCGGAGCCACATGGTTGTGGCCTTTGGGGCAAGGGCTCCAGCCCCAGCCCCCCAAGTGGCGGACCCCCTCCACGGCCCTGGGGGCACATTCCCACAGAGGAGAGGTGCTCTCCAAGGGCGGGCTGGCCCGGACCCCAGGACCCGCGGGGCCAGGCAGGGGTGCGCCATGCCACGCCCCTCACAGCCACAGCGGGCCAGCCCTGGGCCCCAGCCAGCACACCCCCGGCTCACCTTGGGGCCCACAGCGGAGATGATTATGTGGCCAGGAGCCTGCACCCAGGGCTCGCCGTCCACCTGCACAGGTGTGGCCTTGAGGAGGGTGACGCGGAAGTAGGCGCCCTGGGCGATGCGGATGCCGGAGCGCAGCCCGCCCTGGACCTGGCCCTGGGGGGGGGGCAGGGGGTCAGGGGGCAGGGGGTCAGCGGGCAGCGGCCTCACCCTGGGGGCAGGGGGCAGGGGCCAGGGGGCAGGGGCAGGGGCCTCACCCTGGGGGCAAGGGGCAGGGGCCAGGGGGCAGGGGCAGGGGCAGGGGCCTCACCCTGGGGGCGGGGGCAGGGGCCAGGGGGCAGGGGGTCAGCAGGCAGCGGCCTCACCCTGGGGGCAGGGGGCAGGGGCCAGGGGGCAGGGGCAGGGGGCAGGGGCAGGGGCCTCACCCTGGGGGCAGGGGGCCGGGGGCAGGGGCAGGGGCCTCACCCTGGGGGCAGGGGGCCGGGGGCAGGGGCCAGGGGCAGGGGCAGGGGCCTCACCCTGGGGGCGGGGGCGGGGGCCAGGGGGCAGGGGCAGGGGGCAGGGGCGGGGCCTCACCCTGGGGGCAGGGGCCAGGGGGCAGGGGGCAGGGGCCTCACCCTGGGGGGCGGGGGGCAGGGGGCCAGGGGCAGGGGCCTCACCCTGGGGGGGGGGCGGGGGGCAGGGGGCAGGGGCAGGGGCCTCACCCTGGGGGCGGGGGGCAGGGGCCAGGGGGCAGGGGCAGGGGCCTCACCCTGGGGGCAGGGGGCAGGGGCCAGGGGGCAGGGGCAGGGGCCTCACCCTGGGGGCGGGGGGCCGGGGGCAGGGGCAGGGGCCTCACCCTGGGGGCGGGGGGCCGGGGGCAGGGGCAGCGGCCTCACCCTGGGGCCCGCCCGCACTCACCATGTGCAGGACGCCTGTCACGCCCACCACCTCCAGCAGCCCATCGTCCATGCGCGGCTTCTCAAACCTCGAGTCACTATCTGGACCCCACAGGTCAGCCCCTGAGCCCCAGCTGTGCCGAGGCGGGGTGCACAGGTGAGGGTGTGGGCCGCAGGCGCCGCGTGGCGCAGGCCGGGGTCCCGCCAGAGTCGGCAGGGGCCCCACTGGGGCAGAGCACCCGCCCGAGAGCCCACCCACGGCACCTGGGGATGTTGATGAAGATGAGGCCCTCGATGCTGGGCAGCTCCACCTCCTGCTGCTCCACCTGCAGCCGGATCTCCCTGTGCAGGCTGCGGGAGTGGCTCATCTTCTGCAGCCCCACCCGCACGTACACCCCCTTGTTGTGGAGCCTGCGGGCGGAGGGGCGCCTGCAGTCAGCAGGCGGGGCGGGCAGCGCCTCCCCACCCAGCCCTGCTGGGAGGCGGGCCATCACGGGGTGGGGTGGGGCGGGGTGGGGGGGAGGCGCAGCCCCTCTCTGCCCGCCCCCGCCCCCGCGGCCCCGCAGCACCTGCTTGTGAACTTGCTGGGCTCCTCCTCGCGCGCCTGATGGAAGTCCAGGCTCAGCTCTGCGTCGATGCCAATCCCACAGTAGTTACTCATCTGCACAATCTGGGGACGAGACACAGTCTCCCGTGCCCAGGTCCACCCCGGCCAGGTGCCCCTGCCTGCCCTCGGCCGGGCCCAGCGATGCCAGCGCCCAGAGGGCAGCGCGGCAAGCAGCGCGGACCAGACCCCACGCACCAGCCCTGGACCGTCACCCGGCAACCACCGCTCTGTGCCCCGACTTCCCCAAGTAAAACAAAAACAAAAACAAGTCCCACAGGGGCCCACAGCCGCCACACCCTCACCCGGGCCCACCGCACCTTGGGGGGCTCCAGGTCGGCCACGCCGTTCCCCACGCCGTTGGCCTCATGAGCGTCCAGCAGGATGGCCCAGCGGTCCACGAGGACAGCGTCGGCCTCATCCACCGACACCAGCACAGAGGACAGGTCCTCTCCACTGTAGCCGGGCCCCCAGCGGAGCACCCGGCCCAGGTCGTTCCCTGGGGCAGGGCAGACGCCAGCTGACTTGCCCCACCCACTGCCCCACCCCAGGCCTCCACCAAAGCTTGGGGGGGGAGGGATAACCCCACAGGCCCGCCTCCTGAATTCTGACCCACCAGCCGACCCCACCTGTGCCCAGGGGCAGGATGGCCACAGAAGGCTCCGGGCAGGCCAGCCGGTGCCGCGTCTCCTCCAGGGCGGAGAGCACCCAGCCCACGGTGCCGTCCCCGCCACACACCAGCACCCGGAAGCAGGGCACCTGGGAGAACACGTGGAACCTGGCGACGGGGAGACAGGCGCTGTCTGCCACCAGCTGCAGCCACGCAGGCAAGCGCGGGCAGGGGGCGGAGGCCGGCCGCGGGAGGGGCCGCCGCTCGCCCCCCTCCAAGGCAGCCCCGCGGCTCCGGCGCCAAGCCATCGGGGGCCGCCCGCCCGGCCACGGGTGTGCGAAAGCCCCTTGAGGGGCCTGCCGGCTGCGCCCACCACACTCACCCAGGAAGAGGCCCCCCGTGCGTCAGCTCGAAGACCTGGTGAGGGTTCAGCAGCTTCCGGAAACTGCAGAGCAGGTCGCGGCCCTTCAGGCCTCCACTCTTGGGGTTCACGAACACGAGGAGGGGGCAGCAGTCCGGGGGCAGCTTCGTGTGCTGACAGACGGGGGCTGAGTTACGGCCGCCCCGCCGGGCTGCCCGGGCAGCGACCGCCCCCCCCTCCAGTGCCCCCCTGGCCTGGGCCAAGCTGGGGCCGCGCCCGCCCAAGGGAGTCACACACCAGGACCACCCAGTGCCCCGAGTCCACCAGGCTTCTAGGGACCCCCCCAAGGCAGAGAGGGCACCCACAGGCCTCTGGCCAATGGGGCCGAAAGGGGGCTGCCCGCTCGGAGCTCTGAGCACACAGGCCAAGGCCGGCGGCGGACACTGGTCCCCGAGGCCTTGCCATCACCTCATCCACGCGACCACAGGCCTGGCCCCACCGCAGCTCAGGAGCCGCCCGGCATGCGGCCTGGGGGTGCAGCTCCCAGAGCCCCTGCCCACCCACCTGGCCGCCAGGGGGCCCGGGTCACGGGGAGACCGCCCACGGCCCCTCAGGCTCAGGGAAGCCCCCACGATCCCCAGAACAGTGCCCGGAACCCAGTGGACAAGAGGCAGGGACGCCCTCCCCCGTGAGAACTGGGAGGGGTTGAGCACGGGCTCAGCGGCCACAGCCCAAGGCCAAGGGCGCGAGGGGCAACACGGGACCCACCGGGCAGAGCCGCCTGCAGGCACCATCCGCCTGCTGGCAGGTGCGTGTCCGCACCTCCCGCCCCCTTGGCCCTGGCCTGACCTGCAGGCCGCACTCTCCGGGCGTCCACCCTGCCCTCGGCCCCTGAGCCGGCATGGGGTGGGCGGGGCGCGGGAGCCCGAGCTCCCTGCTGGCCTCTGCGTCCCCTGGACAGGCTTGGGGCTGGGGCAGAGCAGCTGGGAACGGCTGGGGGCTCTGCGGCCATCGCGGCTGAGCGTCAGAGGCTCTGGGGAGGCACAGAGCACGGGGGTCTGGAGCACAGGCCCCTCGCCCCAGGGGCCGGCAGGGCTGGCGGGCAGGCGGCACCAGGCACCCCTGCTCCAGGCAGTGCCGGGCCTCAGGGCAGCATCTGGTCTGAGGGCGCCACCTGCTGGCCACGGCAGTCAAGGCGGCAAGCGGGCAGCCATGGGCCTGCTGGGCAGGGGGCTGAGGCCGGGCCCAGTGACCCCAGAGAGGACGAGGGCCACGGGGAATGCTCGCAGTCCACGCAAGCCTCTCACGTGTGTAAACCGGGCATGTGCAGCTGACCTCCGAGTGCGAGACAAAACCAGCCTCGGAGGCCGCGTGGCTCAGCCCCCACTCACCAGCACGTCCGGGAGCACCAGGGCGGTCAGTGGCCGGCCATGCACAGCCGTGTCCCTGACCAGCATGTAGAGGCGTTCGGCCTCCGCGAAGCAGGCCACGTCCAGCACCACGGCACCTGTGGCAGGTGGGCTGTGAGCTTGGCCACAACCAGTTCCAGCCAAGCCCACGTGGGGGCGTCTGCGCAGCTGTGGCCCCCCCGCCCCGCCCGACCCTAGGGCCTGGGGGAGGGGCCTTCACGGAGGGCTGGGCGCCACAGAGACAGGACACGGGGGGGGGGGGGGGGGGGGGCGGGGGAGGGGTGTGAGCAAGGCCGCAAGGACCAAGTAGCCGGGCACGTCCTCATTCCCTGCCTGCCAAGCCCTGGGGACCCAGGGGTCTGGGCCCCCAGAAACGGGGGACCACGGACTGCTGAGGACCCACAGAGGGGACATGGGCTCGTGGCACTGCCCTCCCATTTCTGGAAGGCCTTGAGTTTCTGTGACAGGGATGCAACCCCACGGGCAGAACGGTAGTATTCTCCGGCCTCGGCCAGGGTGTAGCCAGGAAACAAAACGAGTTTCCCTCCCAGGTGGTTCCAGAAGGAGCAGAGACTCAGGTGTCAGCGAGGTGCCAGCCCCGACGGAGGTGAGCAGGCAGGGCCCCCCCCTCCCCCAAGCTAGTCCAACTGCGCGGGGCTGGGGGGCTCACCTTGGGAGGCGTACACGTGGCTCACAGACACCAGGTCAGCTGCAGAGACGCGCTGCGGTCAGGGGCGCAGGAGAGGGCAGAGGCCGAGGGGCCCTCACACCTCCCAGGCCGCTGCCCCCAGCCGCTTGGTTCAGGGGGAATGTCACATCACATGGCAGGGCCAGCGACCCCAGGAAAGGGCACGCCCCCCGACTCCAGGGACAGCAGGCTCCCCCCCCGCCCCCGGGGCCCAGGGAGGAGAAGGCAGAGCCTGGACTTCAGGAGGCTCAGCAGCCCCTCAGAGGGCGGGCCGCAGCCTGGGCCCCGGGGGTCAGGAAAGACCGACCGGGCGGGGCACCGGGGGGCACAGGCCGGGACGGCGATGGGGGTGTCAGAGGACCCGGCCTCGTCCAGCAGCCCCACCGCCTGTCTTGGGACCTCTGCCCTGTCCCCAGGGGTCCGTGGCCAGCAGCCCTCGGCCAGCCCAGGAGGTCGCACCTTTGGTGGCCAGAGTCTCATCCAGCAGACTGCCGTACTCAGGGGTGGACAGGCCAGGGGGCAGGCCCCCAATGAACAGGGACACACGGGGGACCACGGGCCTGCTCTCGGCCAGGTAGAAGCGTGTCTGGTTCATCTGCCGCAGGGACGTCTGTGGGGGGAGGGGTGTTGCTGAGCAGGGTGCACCCGCAGCAGCAGGGGGCCCCGGAAGAACCTGGGGCAGAAGCGAGAAGGCAGAGAGGACAGAAGCCACAGGCTCCCTCCCCCCGCCCCTCAGGGAGCTCAGGGCTCTGAGGCCCAAACCCTGGCCTCCAGGAGCAGGTGCCGGAAGCAGACGGACCTCCAGGCCCCACAGAGGCTGGCAGGGTGGCCACGGGGACCATCTCTATGAGGCAACAGCCACAGCCAAAGACCAGCAGCTCCCGAAGGCCAGTGTCCCCGCCCACTGACCTGCCGGATGTCACGGAGCCGGCTGAGCAGCAGCTCGTCGTCCGCCAACACCGTCCGCTGGACTGGGGGCGGGGGGCAGAGTGTCAGCACCCGGAGCCATGCCCACCCTGCAGACAGCCGCCCGGGGCCCGGGGCCCAGGGCCGACCGCACGGGGCATCGCGGCAGGCCGTCCGCTCACCTTGCCTGCTACCCATGAGGACCTCCACCAGCTGGAAGCTCTCGGGACTCTCAGCCTGGGGGGCAGAGGTGGGGGTGTCAGGCTGCGACCAGGACACCCCAGGGCACCCCGGTGGGGCTTCCGCCCCGGGCTGGGCCGGCGGCCAGGCCGGCGGGGAGGCCAGGACCTGCAGGCCCACGACACACACCTGGCGTCCGAGCAGCGGGAGGACCTCCAGTACCACAGCCCGGGCCGTGCTGTCTGCAGTCACCCGAATGGACACGAAGGCCACACCCACCCTGCGGGGGACAAGCTCAGGGGCTGTGGCCACACTCCCGACCGAACCCGTTCCCCCCCCCGCCCCCCCGCCCCCCGGCCCGACCCGCAGGCAGGCCCCGCGCCCAGGGCGGGGGCTCACTTGAGCCAGGCAGGGTAGACCTTCAGGACTTCCTGGGTGCGGGGCAGGGCACGGATGATCCAGGCCTCAGCCGCAGGGACGCCCTCGGGGGGCCCGGGGCCCCTGCCGCCCTCCTCCTCCAGAGCCCCGCCGCCTGGGGCCTTGCCCCTGGCCCCGGGGTCACCGGCCGGCGGCGGCGCCGAGGGAAGTGCCTGCAGCTCGAAGTCGCGCGGGTCCTCCGCAATGTAGAAGGCTCGCAGGGCCGCCTCCTGCGGGGGGTGGGGGCGGGGGGGTGAAGAGCCGCCCTGCTGGGGGCCCCGCCACCGTGCTGGGGGCCTCTGCTTACCAGCACCTCCTCGCTCCCAGCCAGGCGGGGGACACTGACGACACGGAAGTGCCCGCGATGCACAGCGTCGCTGCCGTCAAAGATCCGCAGCGTCTGCTTGTCTGGCCCAGAGGGAAGGGGCGTGAACCCGAGATGGGCCAGAGGAGGGGCGGGGGACCAGACGGGGAGCGGGGGCGCTGGGCACGTACTGGACTCTGGCGGCGGCGGCACCTCTCTGCCCGGGCCTGCGGCAGCGCTTCCGTCCGCGCCGGGGTCCCCCTCGCCTGCGGGATGATGCGCACAGCAGGCCTCTCTCGCCTGCCCTCCCGCCCGCCCCGCCGGGCCCACCGGCCGCCGCCCCCGCGCTCACCAGGCTCAGGGCCGCCGCTCTCGGAGATGCGGAAGCAGTGCCTCTTGCTGAAGTTGCGGGATAGCAGCCGCACGCACGTGGGGGGCAGGACCATGCTGCGCAGGCGCCCGAAGGAGCACTCAGGGGCGAGCACCGTGGAGCAGACCGCGTGAGCCTGAGGGGCAGCGGGCGGGGGGCGGGGAGGTCGCGGCCTTGAGCCTCAGGCCTCCAGCCTGCCCCCCGCGACCCCGCAGGGCCTCGCCCACAAGAAGCCCCGACTCTTCAAAACAGGGGCCTGGCCCCAAAAGACGGGCACAGATCGAAAGGAGGCCCCGACACCCCGCCCCACCTGGACGCCGCACCATTGGCAGCGCAGCCCGGCCGGCACGTCGGAGGAGCCGCACGTCTTCCGACAGACCTCGCAGCGCGCGCCCGAGGGCAGGTTCCCCTCGCGCCAGTGGTGGTGGGGCGCGTCCTGCGGGGCGGGGGGGGGGGGGAGCGGTGTCAGCAGACGCCGGCCCCCCCCCCGCCCCCCCCCGGCCCGTGACTCCCGCCACTCACGGGGTCACGGTGCCCATCCTGGTGGCACTGGCGGCAGTCGCTGCAGGCGAAGGGCACACAGTCGGGGTGAACGTGCAGCTCACACACTGGGGGGCGGGCAGCGTTAGGGGCCTCTCGCCGCGCCCCACCACCCCTGCCCCGTCTGGCCACGCTGTCTTTGCGCTTCCTGCGCCTGAGGTGGCCCCTGCCCGCCGCCCCCCCCCCGGCCCCTGCCCGCCCCCCCCCAGCCCCCGTGCCCCCACCACGCAGCCTGCAGCCGCCCCTGCCGCCCGCCTGGGACGACCCCGCCCCGCCCCGCCCCGCCCCTCAGGCCGCCGGCCTGGCAGGGCTGCGGCAGCGGGCAGCAGGGGCCCGGACCCGGGGTCAGCAGTACCTTCACAGCGAAGCGCGGGCACCTCCAGGCCCTTGCGGCAAACCGCGCAGAACTTGCGCTTGTAAAGCCCCCGGGGGCCGAAGCAGTGGGCCACGGGGACCTGGAGGGGCAGAGCACGGCCTCAGCCCGGCGCTCGCCCTGCCCCCACAGCACCTGCCTGGCCACGCTGTCCCCCAGCCCTGAGGCCGTCCTGCGCAGTACTGACAGGGCCTGCCCGGCCACCGTCCCCCGCTGGGTGCGGCCAGCGCTGCCCTGACCCTCCCACCGTGGCTGCATGAAGCCCCTTCCGTGGCGGCCAGGACAGGGACACCCCTGCTGGTCCTTCCCGCCCAGCTGCTCCCCAGGTCTGTCCTCCTGGGGTAACATGTGGGGCAACCGGAAGGGAACGCAGGCGGAGGAGGGCCCACGGAGGGGCAGGAGGGGCCGTGCTGGGGTCCATGGGAGACACGGGGGAGAGCCAGGGGGATGTGAGGCGGGGCGCTGCCTGGAGAGGCTGGGGGGCAGGGGTGAGGTTCAGGATGCAGCCCAGCACAAGGGGCACTCCCGCCCCCGCCCCCAGGCTGGTCCCACCGCCCGCCCGGCCAAGCCCGGCCAAGCCCGGCCAAGCCCGCCCAGCGCGCAGGCCGGCGCCCGTGCTCCATACGCACCCGGACCAGGCTGGGCGCCACGCTGGCGCAGGGCGTCTTCACCTGCTTCAGGCACTTCTCGTGGGACATGAAGTTGCAGACTGCAGGGACAGAGTGTGGGAGTCGGCCCCTGTCCTGCCCCGCGATCAAGAGGCCCCTGGGTCGGCACGCAGATGGGGCGCCAGCCAGCGGGCTCACCAAGAGCCGCGGCGGGGCAGCAGGGCCCTGGCAGCGCCAAGTCCCCGCCACGGGGGGCGCACTCTTCCACGGCCGCTACGGCCAACCCCAGCAGGGCGAGTCGCTGCAGGCCCCAGCCCCACCCCGCTGCGGGGGCCGAGGGGAGCCTGGTTCCCACCATCCCCACAGCTCGGCCAGCAGGGCGCCATAGCGACAGCCCCCCCCCACCGACCCTCTCAGCAGCTCTGAGAAACACCCTGCCCTCTGCCCCACCCCACCCCTCATCTGGAGGAAGCCCAGACCGCGCGTGGAGCGGGGACTGATGGCTGTGACCGCCCTGGGTGACGTATCTGGTGTCCCCAGAGGAGCCCCTGCCCCGAGGCTTAGCTCTCCTTCCAGTCTCTAAGAGGGGCGGGCGGGGGGCGGGCACCTCTGCACATCCCCCAATACCAGCTTTGCCAGGGACACCCTTCCCTCACCCCCCACCGCTGCACGCGCCCCTAACGATCCCTCCCCCACGCCGCGTATCTGCTGAGGCCCACGGCCAGGCCATGCCCGGCCGGGACCCCACTGAGGCCAGTGGGACAGCTGCCCCTGCCCTGTCCACAGGGGTGGGCAGTTTAGGGGCCCCAAAGGCAGTGAGGGCCCCGACTGCACTGGGCTCCCCAGGCCCACCTGAGAAGCAGGGGCACCCCCACCTGTCTGGGGAGGCCCAGCGAGACTCAGGCTCAGCTGGGAGATGGACTCAAAGACAGACAGGGAGGCCCGGAAAAGAGTGTCTGGAGCGGCCTCGGTGGCACCCACAGCAGGGGTGGGTCTGTGCGGATGGGGCCGAGGTGGGGGCGGGGGGAGGCTGGCGCCGGCTGCGGGGCCGGGAAGCCGGCAGGTGGCAGAGGGACGGCCCTCCGACACGGCCTGGGGTGGGGCTGCCCACGGCCGGCCGTGAGGCAGTTCCGTCCCAGGCCGGCGAGGGCAGCCCCGAGGCCCAGCTTCCCAGAAAGTTCCAGAAGCAGCAGAGGCCGAGGCCGAGGCGTGAGGTCCCGCCGGCTTCCCCTCACAGCAGCCAGACCGACTCTGCCACAGAGGCGGCAGCTGTGGGCAGGCAGCGCCCCGCTTCCCCCCAGCTGGGGAAGATAACGCCTCATCGCTGCGCACCACGCGTCCTGGGCACCCCTGCCCGGGAGGGGCTCTTCCTCCACACCCTTATCAGGCTCCCCTGCTTGCAGAGGTTGCCAGCCCCTTCTCCACAGGAGGAGGGCCCACACAGCTGCCAGGGAGGCCTCCGTACCATCCCTACATCCAGCCGCGCTCTGAGAGCTGCTGGGCCCTTCCGTCCTGGAGCCCTGCCTTCTCCGCCTCGCACCTGTGTGGGGGCCCTGGGGCGAGCCTCCGACCCAGGGGGAGAGAGGGCAGTGCAGTGTTTCCAGTGAGGAGAAACCAGGGGTGACCACCCCCGTGCTAGCCTCACACAGAAGACATCCTGTGTGGGGGCCCCGCCTCTTCCCTGCCGAGATCGGACCAGGTCTCGACAGACCTCTGCCTGCGTTGTCCCTCAGTCCCCAGAGCCAAAGGCCGGCCTCCCTGAGCAGGGCAGAGGCTCCCCACGCGGCCACCCTCCGTGCCCCTAGGCAGCTGGGTGGGGTCCCCAGGTCCGCCCACCTGCGCAGGACTGGAAGGGAGAAGACCCTGGACGCACAGGCTCTGGCTGCCCAGGAGCCAGAGGAGGGAGGGCCTTTACACCCCGCCAGCCTGGCTTGGCAGCTGGATGGGAGCCCTGTTGGGGCATGCCGAATGTGGGACAGCAGGCCCCGCAGCCGGCTGTCTGGGAGCCTGAGCCGCGCACACACCAGGCCCCAGTGGGCAGAGGGGGCACACACCTGGGCGAGAACGGGCCAGCACAGGAGCACAGGGGCCGGTGTGCCAGGCCAGCCCTGCCTGGGGCAGTCGGCCTGCTCAGGGTGGGCTGGCCTCATCCCCCAGCCGCTGCACCTGCCACCCTGCCCCGCGCGGGGGTTGGGGGGGCGGGGGAGGGGCATGCTCTTCCCCGTTGGACTCTGACCCAGGTGAGGAAGCCCAGGGAGTCCTGGGGAGGGGCCCCGCGGGCTCTGGACGCCCCGGAACCCCAGGCAGAGCTGGCCCTCATCACCTCCACGGGAAGGCTCTAGCCGGCACGCCCTGCCCGGTGCGAAGGCCTCTGCTGGGCCAGAGTGCAGAGGCCAGAGGTGAGGCGCCCGTCGGGGCCGGGGGCTACGGTCTGCGATGGGGTCGCGGGCGCTCACCGTCGCACAGGAAGCCGGCCAACCCCCAGATGAAGTCGGAGCAGAGGTGGCAGTAGGTGGGCTTGGTGAGCGTCACCTTCCGGAAGGTGTGACCCGGTGCAGCGGGGCCCGGGGTCCTGGCGCCTGTCCGCTCCGGCTCCGACCCCGGCCCGGACCCCGGCCCCAGCCGCGCGCGGCCTCCGCTGCCCAGATCGGGGCTGGCGGCCGGGCTGCCCAGGCGCGGCGAGCCGCCGCCGAGCCAGGAGCCGGCCTCAGGCTCGGCCGTCGCCGCCATCCCCGGCCCGGGCGGCCCGAGCCCCCGCAGCTGGCGAGAGCCGGGTCGGCGCTGCGGGGCGAGGCCGTGGTCGCGGGGCTCCCGGCAATCAGCGCCGGCTTCCGACTGCGCCCGCCGCCACTGCGCAGGCGCGCGCTCTCGGACCCGGCCGGGCCTGGCGGCGAGGCTGGGCTGGCCCGCGAGGCGGAGCGGGGCGCGGCCTGAGGGGCCGGCCCTAAGGGGGCGGGGCCGGCAGGAGATGGGGCTGGGGGCGGGGCCGGGGGCCGCGGGGCCTACCGCGGGAGGCCTGACGGGAGGGGCCTGGATGGGGGCGTGGCCCGGGGCGGGCCGGCGGGAGGCGGGGCGCGCCTGCGGAGCTGGGGTCCTAGCCACGGTCGGAACGGGGCTGGGTGCGGCGACCCGGCGAGCAGAGGGCGGGGCCGGTGGCTTCGGGCCGACCGCCTGACCCGGAGCCGGGGCTCGGCTCCCCGCACGCGGCTTCCCCGCACCGATGCGAGGCGTTTGCACCTGCGGCGTCCAGGCGCGCGCCTGCGCAGACCGACTCCTCTGACGCGGTCCCGGGACCCAGGCTGTGGCTCGCGGTCGTGCAGGGCGACCCAGCGCGCGCGTGGCGCAGCCTGGGTCCCCAGGGTGGGGACGGGGTCAGGCTGGCGTCTACGGTGGAGGGGGGTGTCGGCGACGGCCGTGGGCTGGGCGGGCCGTGGGGTCGTCGAACGCGCGGTTTCTGCCCTGCCCGCAGGACCCTGCCCAGGGGATCGGCCCCTGTCCTCAGCGCAAACGGGGACTGACGATCCCGGCCACCGACGGCCGGGACCTGCATCCCTCCAGGAAGTTGCTGCCTCGCCTGTTCGCGGATGACCTTACAGGAGCCCCCTCCCATCAGCTCTCCCTTGGGAAGCCGGGCGGGGGGGCGGGGGGGGCGGCATCCCTCTGTCCCTCTGCGCCGTGGCCTCACGTTCCTGTCGCAGGCGGTCCTGGACCCCCTCCCCGACCTGAAACCCCACCCTACCGCGCTCCCAGCAACATTGAACCCCACCGCTCGTCCTGCCGGCGGGGCACCCCCGCGTGCACAGCGCTGTGCGATCCAGGCAGCGCTGGAGATGTGTTCACGCAGTCGTCACCCGCCTGATCCCTGCCGAGTCGTGAGCTGCCCTCCAACCAGGCCCCTACCCTGGCACTGCGGCCGTGGGCTGCAGGGCCTTGGAGCAGTTGGTTCCTGTGGGTGCAGGGAAGGGTGGGGCCCCAGGGCCCCAGAAGAGAAGAAAAACAAATGGGGGTGGGGCTGGGGGGAGGCAGCCAGGGGAAAATAGTGTCCCGGGAGAGGGCGTAAGGCCCCCCAAACGCTGCGGAGGAAATCCCTGGAAGTGCACCCACTGGCCAGATAGCTGAGGGAGGCAGGGGGGCTTCCGGGGGTGGGCTGTGGAGAGGAACGAGCTGGTGCCAGGGTCCGGCTCTCAGAGGAAGAGGAGCAGGCCCCTGAGAAGGTGGGCACAGACGCCCCCCCACCCCGGGAGCTCATCGTGGCCCGGGCGGTGCTCACCGAGTGTCATCCCTGCCCTCCTGGAACTGTGCTCTGGGCAGACAGACAACAAACGGAAGACAAGCCCAGAAATGCCACCCACTGTCTTGGGGCCCACAGTAGCCCCAGAGAGCCAGGTCCGGGTAACCAGGAGGAGCTGGCCTGAGGCAGTGGGGACTGAGCACGGGGTTGGGGACACTTCCAAACAGGGGGAAGCAGGGTGTCAAGGCCCTGGGGTGGGGCCACCAAGGAAGGGGAGGGTGCCCCTTCCCGTGGTGTCCCTCAGGCAGTGTCCACGTCCCGGGGCTGAGTCCCCAGCTCTGAGCGCAGCTCCCAGCACGCCTCTGCCCCCTTTCCCAAACCTCGAGCCAGACGGACGCGAGCTCCTGGGTCTGCTCCTCTCTACCTTTCCCCTCATCACCACCCACCCCATGAACCTGCCCTCAGCCAGGTCACGGGTGACACTGCATTTGACACACGTTTCTCCACGGACACAACTCGGCCAGCAGCCCTGTCTCAGCCTGAACGAGCTGTCAGACACACCAACTGTCTCTAAAAGGTGCACCCCAGGCTCCCTTTTAGAGACAGTGTCCCTAAAAGGCAGCACCAGGCTTGGGGACTGTTGCAAGCAGTGCAATCACCAAGAAAAAGCACAAAGGTGCAGAAAACGTGGCACTAACTCGAGGTAGGAAGGACATCTGTCTCCAGTCTGAGCTGAGACAGGCCACGTGTTGCCTCCATCCGCTCAGAAGACATGTGTCGGGTTTTTCACGATGCTGCGCATGTCCCCGAGGGTCAATGGTGGGGCTACAAAAAGATCTGAGTGAGCAGATGGGTTCACAAGTACAGGACCTGTGAGTGTTGAGGACCAACAGGGTCTGCAGCACAGACGCACCCCTCCTCCACTGGGGGGGGGCGCTGTCACCGCTCAGCAGGGCTCCTGGGGAGCAGGCCCTCTTGACAGGCCTACCTCCCGTGTCCTCAGGCCACGAAGAGGCCCATCTGTGGAAGACTTGCCTGCCTTTTGATACTTTTTTTTCATCTGCACTTCGTATCATCAGAATGAAAGAGAAAAAACAAAATAAACAATACATTTTATGTCGTCTCTCTTTGCAATGATCGTTCAATATCATTTTCCAGGGAGAAAAGACAAAGGGAGCAGAGTAATCCCTCTGGCGCAGCTGATCGGGAAACCAACGCGGACGTCTGTTCGCAGAAGCCCTGGCTCGTCGCAGGCTCTGCCAGCCAGTCATTAGGGCCGCGCTCCCGCCTGCAGAGAACGGAGTCATCGCCGGCTGGAAGGTTTCGGGCGCGCTCTTCTGCGCTGTGCTAGTCCAAGACACCCCTGCCAATCGGGCGGCCTCCTTCCACCACGTCCTCGTCACGTTGCTGTGAGGGTCCAGCTTATGTTGGCAATGTCGGCATTTCCGGACGAGGCAGCAGCGCCCAGCTGTTTATTGGGCGCCTCGCTCTTGGTTAACTGCCGCGGGTGTTCCTGGGTGCAGCGGCGCATCTGGCATTGACTTCACGGTGTGGAGAAGTGGCTGCGAGCGACCGAAGCACAGCCGGCCGACCCCGGCCGGTGCTTCCACAACACAACTTCCCCTCGGCCAGAGCCTGAAAGGGCCCCCCCAGCGCCACCCCAGCAAGAGGGGAAGTGCGACAGAGGGAACCCGTGAGTGTGGAGACTTCCGGGGTCAGTGTGTCTTGGTTTGGCAAAGTCTACAGAACCACACGACCATACGACGAAGGCCCTGCGTGAAAAGGCCACCGTGGGGCCGGCTGTGTCCAGAGGTGCCCCGTGCTGTGCCGCCCCACGGCTCTGGCCTTGCGGCCCCGTCCAGGAGAGCGCACACCCTCCGGCGCGTTTCAGTTGTGGGCAGGACCGGGCCCCGGCGCCGGGTGCTGGCCTCGTCCAGACCCTCGCACTCCTACATGGGGCCCTCGCCCCGTCGTCTGTGTTCGCAAACACCGCGCAGGCCCGACTGGACGTTGGGTGGGGCGAGGCTGAGCAAACATGAATCTGCTCAGATGTGGTGAGGTGACAGGGATGGAGACGTCCGCCTCTGAAGGAACAACTGACTGCTCACGTTTCCCAGGAGAAGGGGTACTCCACGCCACACAGGGGCACGGGGAAGCACCCGTCTGGGCCAGGAGGCAGAGGCGGGACAAGGGAGCGTGGCCCGGAGCCGTGGCTGGGGCTCTCACAGGAAGGAGGGGCAGGCAGCGCAGGGTGGGGGGCAACGCACATCAGCGGCCCGGCCCGCGGGGCGGCGGCCCCTGGTTGGCCGGCACCTGGCTGGTGTCCGAGGGTGAGGTGGGGAGCTGGCGGAGTGGGCTCCGGTGGCTTCCTCTGTCATCAGGGGCGCTCCCAGGGAGGCCTTACCCGGCTCTGGGGACGGGGGCCCTGGGAGGGGTGGTCTCTCCCAGACCAAGGCCCCAGGAGTCACGAATACAGAAAGCACACGATTGCAGTCGGTACAGTCAGGGGCAGACAGACGGGCGGTGGAGAAGGAAAACGTTTTCACCCACCCTGAGATACAAGCCAGACTTGGTTTAAGAGGAAAAACCCAGTATTTTGTTTACCAGCAGAAAGGGGGAAAGACAGGGGCTGTCCCCGGGAGAGAGCTGCCCCGGCCTAGAGGCCCCGCCCCCGCCCCGCCTCTTTTCAGCCAGAAATAAAAATGAAAAGCCTAAAAAATACCTGTGACAAATGTACAAGGCCCTGAAATGACGCCCCTCCCCGTGTGGCCCCGCCCCAGCCTCCGCGGCAGCGCCTCCCCTCGCAGCAGCCAGGTCTGTCGCGGTGCCCGCGGACACACAGCTCCGCTGCCGGTTCCCGAACAGTCTTCAAGCCTCTTCTCTCGGGTCTGGTGCCGTCTGAGTCCGATGCCCCTCGGCCTCCCCTCCCAAAGACCATCGGTGACGCTCAGAGCCCGCCCGGATAACCCAGGATCCTCTCCGCAGCCCAGGAGCACTGACCTAATCACACCTGCAAAGTCCCTTCGCCAAGTACGTCTCACGCAGGGGTCTCGGCGGGGCCGGTCGGCCGTGCTCTGTCCACTGCCCACAGCCTCCACGCCACTGTCCCACGTTTTCACGGTGACCCTGGATACGCTGTAAGTCCCCTGCGACGTCCTGGGAGCGCTGTCCGAGCCGCTCCTGGCTACGCTCTCTCTCGCGCCCCTTCCCTCCCTCCGGGGGCTGTTGCCATCGGTCTCCTCCTGGAAGGACGTTGTCCTCCGGCTCCTTCACGAGAAGCGTCCCCAGGGTTGGTTTCTCCGAGATGTCTTTTGAGCCTTTTCGTTTATGAAAGCTCACTTTTGGTGGGAGTCAGAGCTCCAGGTTTGCAGTCGCTTACTGTCAGGACGCCGACGTGTCCGTTTGGTGGCCGGCAGACTCAGTCTCAGCGGCCTCTGCTGGGCCTGGGGGGGAGGTGGCCGGGGGTCTGGGCCACGGTCTCCGGGCTTCGCTGCCTGCCCTCTCAGCTCTTCCTGGCTCTGCGGATGGCTCCCAATTACCAGCTCCCGTCTCTTGGAATAGTGTCGTGTCTCCACCCTGAGAGACCCTGCGGCTGGCTGACTGCAGGGCGGGGCTCCGCCGTCTGGGGGCACCGCGCAGGCCCGACTGGACGTTGGGTGGGGCGAGGCTGTTCAGTCCGCCGGGCAGCTGTGCAGTTTCAAGTGTAAACATTCACACCGGGCCCCTCGCTCACACGCAGCGCAGGCCACCCAGCTGTCTACTAGACGGTGCCCTCGGCTTCCCGGCTTCTCAGGGGCAGCTGGTCCCCGGCCACGCCTGTGCCTTTACAACAGCCGCGCTTTCAGAAAACGCCCCCCAGACCCAGCGGTCACCTTCGGCCCTGCTCTTCTTCCCCATCCATCCCATCCGCTGGTCCCAGTGCCCCGCGCGGCCGCCTCTCCGCAGAGTCTGAGCCAGCAGGCGGCCGCCCACCCCGCCCGCTGGGCCCCTCCGCACGCATCCACAGAACAGCGCTCACCCTCGAGCCGCCGACCGGAGCAGCGCGTTGCTAAGGGTCCTCGCGCCGGCGGCGGGGCAGGGCTGCTGTCACGGGCGGCGAGGGCAGGGGGCGCGGGGAGGAGCTTCCCGGGAGCAGCGGCAGAGGCAGCCGCCGACTCCCCGGCGACGCGGGCCGCCCGGCCCACCTAAGCCCCGCCCCCGCCCCGGCCACAGCCCCCCGAGCACGCCCGCCGCCGCGGCCCGGGGCGCTCCCGCCGCGCACCCCCAGCGCGGCCCACCTAAGCCCCTCCCAGCCCCGACGCGCCCGGGCTCCAAGGATCCGCCCCTCGGTGGCGGTCATGTGGCGCGCGACCCGGAGGCGGAACCGGCCGGCGTGGCGCAGATCTCGGCTCCGGGAGCACGGAGGACCCCGGGGGCCTGCAGGGGCCGGGGTGTCCCCGCGCCGCGCCCGGCCATGAGCGCCCCGGCCGAGTGCCCCCCGGGGCCCGGGACCGCGCTGCTCGCGCTGCTGGCCGCGCTGCTGACGGCGGCCCGGGCTGAGGCCCCGCACTTGGTGCGCGTGGACGCGTCCCGCGCGCTGCGGCCCCTGCGGCCCTTCTGGAGGAGCACTGGCTTCTGGTGAGCGCTACAGGCAGGGAAGCTGAGGCTCCAGCTCTCCGCTCTGCTTCTGTCCCGCCGCGCTTTTCTTAAACCTGGACCGCGCGTCCCGCTCCCGGGCCTCCCGGAAGCCCTTGTCGCGCGGGAAGAGACCCTTAGGCTCCTGCGCCCATGGCGCACAGTAGGTGCCACAAAGTGAAGAAGGCCGCCCACGGCGACTCACTCCTCCCTCTTGGGTCCCCTCCAGTTAGAGTGGGGGTCTCTTCAATGTCCCCCAGCCCCACGGAGGTTCTAGCTCAGTGGGGACCCCGAGCAGTGGAGGCCTGAGGCCAGGCCCCGAGTTTGCCCGGCGGTGGGGCCTGTGATGGGAGGCAGCCCAGGCCCGGAGGGGGCCGGGGCTCAGGACAGGGTTCCTTCCGCAGAGACCAGAGCTCTCCTGGGGCAGCCCCGGGACTGGAGGCAGCCCGGCGGTGGCCCCGCCCCGCCCCTGCGTGTCCCCAGCCCCCTCTGGGTCTCCGCGCTTGTGGGGCAAGGAGCAGGGTGGGGATGTGGTCCTCCCTCCTCTGACCCCCGCCTCCCGCCCCCTCCAAAGCACGAGGCTCCACAACATTCCTGGCCTTAGAACTGACTTCATTACATCGGAGACGGTGTGACCCCTGGCGCCGCTCCCCAGGCTGTGGGGGGGCCCGGGTCCCAGGCGGGCGGGGCCCGGCCTTGCAGGCGCGGGCTGTGTGCTGAGGCTGCTCCGCGGGCCCCGCCCACAGGTACTGATGCCCCGACACCCTTTTTCTGTCACCAGCCCCCCACTGCCACACAACCGGGCTGACCAGTATGACCTCAGCTGGGACCAGCAGCTCAACCTGGCCTACGTGGGCGCCGTCCCCCATGGGGGCATCCAGCAGGTCCGGACCCACTGGCTGCTGGAGCTCGTCACGGCCAGGTGGGTGCCTGAGGGGGAGCAGCCCGGCGCAGCGGGGCAGGGCTTGCTTCACGGGGGTGGAAACTGAGGCCGCGTCCACCACGGCGGGCGGTGGGGCGCCCGCCGGGGCGGCAGCTCTGAGGAGCCATTGGCCGTGCGCTCCCAGCAAAGTGTCCCGTGGGGCGGGGAGGCGGGAGGATGTCCCCCTGGCTCCTGGGGCCGCGGGCGCTGGGGCAGCCCCAGGACCTGGCATGGCTGGCTTCCTGCTGGGGGCCACCAGGAGGCTCGGGGTGGGGCGGGCGTTCCCCGCGCTGGCTTTGCGGCTGGACCCGGCTCCAGCGAGTGTGCGCGCACCGTGTTGTGTGTGCGGGGGCCAGGCCTTGCAGGGTGCTGCCCGAGGGCCGGGCCGAGGCTGCGCTGGCCACACCGCCCTTGGCCCTGCTGGGCTTGGCCGTGGCCCAGGCACGAGGTGTAAGAAACACTTGGGTGTGTGTGTTGGGGGCTTGGAAAGACACAGAGACCCTTCCACTGCTGGTCAGAGCTGCCAGCTCTCACCTGGTGGGGGGGGCCACAAGGGTCGAGGGACCAGTGTCCCTCCAGCATCATGGAGGCCACGTGATTGCCTTGGGCCCTTGTTCAAAGGAGACAGTGACGTTGAGTGTCAGACTGGCCCCCGCGGTGCTGCGGACGTGCAGCACCGGCGTCCAGCCCCACCTTGGTGGCCTCTGTTTCAAAGTCTCCCTCGTCCCTTCAGGGAGGAGACGGCACATGTGCCCCCGGGAGACTCCGTCTGGGTGGCCCGGGGTGGGAGGCTCGGAGGCAGGGGGCCTGCGCCGGTGCAGCTGCACTAGAGCGAGGAGTCGGCGGGCGCGGGCCCCTGGCAGCGGGCGCGGGCTGCCTGCACAGCGCTGTGCACGGTGTGAAACAGCTGCCCCTCGTCGCCCGCGTCCCCCTGGCCCTCCCCGAGGACGCCGCCCCCGCTCAGGGCGTCCCTCACCGAGGGGCTGCAGCAGGCCAGCAGCAGGGCGATGCCCAGGGCCCCGCAGTCTCTCCGCAGCTGCCGCAGCGTGGCCAGGCCGGCCGCATCCAGGAACAGCAGCGGGGCGCAGTCGATGACCACCGCGTGGAAGCCGGCCGCTCCGGGCACCAGGGCAGCCGCGCTGCTGGCTGGGCCCCGGTCCGTGTCTGCGACAGGCTCCCCCTGGCGGACCCCTGCCTCGGGGCCCGGCCCCTTCCTCCGGGCAGCTGCGTGCCCCACATCCAGCCCCGTGAGGCTGTAGAGGGACCTCAGGAAGAAGTCCTTGTTGGCAAAGTGCAGCGGCCCTGCGAAGCGGAAAACCCGCACGCCGGGCTCGGGGACCAGCCCCTCAAACTCCGAGACGTCCTCGTAGAAGCCGGAGCCCCCAACGCGGGCGAGCAGGGCCGTGTGTGGGCGCTGGGTGCGGCCGATCAGGCTGAGCAGCGAGAGGAGCAGGCCCGCCAGCAGCCCGGCCTCGGTGCTGACCAGCACGCAGGCGGCGGCCGTGGCCACCCAGACCAGCGCGTCGGCCCGGCTGAGCCGCCACAGCTGCGGCAGGTCCCTCGCCTTGCGCAGGGCGCCCCTCAGGCTGACAATGATGACGCAGGCCAGCACACTCCGCTGCAGGTCCCGGAACAGCGGCGCCAGCGCCAGCAGCACCAGCAGCACCACCGCGGCGCTGACCACGCTGGACAGCTGCGTGCGGCAGCCGGTGGCCGTCTTCACCAGGCTCTTGGCCAGGGCAGCGCTGGTGGCGAAGCAGTGGAAGAAGGCGGGCAGCACGTTGCAGCAGCCCACGGCCAGCAGCTCCTGGTTGGCCCGCACGGAGTAGCCGTGGCTGCGGGCGAACATCTCCGCCAGCGAGATGGAGAAGGTGGAGCCCACGAGGGCCAGGGGCACGGCGTCCAGCGCCACGCGCCACATCAGTGCCAGGTCCGGCGCCCGCGGGGCCATGAAGCCAGTGGGGATGTCCCCGGCCACGCTGGAGCCAAAGCGGGCATGCAGCTGCCCAAGGTGGGACACGAGCGTGGCCGCCACGATGACCAGCAGCTCCGTGGGCAGCGGCACCTTCAGGCGGTGCCGGCAGCGGTCCGAGAGCTCCCTGGCGGACAGCAGCACAGCCAGGCAGACGGCGCTCGTGAGCACGTCGCACAGGTTGGCCTGCCCGGCGTTGCGCAGCAGGCTCAGCCACGTGCGGACCACCATGCCCGGCCCCTGGTGCCGGGGCACCCGCACGCCCAGCAGGTGCTTCAGCTGGGAAGTCAGGATGGTCACCGAGGCCCCCATGGCGAAGCCGTCGAGCAGTGGCTGCGAGAGGTAGGCGGACACGAAGCCGAGCCGGAGGACGCCCATGAGGACCTGTGGGCAGAGTGTCGTGAGGGCAGCGGGCTGTCCGTCCCGGCCGAGGGGGAGGCCGCTGCCAGAGCCGGACCTGCCGCGGGAAGGCAGCTCTTCCTCCTGCCCTGCGAGAGGCGCTGCCCCCGCCGGGAGGAGCGGAGCCAACGCGGGGGCGGTGCCGGGAGGCGTGGAGCCAATGGGAGGGCGGTGCCGGGAGGCGTGGAGCCAATGGGAGGGCGGTGCCGGGAGGCGTGGAGCCAACGGGAGGGCAGTGCCGGGAGGCGCGGAGCCAATGGGAGGGCGGTGCGGGGCTGCGGTGGCCTGGCCCTGTACAGGGGCCAGCAGGTGTGGGGGGGCCCCGGGGAGGCAGGCAGCCCACCCGCGACAGGAAGCCTGGGGAGGCCGCGTGGCCCAGCCGCGCGTGTCTGTAGCTGAGGCCACGCCCGGGCTACCAATTCCAGCCCAGGCTGCTGTCGGCCAGATGGGCGCCCTGGGCCCCGGGCCCCCCCAGCCCCTTGGGCGCTCCGTGCGGGGGCACCTTCTCCCGCCCCCTCTGCCCATGCCTTGCTCTGTCCTGGCCTGGCGGCTAAGCCGCCCGTCCTTGGGGGCCCCCACCCGGCGCTTCCCAGCTCCGCCCGGAGCGAGCGCCCAAGGGGCTGCCCTTGGCACTGCGGCCGGCCCCTCACCTGGTAAATCCCGGCCACCAGCGTGAGGGCGGTGGCCACGCGGATGGCATAGCAGTCACGCCCGCAGCCCTGCAGCCCCAGCGCCGCCGCCGAGGCGTTGAGGGCGCTGCTGTTGTCCCCAGGCGCAGGGCCGTCCTGGGCGGGGTCGAAGCCGGCCAGCAGGAGCTCGCGGTCCACCACCTGCCCCACCATGAGGCAGAGCAGGCTGAAGATGCCCACGGAGACGTGGCGCGAGGTGCCCATGAGGAAGTAGATGAGGTTCGCGAAGAAGGACGTGTAGAGGCTGTAGATAGGCTGCAGCCCGGCCAGCAGCGAGTAGGCGATGGCCTGGGGCACCAGGATGATGCCGATGACCAGCCCGGACACGACGTCGCCTGCCAGGTCCTCCCGCAGGCGATACCTGCGCAGCCAGCGCGTGGCGGGCAGCAGGGCCTGCACCAGGCCCCAGGCACCCCGCGCGCTGCACTCGCAGCTTTGCCGCAGCCTGGCCTTCAGCGTCTCGCGCAGGCCTGGGGGCGTCGGGCGCGGCCGGCGGACCAGCACTGGCACCCCCGCCTGCTGCTCAGGCGACACTTCCATCCTGGGGTGCCAGGCCCCTTGGGAAAACCTGCCAAGGAGACGTGGGCGTCGGTGCTGGGGCGGGGGGGGGGGTCCCGCTCGTCACAGGGACCCAGGTACACAGGTGGCCAGACGCAACTCCGCCACATCTCGTCCGCCTGCCGGGCCTGATCCAGGCCCCCCTCACCCCGCACCCCTGTCAAACCACCCTCTCCGAGTGACAGGCGACCCTCCCGGGTTCTGCCTCCGAACCCACAGGGGCGCTGCGCACCAGGCCGGCTGGACGGGGTCTGCGGCCCGGCCTCCGCACCCAGCGCGGCGTCTTGGGCCCGGCCCTCTCGCGGCGCCGGGCTCAGCTCAGGCTTCGGCTCTCTGATTCTCTTCACGGTGACATTGAGCCTGTTTGCTCTGCTGCCGGCGTTGACAGCGCTGCCTGGGGCTGGGGACACGTGGCCAGGGGTTTACCTGGGGCGTGGAGGGCGGCGGTGCTGCTGGGCTGGCGGGGGCGGGGCCGGGCGCCCAGACCCCGTGGGTTCAGGCAGCGGCTGCCTTCAGGGGACAGATGAGCGCTGTTTCCCCCTCCGCGGACCTCACCTCAGAGGGGTCCCCGGGGTCCAGGACGGGGTAGATGCCACCTGCCTTTTGCCTGCACGGCCCCGCAAAGAGCCTGCCCTGCTCCGCCGCCCAGGAGCCGGCCTCTGTGGCCCCGTCCGCCAGAGCCTTCGCTGTCTGGCATGGGCCTCGGCGCGGCTCTCACCTGAGGGAGCTGCCCACGGGCTTGGTGGGCAGCGAGGAGCCTGGCCGCCTGTCCTCGGAGGCCGGGCCTGCTCCTGGCTGGACCCCGGGCCCTCTGGCCCTGCTGGTGGGTGGCGGTGCGGGCAGCAGGCCCTGGGTCTGGCGCCCCGGCCAGGAGAGCTCTGCGGCTGGCCTCTGACTGCGTGGCCTGGCTGGGCTGGCAGTTAAATCATTCACCGCAGAGATTGCTGAGTCACACGTTTCCCCAGACGAGGGCTACCTGAGCGGCTAATCTGGAGAGCTGTGCTGTGATTGGAGGCTCATGAGTAATGGCATCGTGTGGCCTCTGACAAGCTCCCAGCCTCCCGGGGCAGGGCTGCAGGTGTGGGGCGGGGCAGGCGGGGCAGGCCCTTGGGGGAGGCCAAGGCTCAGGCCCCGGCCTATCCCGGGATGGACACAGGACGGACTTCAGCTCAGGGTACCTGGCTCGCAGGACCCCCGGAGGAGGGTGTGGATCAGAGGGGACCGAGGGAGAGGCGGGTCTTCTCGTCCCGTCCCCAGACACCCTCCCTGTCCTGACAAGGGACAGGTTAGGCCAGGCGGGAGCATGGGCAGGGCCACACCTGGGCAGCCGTGTCCTTGGCTTCAGTCCTGTGCTCTTCCATGGAAAAGCTGCCACGTGTGCATGCAGCTGAGGGCGGGCCGGTTGCCAGGCATCAGGACACTGTTACTAGCCTGGCGTCGGGCGAGGGTCCTGAGCCCGCCCCCTGGAGCCAGACCACCCGGGTCCCAGCGGGGCACAGGCCCTGGGGGTGGCGGGCCTGCCTCCCTGCCCCTGGCTCTGTTCTCCACAGGAGGGCCCTCCTGGCAGCGCCTGCCGGGGCTCTCCTTGAGCTGCAGGCGTGTAAACTGAGGGCGAGTGCGGTTTTTACAGCGATTCTTCGGACCCTCGGTCCCCCACTTTTTAAATGGAGGGAGGGGCAAGCAGGGGTCCCTCCATGGGGTGCCGAAGCCCCAGGTGCGCCCCCCTCCTGAAGGGGGAGGTCCCTCCAGTGGCAGGAAGGCTGAGCCGGCCGGGGCCGCTGTCCCCGGAGGCCTGGCCTCATCCTGCCTCGCCTGGCCCTGTGGGAACTGCCAGTGGAATGAACATCAACAGCAACCCTCTTGCAGAACTCCATTCCCCTGGGATGGGGGTCAGTGAGCAGCTGGGGGGCTCCCATCCAGGCCCCGCCACACTCAGCCCCACTTTGGGGCCTCGGGAAGCCTGCCCACAAGTCCTGCCGCAGCTCTGAATCCCTGGGCCTGGCCGGGGAGACCAGGAACCCCACTTAGGGGCAAAGATGGGAGTGGCGCCGGGCGGGGGGCAGAGACTGCAACGCGGGCTCCGCCTCTAGGTCTGATTCCTTGTCCTCAAAGAGCCTGTGCTGGGCCCCGCGGGCAGAGCCAGGGCCACCTGCCCACAGGAGTGTGGCCGGGACCCACTCAGCTCCTACCCAGGCTGGGCGTCTGAAGCAGGTGACAAAATACAATAGAGGCCACAGATGTCCTTTGAGAGAATCGCAGGACCCCTGCGGCCTAACACACTTACAGCCACAGACCCCTGTCCTTTGCCGGCCTCCCTGCCATGTGTTCACAGCTGTGACCATCCTGTGGCCTGGCCCGACCTCGGGCAGGTGTCTGGGGCCCCAGGGGAGGGTGCTGAGGCCCCCCACCCCACCCAGGGAGCGCGCTGAGGGGCCTCCGGGGCCTTCCCCCTGCTGCCGGCCTCCCCTCCTTCCCTGTCACAGCCACACAGTTATTTACTTAGTATTTGTCTTTAAGTCAGGGTTTTAAATTGCTAAGTACACTTCCTTGGAAAGGAAACATTGTATCCCTACAAGTGAAAAGAGGCCGGCACACAGCCCAGTTGGTGTCTGAGGCCGAAGTGGCTCCCCGAAAGCCCCCGCTACCCTGCGAAGGCCTGCGCTCCTAGGTCCAGGAGAGAAGGCTGAGGCCAGGCAGACCCTCCTCCCAGGCCGGCGGCGCGGGCCCACACCCGGCCACCCCCGCCCCGGGGCTGTCGAGCAGGCTCTTCCTCGCCCCCACCTGCTCTGGGAGCGCGCGGCCTGGGTCTCCACCCCGCACATCCTCCGCCCTGCATTCCCTCCCGCGCGCGACCGCGCCCCCACACCCCGCAGTGGCGCCGGGCATCACCCCGCTCCGCGGCCGGCACAACCGAGCACTCACCAGGCCGGGGCGTAGCTCGGCACTCGCGGCGCACGCGCCGCGGTGGGGGCTCCGGAGCCGCCCACCCGCCGCAGGCGCGCGGTGAATGAGGCTGCCGTGGTGCCGCCGCCGCCCCGCTCATGCGCGGGAGCGATTCCTGGTGCCTGGCGCCCGAGTTCGACCCCCTGCAGTGTGGCAGGATGGAGGGGCCCTGGGGGTCGATCGGGGGGCCAGGCTGGGTCTGGGACCTAGGCTTCTCTGCGGGGGGGACGGGGAGGGAGGTGGGGGGGCAGGGGATGGTGCTGAGCTGGCTGCGCCCTTCACCTCCCCACTCAGCGCCCTGCCTGGAAAGTACACCGTTTCCTTTCCCCACGGAGTGGGGGCTCCCGGGTCCTACCCCCACCCTGGCGTGTCCTGGCCCCTGGGGGCAGGCGTCCTGACGGGCCCCCCAGCACCCCTGGTTGCTGAGGCCGGCGGGGCCCGCCGCCATGCAGGCTCACGCAGGAGGACGGGCTGAGGACACCTCCGGCCCAGGACGAAGCAGGGGCTAGCAGGGGCCTGCAGAAGGCTTTGTACCTTCGCTTTGCTCTTGGGCACCATTGTGTGCGCCCGCCTCCCGACCCCCCTGTGTGGGACTTTGGAACCCATCTCCTGCACGCATTTAATTTTCACCCAAGTGCTTATTAAGTTTTATTTCTTTGCTATTGGTTGTGACCTTTGGATGGAAGGGAAGGTGGGGGAGGGGAGGGCTGCATCCTGCTGGGCCCCAGAGGCGGGAAGGCAGCTGAGAGCCGCAGGAGGCGGCTGGGAGGCCTCTGAGGGCCGGGCCCGCGCCCTCCGCCTTGACGGGGCGCAGCGAGGCTTGGGGGAGAGAAGGCGGTGGAAGGAGGCGTTGGCCCGTCCAGACCCTCCCTGTGTTCAGGGGGTGACGCCGGGCCGAGCGGGGTCTGCTTAGGGCCGGACCGCGGGGGCTCCCTCTGCCCCGCCTCCGCCGTCGCGCACACGCGTGACACACCGTGGCAGGCCGTCCTGCCTTTTCCCGCCTTCATTTCTCCATCCGTGGGTGGAGCAGGCACGTCCTCAAGGGGAGCCCTCGGACCCCCTGCCCAGCCACTGCCTGTGTCCCTCACGGGCTGCGCCCCGACCTGGACGCCACACCTCCCCGGGGGACCGCCTTCTGGCCGCAGTGAGCCGCCAGAGGGGTCCTTTCAAAATGCCACGGCAAAGGCAAGACTCTGACGACAGGAACAAAAAAGTGCTTGTCGGAGGTCGGAATTGGGGGGGGGCAGGCAGGTGCAATTTGGGCGCGGAAGCCACGCCGGGTGACGCTGCAGCGGTAGATTCGTGGCACCGAACGTCTTTCCAAACCCACAGAACGCACACCATCGAGAGACCCCCAGACACTCTGAACTGCGTGACAGCAACGCGTCAGCGTCGTCTGGTCAGTGGTCACGAACGTCCCCCGCTGGCAGGGCGTTGACGGTGGAGAGGCTGTGCAGGCGACACCTCCCTCTCACTTGTGCTGTAAACCTGCAACTGCTGGAAAAAAAATTAAGTCTTAGAAACGAGCTAACCCGCCAAGCTGCGGCGCGGCCTGCGTGGGTCTGCGACAGGGCTCCCCGCTCCCCCGTGAGCCGGGCCCCTCACCGCGGTGGCCCCAAGGCCTGTGTGACAGTCGCCGTCTCCCCCGCGCTGCCCCAGGCCCGCCGGCTGCCTTCCTGCCCCTCAGCATCCACGAGGTCCTGCCTGTCCCCGGCACGCCCCTTGCTGGCTTGTCCCATCGCCTGGAGGTCCTGGGCGTCGCCTTGGAGAAGCTCTCCCTGCCGGGCCCTTTGCTCCCTGTCCCATCCCCTTCCGGGCCGGACGATGCTGGTCCCCACTCAGGGCCTGAGCCCCAGGGGAACTGGGCTGCAGCCTGGGACGCGCAGCCTTCTCCCTCTCCTGCCTGTCTGTGTTGCCTCCTGGACTGGGAGCAGGGTCCTGGCCTGCAGGGGGCGCAGAGAAGCCGGCCCCTCAAGCCCTGGTCCCACGGCCTGGGGCCCACGTCAGGGTCTGCAGGATGTGGGTCCCTCCCTCCCTCCCTCCACCACCACACCTTTCCCAGGAGACCTGTCTGCTTCGCCCACTCCTGAGCCCCTGCTGTTCTGAGCCCCGGGCTCTGAGGCAGGGCAGGTTGCGGGGGGGCGGGGGGCACGGATCCAGGGGAGGCGCCAGTTCATACTAGGCCCCGGGCAATAGGCCTCCGTGGCTGGCATTTGCCGAGGGGGGCCCACGATTCTGGGACCAGATCCTGTGTGGCGCTGGTGGATCCTCTACCTGCCTGACCACAGCCACGGTTCCAGCCCAGGGCTGCCTCTTCCAGCCCTGACCTCTGGGGTCCTCTGCAGGTCAGCGGGGCAGGGCCTGAGCTACAATTTCACGCACCTGGATGGGTACCTCGACCTTCTCAGGGAGAACCAGCTCCTCCCGGGTGAGTGGCCGGCCCTGGCCTCCGCCCATCGGGTGCCGCCTCCCCACGACCTGGGTCCTCGGTGGCGCTCACCCCGGGACGGCCCGCTGGTGGTGTGGCGAGGCCCCAGCCTGGGGGACCGGGGACCGTGGGGGCGGGGGGCAGTGGCACAGCCCCCTCCCGTGTTGCAGGCTTTGAGCTGATGGGCAGCCCGTCTGGACGCTTCACCGACTTTGAAGACAAACGGCAGGTGTTTGAGTGGAAGGACATGGTCTCCCTCCTGGCCAGGAGATACATCGGTGGGCAAGGGCGGGGACCGAGGGGCCAGCGGTCGGCACTCCTGGGCTGGCTGTCCTGCCGCATCACCCAGCCGCCTCCCGGGTCCCCTGAGTCATGAGCTTGATGGGGAGGGCGGACAGGCGCTGGGGGGCTGTGCGGACTTGGGGTGAATCAGCCCAACGCCCAAACCCCCGGCCTCCCGCCTGGGAGTCGGGATGGGCACCCCCCGCCCCAGGGCGGGCGGGGGCCAATATAACAGCAGGGCCCCGCAGGTAGGTACGGACTGGAGCACGTGTCCAAGTGGAACTTCGAGACGTGGAACGAGCCGGACCACCACGACTTCGACAACGTGTCCATGACGGCGCAAGGTGAGCGGGCCTCCCGGTCCGGCGCGGAGGGGCGGCTCCCAGCGGCGCGCGGCGGCCGACGCCTCACCCTTCCGCCAGGCTTCTTCAACTACTACGACGCCTGCTCCGAGGGGCTGCGTGCGGCCAGCCCCGCGCTGCGCCTGGGCGGCCCCGGGGATGCCTTCCACCCGCCGCCGCGCTCCCCGCTGAGCTGGGGCCTCCTGGGCCACTGTCAGCACGGCACCAACTTCTTCACGGGCGAGGTGGGCGTGCGGCTGGACTACATCGCGCTCCACAAGAAGGTACGGCCCGGCCCGCCGCCCCGGTCGTCCTCGTTGGCGGCGCTGGCTGTGCTGAGGCTGCGCTGCTGACCGCAGGGTGCGGGCAGCTCCATCTACATCCTGGAGCAGGAGCAGGAGGCGATGCAGCAGATAAAGCGGCTCTTCCCCAAGTTCGCCGACACCCCCGTTTACAACGACGAGGCAGACCCGCTGGTGGGCTGGTCCCTGCCGCAGCCCTGGCGGGCCGACGTGACCTACGCGGCCATGGTCGTGAAGGTGGGCCGGCGGCGGGACCCCTCCCGCCCCCGTGGGCCGCCCTCCGCAGCAGGAGGGCGCGGAGGGAGCCGTGGAGGCCAATGCCCCAGCTGCCCGCACCCGCAGGTCATCGCGCAGCACCAGGACCTGCTGGTGGCCAACGGCAGCTCGTCGGTCCGCTACGCGCTCCTGAGCAACGACAACGCCTTCCTGAGCTACCACCCACACCCCTTCTCCCAGCGCACACTCACCGCTCGCTTCCAGGTCAACAACACCCACCCACCGCACGTGCAGCTGCTGCGCAAGCCGGTGCTCACCGCCCTGGGGCTGCTGGCCCTGCTGGGTGAGCCTGCGGCCCAGGCGCAGCGCCGGGGCTGGGAGCTGGGGGGCGCGCACACGCTGGGCGCACACCTCCGGGGGCCGCGCGACAGGACCAGCTGGGTGGGCCTCAGAGGCTGTGCCCGGCCGGGGTCCTGGCAGGGGTCCCGGGCGAGGGGAGCAAGTAGCGGGCGGGCGGGCCCTGGGAGGGGCAGGGGTGGCGGCCTCCGTGCGGCGACCACCGCCTCCTGCCCCGCAGACGGGGAGCAGCTCTGGGCCCAGGTGTCGCAGGACGGGGCGGTGCTGGATGCCAACCACACCGTGGGCGTCCTGGCCAGCGCCCACCGCCCGGCGGGCCCCGCCGACGCCTGGCGTGTCGCCGTTCTGGTCTTCGCGAGCGACGACACCCGCGCTCACGCCAACCGCAGCGTCGCCTTAACCCTGCGCCTGCACGGGGTGCCCCCGCACCCGGGTGAGCACGGGCTCCAGGGCTGAGCGGGTGCGCCGGGGCGGGGGCGGGGGCGAGGGCGAGGGGGCGGGCCCGAGGCGCGGCCCCAGCGTCTGGATCCCCAGGGCTCGTGTACGTCACGCTCCGCCTGGACAACCGGCTCTGCAGCCCGCACGACGAGTGGCAGCGCCTCGGCCGGCCGGCCTTCCCGTCTCCGGAGCAGTTCCGGCGCATGCGTGCGGCCGAGGTCCGCGGCCGGGGCGGGGCGAGGGGCAGGGCTGGTCCCCAGTTCGAGGCCCCTGAACGCTGGCCCCTGTCCCCAGGACCCTGTGGCCACGGCGCCGCGCCCCTTCCCTGCCAGCGGCCGCTTGACGCTGCGCCCCGAGCTTCCGCTGCCGTCGCTGCTGCTGGTGCACGTGTGCGCGCGCCCCGAGGAGCCGCCGGGCCAGGCGAGTGGCAGTCCCGACCCCGCCCCGCTCTCGCCCCACGCCCTCCCCGCACCCCGTCACGGCGCCCCCTCTCTCTCCAGGTGACCCGGCTCCGCGCTCTGCCCCTGACCCGCGGGCAGCTGCTTTTGGTCTGGTCGGATGAGCTCATGGCCTCAAAGTGCGTGAGTGCGGTCGCCCCCACCCACCGCCCCATCCCTGCCCCGCACGTGCCCGTTCTTCCCCGACCGGCGCTCGGCCCCCCACCTCCTGTGCCTGCGCGGTCACCCCACTGCAGCCCCCACCCTGGCCACCCAAGGGCCACACGCTCCTCCCCTCACGCGCCTGCCCCCACTGAGGGGAGGCTGTGAGGTCACCATTGCTTGATGCGGGGTGAGGGCACCTACAAGGGACCCCGCGGTGGCAGCCGGGCTCCAGCCCCTCCCCTCAGACACGCGTGGCCTGTCACCAGTGCAGGAGGGGTGCCCAGGGCCCCCTGGGGAGCGGGCGGGGGGGCCGGAGGGCATAGGGCTCTGACGGACCACCCCCAGGTGCCTGTGGACGTACGAGGTCCAGTTCTCCCCGGGCGGCCAGGGGTACGCTCCAGTCAGCAGGGAGCCGTCGACTTTCAACCTCTTCGTGTTCAGCCCAGGTGCGTCTGCCGCCGGCGCCGCGGCCGCACCCGGTGCCCGCGGTGTGGGCTCCAGGGCCAGGTGGAGCCTGCAGCTGGGGCTTTGGGAGCTTGCGGTGGGATCAGGAGATCACGTTTTCAAGACGTGTGTGCCTTTGCGTCCCCAGACACGGCTGCCGTCTCTGGCTCCTACCGAGTCCGCGCGGTGGACTACTGGGCCCGGCCGGGCCCTTTCTCCGCCCCTGTGCAGTACGTGGAGGTCCCCGCGCGGTGAGGGCCGCCGCCGACCAGGCGCTGGAGCCGGTGCCACCCCGCGGGCGGGCCCCTCAGCGGGTCGTCAGCTCTGCGCGTCCCTCCCGTCCCATCGCTCACCCCTTAAAGTGCCTTTCCACACCTCGGTCTTGCAGTCGCCTTTGGGGACAGGTGCGGGCTGCAGCGCCCCTGCCTTGCCCCGCTCGCAGGCAGACCCTTCTCTCGAGCAGGGGCTCCGGGAGGGGCCCGCTGGGCACAGACAAGGCTGAGCCACCAGAGGCGGCCCCTCCAGGTGGGGGGGCCCCGTTCCCATCCTGCCTTCCACCTGCAGGGGGACCCACCGCCCGCAGCCCAGCTGTGTTGCCCCCTCCACCCTGCCCGGTGGGGGCAGGGCGCGCTCCAGGCTGCCTGGGCCAGCCGCTGAAAAGGCCGACAGGGTGTTGGGTGGCCTTCTTGGGCATCCTGGTCCCATTTGTGGGCCCAGAAGGGAACAGATGGTGAGCACAGAGGAAGACAGTTCGGGAACATCTGTAGAGTTGTGGTCCGGGGTCAGCGAAGCCACAGGGTGGTACAGAGCCCCGGCCCCACCCCCACTGCTCCCAGGAGACAGAGCAGGTGAGGGAGCACTCACCTGGGCAGGAGCAGGCAGGCACCCGGGCCTTGGGCCGGGGGTCCCTGCGAGTGGAGCGGAGGGGAGCGCACCGAGGCCCCACCCCACTCCTGCCTCCGCCCACCTCCCCTGGGCTGCCCCGGGCTCGGGTGGGAGGGGACAGCAAGGCCCACTGCGCCCCTCCGGCTCCACGGGCCACCTGCCCAGTGCCTGTGTGAGAATCGGGGCCACCAGCCGCCTCGTCACGGGTGGGAGATGTCCGTTGGGCCACACATCCATCTGAACCCCAAAGCCAGCAGGTGTTCCCCCCCGCCCCTTCCCCGTGGTGATGCCTGAGGGCTCGGGGCCCGGAGGACCTTGTGTCCTAGTGGGGCGCTGTGGCCCACTGACCGCTGCGACCGCCCGAGTGTGCCCACCCCGTCCGCTTGAGCGGCCATAACGAGGCACCGCAGTCTGGGGGGCTCCGGGACCCTGAGTTTATCTTCCTCCTGGAGGCTGAAGTCTGAGATCGAGGTGCAGGCCCGCAGGGTCCTTCCAGGGCCGCTCGCTCAGGCTTGCAGGAGGCACTAGACCCCGTGCGCCTGTCCGCCTAGAAGGACAGGCGTCACCTGGGAGCAGGGCCTGCTCTTGTCACCTCACTGTGACCCCCTCCTAATGAGATCACTTCCGAGGCGCTGGGGCTTAGAACGTCAACATGGGAGCTTTGGCGGGACGGGTCCTCCCTGGGGCCGGGGTCCAGCACCCCAGTCGCCAGGCGGGCCCCCTCCCCCACCTGCCACCTCAGTGGCTCGAGGGCCCTGGCAGCCAGGGGTGTCTCAGCTTCCAGCTCGCTGGGCGGGGCCTGGGTTCCTGGGGGGACCAGGTCCCTCCTTGGGCACCAGCACCCGCAGATGCGCGGGGCGGGGGCGGGAGTGCCGGGCGGACGGGGCGGCCCCGCCTCTTCCCCCTGCAGAGCGGCAGCACCTGTTCAGGCGGTGCCTCAGCGGTGGGTTCCCGGCCCCGGATGCTGCACCCGCCCTGGTAGGACGGACCCCTTCTTTGGAGGTGGCTGTGGCTCTGGGGCAGTTGCCTGTGCTCTCTCCTTTTGTCCCCGGGGAGGGTGACTCACCGTCTCCACCGCGATTGTGGCTTCTGTGCGGTCAGGTGGCCACCAGGTTGCTGGAGCGTCCCCACCCTGTGACCGCACTGCTGGTTGGAGGCCGGCCTGGGGGCCGGGCGGAGACCGAGGGAGCCCGCGTGACTGCCCCAGGCCTGGCCTCCGTCCCTGCTGCCACAGCCGCTTTGCGCTGGGCCCTGTTTTGGAGTGTCCCCCACGCTCCCTGGAAGGACGAGGACGTCCCTGTGGGACGCAGCAGCTTCTCTCTGTGCCTGTCCCCAGGCCTCCTTGCCCCAAAGCTTCCCGTCTGGGGCTTTCTGAATCTGGCCTACTGGTCATCCTCTTGGATGCTGCCCAAGGTAGGGCCAGGCTTGGGCCGGCTCTGTCACCCTGGTCCCACCCGCTGGGGTGCAGGCGTCCGTTCCCGTCGCCCACGGCCTGTGCACGCGCCCCTTCTCCCCATGCGGCCCGCCCCCCTCCCCCGGCAGCCCAGGCACGGCCAGCACGGGGCTCCCACGGGTGATTGGGTCACTCGGCTGCTTGGGAAACCGGGTCAGAGGTTCCCGGAGCTCCGCTGCGAGCCTGGGGCTTCTCCCGCTGGAGGCGCGTGGATGGCGGGTTTGAGGTGGGCCTGGGCCGGGAGCCTGGCGCTTGCTGCTGCCAGAGGCGGCGGCCGCTTCCGGCGGCCTGGGGCCCGCGGCCAGCTGCCCGAGCAGCAGGTGGTCCTGTGGCCTAGCCACGGCCAGACCTGCCGCAGGGGCTTGCCTGCTGCCCAGGGAGCGGGCGGAGCAGCCGGCATGGGCCCTGCTCACCCCCAAACGCACAATCCCACCGAGCACCGTGCCCCTGGCTGTGGGTGCAGAACCCGCAGAAGCTTACCTCACTTTATTTTTTTATGTATTATTCTTTAAAGCTTATTAAAACAAAAAAGAGCTTCTTTATTTATTTTTGGAGAGGGGAAGGGAGAAAGAAAGAGAGGGGAAGAAACATTGATTGTTTGCCTCCCGCACACCCCCAAGCCCTGGCCCGCAGCCCCGACCGGCGCCCTGAGCGGGCACGGAACCAGCGTCCTCCAGTGCGCAGGACGGCACCCCCCCACTGAGCCGCGCCGGCCGGGGCGGGACGTGCCTGCTTTAAACAGGGCGTCCCAACACTTCTGACACTGTGGGTTCCTCCCCCCCCCCCCGCCCCCGCGCCTGGCCCGGGGCTGCTGCCATCCAGCAGGGGCGCCTCCTGCCAGTCCAGTCCCGCAGCACAATGACGTCCGGAACCACACTACGCTTCCTGGGTCCTGTGGGGACAGCAGGACAGTCGGAGCCACCGGGGCACACCGTGAAAGTGCGCTACGTCCCTTGTGCGCGGTGGCAAAGCGCTTCGGACGGGGACAGAAAAGAGCACGTGCAGGTCGGCTGCGTGTCGAGCGTCCGGCAAAGACGCTGCACCCAGACCTCGGCCGCGATCGGCGGCACCACCGGCTACAGGGCGGGCACCTGCCGTTCGGCACCAGCCTGTCAAGTTACACGGACTGGGAGGAGGTCCCCTGGCTCTCCCGTGTTTCTGACGTGGAAACGAATAACCTCTGCAGCTTCCCCAGGGAGGGGCACGGGCTGAGGGGGACAGGGAGAGCAGGCCCAGGCGCCCCCACAGCTCCCCTGATGTGGGGGTGTCGCCGGGGGTCAGGCATGGATGTTGCCCCACGGGACAGCGATGGCAGCTCCCAGCGACCCCAGGACCCAGGAAGGCAGCATGTCCGTCGCTGCAGCCAGTCACCTGGAGACCGCCGGGCCCCTCCTGTGCCTGGGGACATGCCAGCGACTACAGTGCGGGTTCTACGTAGGGATGCGCCCCCTCGTCACCAGCTCTGCGTCCCTGAGCCGGCTCAGGTCGGGGGACACTGGACACTGGCCCTGAGGTCTCGCTGAGGCGAGCGTCAGTGCTGCCCGGCAGCCTGCAGGCTGCACCTCCAGAAGCTCCCGCGCGCTTCCTTTCCCAGGACGCTGTGTGCCGACGGTCATCGCGTGTGTGACCAGGCCCCCTGAGGGTCGGCCACCTCAGAAACGCCGCGCGTGCGAGTTGCCGTGGGTCCACCTCGGCCGGCGGCCCTGGGGCACCTCTGGGAACCCCGCTGCAGGCCGGGCGAGGCCGGTGTCCCGTCCGCTGACCTCGAGCTCCGCGCCCAGGCCCCGCTGGCACCGCAGATGGGGTCTCGGTGGCTGCGCCCTGGCCTGCGTGGGCTGTGCAGCGGCCGAGGCCACTGTCATGCTGCCCAGGCTCCTGCCAGAACCGCCAGCGAGGCGGGAGTGCGGGCATCCAGGCCGCCCTGGGGTCAACCCCCTGCGGGTGCTGGAGGCAGAGGGGCGGCCCAGGCGGGGTCCTCGCTGAGGGCCTCCTGCCCGTCTGTCCCCACGTCCCAGGACGTCCCCGACGTGTCCCTCCCAAGTCTTGCAAACGGCTGCCCCTCGGCCAGGTCCCGCTTCCTCCGGCGGCAGCACGGAGGCCCCGCCCCCACGCGGGCCCCACCCGGGTCCGCCTCTCCTCTCCCCGGAGAGAAGGAGGAACGCCCAGTCTCCAGAGTGCAGCCCAGCTGTTGCCATAACAACCAAGCCTGGCCTTCCACCTGCCCTCTGCCAGCGGTCAGCTGGGTTATTTCGGTAGCGGGGACGCCATTTCCCATCAGCAAGGTCACTGGGAGCTGGAGCCCCGTGGAGGGTCTGTGTCCTGGGGCCGCCGCTAGTGCCCGCGGTCTGGGGAGGGACAGGCAGGACACGCCCCCTCCAGCACAGCCGCTCGCCTGAGGTGGGCCAGGCAGCCTCGGGCCTGGGGCAGCGGGGACCCCCCAAGGTGCGAGCAGGATGGACGGCGCCCCGCAGGCCCCAGGCCCTGACGGCGCCCAGGGGTGCAGGGAGCAGACCCCAGCGGGAGCCACGGGTGGGGAGCCAGGCGCCAGCACACGCGGGGCGTGACCCGGACCGCCTCCGGGGGTGGAGGGGCCGCCGTGCAGGAGGGCCATCCCGCGTGTGGGGACCCGCAGCCCCCGGGCGGTGTGGGGGCAGCTTCGGCCCGGGCCCTGGCATGATGGAGCCCACCAAGTGCACACCCTCCCCAGGCGGTGGGGGCCCTGGTGGTGCCGCCGCGGTCCACGCGCCCCTCCCGCCCACTCAGACGTCACCACGAAGGACGGCACCTGCGCTGCCCTCCCGGTGTGCCGTGCACCCCGGCCCCAGGCTGCCCCCTGCAGCCTCCTGGTCAAGGGCCCTCACCGGGTTGGCACAGGAGGGGCCGCCCACCCTGCCGGGGCCGAGGTGGCCGGTGGGTGCGCCTGCCCAGCAGCCCCAGGTGGCCAATGCCACACCGTGGCCTCCGTGCCTGGACTCTGGGGCCGGCCACACGGCAGCAGTCCCTCTCGGCGACGTCCTCACAGGGGCCTGCGGGGGTCGCCCGTGGGTGCGACGCTGCCCTCGCCCCTGCCCCCGCCCCCGCCGCTGCCCCGAGCAACGCCACCGGGACTCAGCAGGGCACTCCCTGGGCCGACGGCGGCGGCAGGCACGGCTTCTCCGCTGGGGGCTCGTCGCCCATCAGCTGCGGTCAGGACGGCCCGGCCAGGGCAGCGTGCCGCTCTGGCCTTGGGCAGGGACCTGCCCAGGCGCTCGGGGGTGCGGCTCTGCGGGGGACAGGCCCCGCCTCCGCGGAGTGCTGGCCACCCCCGGGGCCAGCAAGGCCCTGCTCGGCCGGCCGGCTGTCCTGCCCCGTGGCCCCGCCTGGAGCACTAGCCACGTTCCGT